GTTTGGTGGGTTAGATTGGATTGGATATATCCAATTAAAATGGATATGAGTCCAGTCCATTGTTTGGTGGGCTTAAGTGGATCCTGGATTGGTTAGGATTCAAATTTTTTTCAGGATAACAGTCCAGCATACGCTATCTTTCAAAACGCATGTTGAGACATGGATTTAGAAGACTAACGAGGAAACGAGCTAATCTTCCGAGTCGGTTTTTTGGGTTTGATTTCTTTTGATATCTTCGTAAAAAAATCATTCATCTTTCTGTGTCCCTTCCAGTATTGAAGCACTTTTCATTAAAGATCTTTCAGATCTAGTTTTCGTTCCAAAATTTGCATAATCCCTTTTTATTTATTTATTATTTAATATTATCTTCAGTTTTATTTTTTTGGATCTAGAAGTTATACTATCGATTTTTTTCTTTTATTTCAAATTAGCATTTTCTTTTAATAACTACAATCTTTTTTCTCTTGTAATAATTATATATATATAAATATTGTATAATAATAAAAAAAGATAGATTTTCTTTTGACATGAAAACAATGAATTTTATATGATAAAGAAAGAAAATGAAAAAAAAATTAAAAAAGAAAGACACTGAAAAAAGAGAATTTTTTAAAATATAAGATTTTCGAGTCCAGTCCCAAAAGGAAGACATCAAACAATGGCTAGGATTGAAAGTCTGATCCAGTCTCAACCAGTCAAGTTTATAATATGAAGCCCAATCCAATCTGATCCTAACGAGCCCACGAAAAGAGGCCTTAGGAGTTGTTGAGAAGCCAAAATATTCTGAGAGGATGGGTTATTCATATTTCATTTGATGGTCATAGGGGAGTTGAAAGCTAAGCATTCGTAAGTCTAAGGATTCCCCTTAAAGCATAATAAATACAAAAGTTGAGGTAAAAAAAGTAGGGATCATCAAAACTTCATACCATCCAATGTAAAGACGGTTTTCAATGATGGTTATCCAGTTACAAAAGTGACCCCATAGGCTTTTGCTTATAATTTATTTATTTCATTTGTTAAAAGTGTTCCTAATAAAATGAAAATTTTGGGGCGTGGGCAATAGTATATTTGGACATGATTTTACCAAAAATGAGAAAAAAATCTTCCTTTTCCATCTTTTAGGAAATGATATTGGAAGTGATTTCCTCTCAGATCCGTTATGTAAACCAAATAAAGCCCAATTATGGCAAATACAAGACGAGGTCTTGGCGCTTGGCTCGTCCTCATCCCACCTATCTTCGAAGAATTCAAATCCAATGAAGTCATCACCGACTTGGGCCTCTTGGGCTCTGAGAAAATTTAATTGAAACACAAAACAAATACAGTGATTCTATAATATAAGCTATTTACTGATTTTACTATTGAGTTGTGTTTGCATGCAATATGTACCGTTAGGTGAGATATTTATGTACTTCAAAGTTTGCTTTAAGCTTTTTCGATGCGTTCCAAATCAAACACGGGAGGTTTTTAAATAATATATCAAGAGATGGAACCAATGGAACATTTCCATCCCGTCCCTTAAAGTTGAAAAGATGGAACCATGGAAACTTTTCATATGAGACAACTCAAATTGTACCTAAAGATCGGTACTGGTTTTTTTTTTTTTTTTTTTTTTTTTTTTTTGTGGGGGGTGAAAGAGAAGTCAGTACTTAGTAGTAATATTCAACAAGTAAAAGTTCGACGCATTTGGAAAAGGTAATAATTTTACCTAGAGAATTAGCATGGATGATCAATATCTGTTTTTGGCAGCATGGAAAATGTCCATAACGTTACATAGCTAGTATGTGGCCTTTAGAGCACTAGGCCCCACCGTACTCCACCCAAGCCTTTCTCACTCCCAGAGAAGGTAGAAATAATGTTTTTACCTAACCAATTAAGATAAATTCACAAACCAATTAACAATTAATATTTCCTACAGAAATTAATTAAAATACGAACACTCGTATTATTTGTCATGAGGATGGTGATCTAGTGACAACTAGTGGCAAATCCACCAAATTTTAGTGTGGAAAAGTTGTGCTTCTTGTCCTTATTGTTGTAAATGTCCAACTGGTAGGAATCAACGGAGTGAGTTTCGCATTTTACACTTATTTGAAATCCAAATGAGTGATACGTGGAAGGAAATGATAAAAGATTATAAGAAAAAGTGTCGTTTTGCTCCTTGAACTATGACACATTTCGAACTTACCTTCGAAACTATTCCATCTATCGATTTAGCACTTGAACTCATTAACAATAGCCAATGTGTCAAACAAAGAATGACAAATATTCAAATATGCTCATATTTTTATTCTTCCTCAATTTGGAGGGATTTATATGTACAAATATGTGTGAACTCTAAATAAAATAGAAAATATATCTAAATTACAATAAGAAATAAATCTCAATTACAATAGGACTAAATAAACTGGTGAGTAACAAAAAACCTAACTAAGTAATATGGAACCAAAATCCCAACTAAATAAGGACTCACCAACACAATGTTGCACCCGCCGTTAGTTTTTTGAGGATTTCATCCACATTGCTATCTAAATGGACATGTGAGGGGCATGTGCTTCAAATTTTGAGGACATTTTTGTCATTGCCCAGCTTCCCCCCTTGCGCAGCCTCCTCTTGATCAGCAAATTCTTCCTCAGGAAACTTCTGCTCACCAAACACTTGCTCAACAAACTCTTGCTCAGTTGCTTCTTGTTGATCCACCCCATAATAGGAATATCCACCAACCAATCCTCTATAAAATTCTTGTCTGCATAAATAGTCTTTTGTACCACAGAGGCTTGACTCTCACCAAAAGGCCTAGCTGATGCTCTTGGAGATAGGTATACGACAAATAGATGCTTGCCTTTAAAGAACTTAAGGGTTTCAAAGGACAAAACGGATCCAAAAGAATTTACGTAAAACGAAACTTTAATAACGCGTGAATATGACGAGTGATGTTTGTTTTTTGTTCTGCTATGTGAGCCATAGATATCTGTTGTCGCGTGCGAATGGAGACACTTGAACTAAATTGAGGAAAATGAAACGGAGCATCCTTGCACTATGATTCCTACAACTTAATATCTAGGAAGACAAGAATAACCTAGGAGCATGGCCCTCCGTCTCATAAAGGTGTCTCCAGGGACGGACCCAGGATTATGAACTCGTAGGGTCATAGTGTAAAAGTTCAATTTTTTAGGTTTAGAAAATGGGGGTAGAGGGTTAAAGGTTCGTGGGTGGGTGGAGATTGGGGATTTAGGTTTAGAAAATGGGGGTTTTGGAGTTTTGAGAAGGGTCTGTTCTGTTTGGTCGAAGAGAAGGGTCTGTTTCAATTACAATTTTTTTTTTTTTTTTTTTTTTTTTTTTTTTTTTTACCTGAAAGACCGACCAAACGACGTCGTTTTGGCCAGGTCTTTTAAAAAAAAATTTGTTTCTGCTGGTCCAAAACGACGCCGTTTTGGTGCCAGCGCATTAAAAAAAAATTTCGCTGGGTTCAAAACGACGCCGTTTTGGATCCAGCGAGTTTTTTAAAAAATTCGCTGGGCTGGTCCAAAACGACGCCGTTTTGGCCAGCCTGGTTTTTAAAAAAAATTAGAAGCTGACCCAAAACGACGCCGTTTTGGTCAGCTTCGTTTATAAAAAAAAAAACTGAACCCCTGTTCAGCTTCTTCTTCCTCAGATTTCCAGCTCCTCCTTCAGCCATTCATGGGGTCACACACAAGTTCAAAGGGACTTTCTACCTTACGTTCATGAAGGCCATAGGGTCGTTTGACCCCACTGTGGGTCCGTCCCTGGGTGTCTCATAATTAAAGCCAATTTCTTTTTTTTTATTTCAAAATCGAAACTCCTATCCTCCCATCAAAATTAATGAACTTAAATTTCGCAACAACTAAAATATTTTCGGACTAAATTAATTACATAGTCAAAATTCACTTGAACACATAGGAGTTGGATTCCATTTTATGGGACGTGAGACAACACCAAGCAACGATGACCAGTTCATGTCTCGCAAAATGACATCATAATCTTGAAATTTCCGATATCTGTATATGTGAGTTTTTTTATAGTGCACACACACACACACACATATATTCTTTTATAGCACATCTATATGAGTGGGATGCGACGATCATGTGTTTATTGAGAAAACTTAGTCTTTAGTGTAGTGAAAGGAAATAAATGTTTTTTTTAAAATACAAACGATAATATAAATTACTCTAAATTAATTTAATCTATGGGAAGGAGATTTGAACTTGGGTGCAAGGAGACGGACTCATCGCCAAGGCTGGTCCTAACTTTTGAGTGGCTCAAGGGCATAAATTAAAATGACGCCCCTTTTCCTTTTTATTTTTTATTTTTTATATAATCATAGTTTAACAAAAAAAGAAAAAAAAATGTATGCACGTGTATATATTTTCTTTTTGGTTTAATTATGATAATTCTATTAAACTAAAATAACAAAATAACACATAAAACATAAATAAATAAACCATGAAATTGTTGAGAACAAAAAAGTCATCAAACTAGAAGTACTAAACATTTTCTTGAAGAAAGTGTTCGATTAATTGGGTATTTGTTGTTCCAAAATAAAATTAATATTTTATTAATGTTCAGTTTATAAATGTGAGTCCTTGTATTGTTAAATATTTAAAGTGATTATTATTTGGGTCATTTGTTATTAAATTCTAAGAAATCCATTTAATATGGCCATGAACAATTAACCCATATGTATTTTATATAGATATAAAAATTTTGGGGCCCTCTTCATGCGAAGCTCTAGAATGTCACTCTCAGCCTAGACTCAAGACTGACCATACTCACTATCCTGATTAACTAGTCAAATTAACCCCTTAACAAAAAAAAAAAAAAAAAAAAAAAAAAAAAAAAAAAAATTGAGTTGAGAGAGCTGAACCTGAATTTTCTCAAAATAATAATTATTCTCATTAATGCAAAACATAACACACATAAGTAGCTATAGTAGCATACATACACAATTTATTTGAGTTATAGGCTTGAAACTTGTTCTAAGCAACAGACGTGATCTTGCTAATCTCGTCCAGAAAATCTTCAAGACTCCGGTCGGAGGAGCCGCCCTCCGCCACCGCCTCCTCCGCTGCCTTCTTCCACTTCAAAGCGTTACGCCTCAATTCTACCGCCTTATCTCCCACGGTTGCCTCCAACAAGCACTTCTCAACCTCCGCCCTCGTGACCAACCTATTCTCAGCCATGCCCCGACTGAGTCTAAGCCCCACACCAAACACATCCACCAAGAACTTGGCATTGGTGACTTGGTCGCCCCATTGAGGAAAAGTCACAACTGGCACACCAGAAGTGAGGGCTTCAACCGAAGAATTCCAGCCACAATGAGTCAAAAAACATGCAACCGACGTGTGCCCTAGAACTTGCTCTTGTGGGCTCCATTGGACCAATTTTCCCTTGTCCCCAACCTCTTCCAAAAACCCTTGTGGCAGAACATGTTTCTCTAACCCAAATGCTTTGGCAGGTGGCTTGAGGACCCATAAAAATGAGACCCCGGAGCTCAAAAGTCCATGAGCAATCTCGTCAACTTGCTCTTGTTTTATGTGGACAATGCTACCAAAAGAAATGTACACGACGGATGCCGGGGGCCTTGAGTCAAGCCAGTCAAGGCAGTCGTCAGCTTTCATTAAGTCTCCTCTGATGCTTGTTTTGGGAGCTTTTGGGTTCTTGAACAAGGGACCAACAGGCTTCACTATGCAGACTTGGGACATGTGCTCGATGATTTCGGGCTCCAGCTCTTGGAATGTGTCCATTAATACATAAAATGATTTTGATAGCTTCTTGAATTGGCCTAAGATTGCCCTTCCCAAAACCTGAAATCAAAAATATATTATTTTATTATCTCTTTCAATGAAGTAGAAAATAAAATACTACAGTTTTAGATTTTTTTTAAATTATAAAAAATTTGGCATAAGTCCAATTCATATGAACTCCAAATAATTTTTATTTGTGGTCAATGACATTAATAACTAGTTGACTATAAAGTCATCCAACTTAATGACAAATTGATATTTCAGCCACATATCAATATAAAAAACTTGTTAGAAACTAGAGAGTTTCAAATTGAACTGAAACATGAACATACGAAATATAAAATTATCACATTAGGAGAGAAATAGTTCTACTGACCTGAAATGTATCAGAAGGGTGCAAGAAGCTAGGAATCTCATCATGCTTCAAAACAGGCATACAAGGTAGCTGAACATCCATATTTGGCTCGGCTTCCGTAGGAAACGGCACCGTCTTGTTGTTGTAATGGTAGTAAACCGAGAACACAGCACAGGACTGAATCCAGAGCGTGGCCTGAGGGATCCCAAGCTCAACGGCAACATCACAAACCCAAGGAATGAAGGGGTTGTTGACAACGCAAGAAACTGGACGACCTTCAGTGGCATGTCGTTTGATCATCTGAGTGACCAGCTCCTTCCCCACCAGCTCAAGCTTGGGCACATAGTACTCCAAGTCGGTTTGTTTTGGGTCGTCTTCTGGAAGCCCATCTGGGAAAAATTCAAACCTGATAAAACCAGAGCCAACTGGTGTGGCTTCCTCACTGATGCCATTGTTGGCTTTTCTCATCTCTTTGCCATAGTTTTCAGTCGTGGAGAAAGTTACCAACATGCCCTTGGCAGCCAAGCGCTTGCCTAGCCTGAGCATGGGGTTTATGTGTCCTTGTGCTGGAAAACACACCAGAAATATATGAGCGGAAGGAGTTTCAGATCCCATAGTTTTTTTGGGTGCAATATTTCCCACTTGATGTTGTTGTTTTGGTTGTGTTTGCAGGCAATGGCATGCATAAATGAAGGGGGTTTATATAGCAAACCTCAGCATTCTTATCAGTAAGTATTTATTTTGACTGGTTGTGTATTTCGTCCGCATCCCGATCAGATTTGGCTACTGCAACATGGTCTCATTAGACCCAGAGACTCTTAAAGGCGCAAGATATTCCCTCTTTTTCGGTGTGATTTGACACTCTTTTATTGTATTTTTAGTATCAATAGTGGCACGCCTACAATCTAACCATATAAAACGTGTTTTACCCAGTCCATACCAAAATTACTTAAAACCAATATAATGCCACACTTTTTGGAGTGAACAGACATTTCTTAATTACATTTTTATTTCAAAGTGAGAATTTCTTCAATCCAACAATACATAGGACACAAATAAAAAATAATAATAAGGCCATGACACATCCCATGGATGTTATATGTATTTTGCTGTGTTTCAATGCGTAGTGACAGTCGGCAAACAAACATTCCATGCAAAATATACAAACTCTGATGTCTAAGAGGAATAAAGCGAAATATACAGGCAAAATCAAATCATTAATAAATTATTTTTCTCACCACATTAATCATGAATGTATGCTTACTATTACTCTTAAATTATTAATAAATCATTCTACTTTCATCATATGGACACGTGTCAAGTATTGAAAGTTTATAAATCATTCCACTATTAAGTTCTAATAGTAGTAGCAAATTAAACTTTTCAAATTAAAGTTTGTTAACTTATGTGGCAATTTGAAAATGTTCATTTGCTACTTGAATAATTTTTGCTCTAAGAGCAATTCCAGCGCTTCAATTTGGTCCGAGCATGAGGGAGCCCAAGCCCCAGGTTGCGGTTCCAGCGGGCTTCAGCAGCCCCGACATGAGGTGGGTCCCAGCAAGCCCAAAGGCAAAATGAGCCCGCGCTCATGCCTGGGGGTTGCTGACTTTTCTTTTCTTTTTCTTTTTTTAATTCTAAAAAAATACCAAATTTTTTAGAATTTTTTTTTAATAAATACCTAGCCATATTCTTCACTTCACACACCAAAACTCTATACAAAATTATCTCCTCATATCTCATGTGAATAGTAGTTGCCATTGGGTTGCTGTGACAACAGGTGGAAACATAACAAGTATTTTGCAAGGGTTGCCACTATTCACGTGAATAGTAATAGCCCTTGTCTTGCCCTTACCCTTTGCCATGACAAATGGATTGAAGTGCTCTAATAGATTCTTCAATTCAATTAATGCAATATCATGAGGAAAAAAATTAAAAAAATGCATGTTTTTAACATTTCCTAGGTTTTGTTTTTCCAAAATAAAATTAAGTGTTTTGAAGACCTAAAGTCAAATTACCAGTCCTGAAGAGATAGAAAAATGTTGCAGTTTTGATGATTGAGTTTGATAAGGTTGTTGGAGAGATTTTTTTACAATGTGGCTCACCTATTTGAGCATCCCAAAATGGTTGAAGAGGCTATTGGAGATGTCCTTAAATTATTAATAAATCATCATAATTCTTAAAAAGTTAACCATGATTATGCCTATAGACACGTGTCAAGTATTAAGAATTGTAGTAAAATACACCATGTGCCATGTGTTAAAGTGGTAAGCAAAAGTTTTTATTTTTTTTATTTTTTTTAGTTGTGGTGTCTGACGCTTTATTCTAACATTTGTTTTTTGGTATTACGCTTATTCTAAAATTCAATTAGGTGAAATAGTAAAACTTCATGAAATAGATGCCCTTTAAGTGTCGATAACTTTTTAGCATAAGCTTTGGCCATGCTTGGCCACAACCTTGCCCTTTCCCTTGGCCTTCCTTTATTTGTTGTAACTGCTTTTTATTTTGACTTTCTTGGGACCTCTTATCCAAGAGGTTTTTCACTATTGTAACTTTCTTATTTCCTTTTTTATTTTTTATTTTTTAAAGTGTTGATAACATTAATCAATTAGGTGAAACAGTGTTGGTCTCGAGAAGCTTGGATTTGTTGTCCAAAACCCATCAGGTCTCTGGTTCGAGACTGACAGAGAGAAAGAAGAAGAGAGAGGAGGTTACAGAAAAAGTTAGGTGAAACAGGAGAAAAACTTCCTTAACATGGGGATGTCAGTGTCAGAAGTCCACATCAGTGTCCCAACCTACTGAGATAACGCAAGATGTTAACAACTTTGACTTCATATTTAATTCTTTTTTTTATAATGAAACTTTTCATTTAATATTTTATGAAAATTTTTACAGTGCGTTTGGATGAGGAAATTTAAAAGTATAAAAGATTTCATAAATTACAAAATTTAAAATGACAGAAATTAATGTTCTAGAATTTGTAAAGTTTCTTGTTTAGGTGATGGATTTGAAACATGGAATTTAACCCTTTATTTGTAAAGTTATCTTTTAAAAAAAAAAATTCAATCTCTCTTGGGATTTTAGAAATGAAAACTTTTAGATAGAATATAAAGTTGGAATTTATGATCTCCGAATTCCATGATTTTTCCCACTCGGAATTTCTAAATTTCTATGTTTTTTTTTTTCCAAACATAGGAATTGGTTCATGTCAATTTAGAAATTCTGAGTTTTGTCAAAATCCCAAATTTATTTCCCTCATCCAAATGCACCGTTAGTTGTCAGAAAATCTCCACAATACCCTCCCGCCCATTCCAATGTCTTCTCATCTAACCAAAAACACACGTTCTTTCTCCTTTATTTTGTTAGGTATGAAAATTGATTTCTTTGGTTGATATTTCTCCTCAACTAAAGCAGTCATTGCCATGTTGGTTTCTTTGTTTTTTTTTCTTGGTTTTAATGGCTTTTAAAAAATAAAAATAAAATTGTTGCATTCTTTTAAGGTTCGAATTTCTCACAAAGCACACAAGAAATACTTTATTTAGCTATTTGGATGTATTCTTCAAGGCGGCATTTTCTTCAAGTGCAATGTAATTCTTTCAAATCATCCAAAATCAATTGAAACAATTGGTTGTTTGAGTGCAAGTTGGAAAAAGAATTAATTCGGATTCTAATCAATTATGATATTAAAAGATTATAATTTTGGCGCTCATTCTAAACTTCATGACAAATGTTAGAAAAAGACGCCCTCAATACGTGTCCATAACTTTTTAGCCAAGTTTGGCAACAACCTTTCCCCTTCTCATCTTTGAGAGCATGCTTTTACTTTATTTGTTGTAACTGCTTTTTATTTTGACTTTCTTGGGATCTCTTGTCCAGAGGTTTTTGTTGTTGTCGTAACTCTTTTATTTCCTTATTATAAAAAAAGTGTCGGTAACATTAATCAATTAGGTCAAACTATAACATTAACAAATTAGATGTAAGAGCACTTCTAGCGGCAAGCTTAGTCCAAAGGCCCCCTAGCTCCCAAAACCCATTCCATCAATGAAATCCTGTCTTGGCAAGAGGTGGGCTCCACCGAGTCAGGGCGAGCCAAAGGTAAGCTAACGTTAGTGTGACGTCAGTGGCCAATATAAATACTAAAAGAATTGGATTTAAATTATAAAATTAAAAAAAATTAAAAAAGGAGGAAAAAATACCAAATTTTTTTTTAAAATTTATTTATAAATACCTAGTCATGTTCTTCACTTCCTGCACCAAAACTCATATTTCTCTCATTATATCTCATGTGAATAGTGGTTTCCCTTGGGTTGCCATGACAATAGTTGGGAATGCATAAAAAAAATTGCTAGGGCATATACTATTCACGTGAACAGTAACCGCCCTTGCCTCCCCTTGCTTTTTGCTATAGCAAATAGGTGGAAGTGCTTTAACAGTGAAACTTCGCCACAAATATCATAAAAAGACGCCCTCAATAAGTGTCAATAACATTAATCACTTAAGGCCCGTTTAGTTCAAAGTTCAGGAGTAAATAAATGGATAGTTTTTTTTTTTTTTTTTTTTTTTTTTTTTTTTTTTTTTTTTTTTTTTTGGTTTTGTATTTTTTTGGTTTAACTCTTACCATTAAGGCACGTTTGCCCCTCCACTCTCAATTTAAATACATACCTTAAGCTTTTCAATTTTTTGTAATATGGTTCTAGGCTTCTAGCATTAACTTTGATATCAAAATTTCCATTAATTGTTTCCATGGCAAGCATGAGTCTCACCTATTCGCTTATTTCGATGTCAGTTGAAGAGTATTTTCGGGTAATTGATGTCTTCCCGCCCATGAAGAACACATTACACGAATTAATACCAAATCATTTTTTAACAAAATACCTTTCAACTGACATTGAAAGAAGTGAATATGTGGGACTCAAGCTTGTCATACAAGCAATTAACATAAATTTTGACGATGAAGTTAACACCGGAACCATATTACACAAAATTGAAAAGCTTAGGATATGTAATTATTAAAATTAAGAGTGTAGGTGCAAACGTGCCTTAAAGGTAAGAGTTCAAGATATTAAATTAAAATTAATCCCTTTTTTTTTATATGAGGAAATGAGTTTGAAATTGCATCCCGCCGAGCCATTAGGTGAAACAATGAAACTACCATTAATCAATTACGGGAAACAGTGAAATTTCGTGATAAATAATGTAACCAAAAAAATAACTTCGTGATAAATATCAGAAAAGAGACACCCTCAATAAGTGTCGATCTCTCAATAAGGTAAAACAGTGAAACTTCATGATATATCAGAATAAGGAAAATTTCTTATTTCTTGTAAACGTGACCTATAACTTACTTGGAAGTCCGGCTCGCTCTCCGTGGCATTTCTCCAAGTTCTTGGCTCTCTCACTGGGTTCTTGTTTTCATTAGCAGATTCAATTATGAAATGGTTCAATCAAATTCCAAGTGAAAAAAAATAAAGCACCCTTGAATTTAGCAGCTTCAGCCCTGCAGTTTGAGTTCCACTTGATGTTATGTACCAAAATGCGAGAATCGGATTCGAAGATTACTTTACGGTAGCCAAATGCCTCAGCCATTTTCACTCCTTTAAGGGCAGCTTCAGCTTCAGCACATAAAGCTCAAGGGCAGATTTTCTTTTCGGCTAGCCCACCACCACACAAGTTTTGTTAGAGTTTTAGGATCTTAGAATATGATTTGGAGAGAAGAGAGAAAAAAAGTCTGATGAAATCCAAAACTGCTCTGCTATACGTGTAGCAGAGAGAGCATTCTCATTACTCAGTGTTCAGTACAATATATCACACTCTTGGTGTGAGAAGAATATAATCGTTAGCACAGTACCAGCTGGATGCAATTCATCTAAGCAATCTCAGCCATTCACTATCTAACCAATCAAGCTATGACACCTGGACTAAGTATAAAGAAATATAACTAAGCTGAAAACAAAACTCCCAATCCTGAAATCAACTTAAGCACTTATAATTCAACACTCCCCTTTAAGTCTTGAGGTGATTTCACTCCAAGCATGCCTCTGAGATAATTGAATCTGTCTTTGGCCAGAGGTTTGGTAAAAATGTCAGCCAATTGTTCATTTGTAGGACAGTATTCCAAATTGATTACTCCTTCTTGCAATGCATCCTTGATGAAGTGATACCTTCTGTCAATATGCTTTGTCTTCTGGTGGAATACAGGGTTTTTAGTGATTGCAATTGCTGATATATTATCACAATGCAATGGAGTAGCTTCAGTTTGAAGCTCTCCAAAGTCTTCTAGCACAAAACGGAGCCAAATAGCTTGAGTAGTAGCCTCAGCTGCACTGATATACTCAGCTTCAGCAGTAGACAGTGCAACACAGTTCTGTTTTACTGAGGCCCAAGAAAATACTCCACTTCCAAAACTAAAAGCATACCCTGATGTGCTCTTGCAATCACCAACTGATCCTCCCCAATCACTGTCACAGTAACCAACTAGAATTGATCTTTTGCCTTTCACATATTCAAGACCATAGTCCAGAGTTCCTTTGATGTATCTCAAAACTCTTTTAGCTGTTCCATAGTGTCTATTTGTAGGACAGTGCATGAATCTAGCTAGCAAGCTTGAGGCATACATAATGTCTGGTCTTGTAGCAGTTAAGTACAATAAGCTACCAACAATGCTTCTGTATTGTTCTTCATTTGCAGCTCCACTCCCATCATCCTTAGCTAGTTTCTCAGTGGCAACAAGAGGTGTTGTCACAGATTTGCACTCAGTCAAACCAAACTTGCTCAACAAGGTGCTAGCATATTTCTTTTGATGTAGAAATATACTAGACACAGTCTGCACAACTCCCATGCCAAGGAAATGGTGAAGTAAACCCAAATCAGTCATCTCATACTTAGCCATCATGTCTTCTTTGAATTCAGCCAACAATGCTTGACTGCTCCCTGTGTACACTATGTCATCTACATAGATAGACACAATTAGAATCTCCTTATCTCCCCTCACTTTGGTATACAAAGTTGCTTCACTTAAGCTTTTTACAAAACCACAGTGAGTGAAGTAGCTGTCTATCTCTCCATACCAAGCCCTTGGGGCTTGCTTCAGACCATAAAGAGCTTTATGCAGACGATAAACCTTGTCTTCTTTGCCTTTAATTACAAAACCTTCAGGCTGACTGACATAAACTTCCTCTTGCAGCACACCATTAAGGAAAGCAGACTTCACATCAAGCTGGAACAATTTCCAATCCTTTTGAGCAGCTAGAGCAACAAGAGTTCTAATGGTGTCCAATCTGGCTACAGGTGCATAAGTCTCATTATAATCCAGTCCAGGCTTCTGAGCATACCCCTTAGCCACTAATCTTGCTTTATTCTTTTGCACAGAGCCATCCAAATTCAGCTTTGTCTTGTACACCCACTTAACTCCAATCACTGGTTTTTCAGTTGGTCTATTTACCAATTCCCATGTTTCATTTTTTTCAATCATCTGCAGTTCATCTTCCATAGCCTTAAGCCAAGATTCATCCTGAGCAGCATCAACATATTTTTCTGGTTCCATGATACACAAGTTACACTGAGCTAGAACATCATCTAGCCTTCTCCATTTTAGAGGGGTGTGATCATAAGCTTGGGTTCTCCTTTCTTCACTGCTTATATCACCTGGAGTTGATGAAGTGCTCTCTTGCATATCCAAAGTTTGAGGTGTACCAGTAGAGTTCTCATTAGAACTGTCAGTTTTCAAATCCAAGTCTACTTGGTCTTCAATTGAGTATGATGTCATAACTGAACCATCTTTGTCTGTCCAATGCCAAGCTTTTTCTTCATCAAATGTCACATCCCTTGACAGTAAAAGCTTGTTAGAAATAGGATCAAAAACTCTATATCCTTTTTCACAAGTTGCATATCCCACAAACACTCCCTTTGTACTCTTAGGTTCCAGCTTGTGTCTCAATTCGGTTGGCACATGAACATAACACAGAGAACCAAACACCTTCAAGTGTGCAATTCCAGGCTTCCTTCCACTATATGCTTCGAATGGAGTAATGTTGTTGAGAGCTTTGGTAGGACATCTGTTCAGCAAATAGACAGCTGTATGGACAGCTTCTGTCCATAGGAAATAGGGCATTCCCTTCTCATGTAACATTGATTTTGCCATCTCAATGACAGTTCTATTCTTCCTCTCAACTACTCCATTCTGCTGAGGAGTATAGGCCATTGTAAGCTGCCTTTGAATGCCATTAGCTTCACAGAACTCCAAAAAATCAGTAGACAGAAACTCTCCACCCCTGTCACTTCTTATGCATTGCACCTTGTGTCCAGTTTGTAATTCAGTCATGGACTTGAACTTCTTGAAACAATAGAAGGCTTCTGACTTGTTTCTCAAGAAATATACCCAAGTCATTCTTGTGAAATCATCTATAATCAGCATGAAATATCTGTTCCTTGCAACAGACTCATTTCTCATGGGACCACAGAGATCCACATGTACTAGCTCTAGTACTTTGCTTGCTCTTTGTGCTTGATCTTTTGGAAAAACATTTCTGTGCTGTTTTCCAAATTGGCACCCTTCACACACACCACTTTGTTCTTCCAATTGTGGTAAACCATGTACCATTTCTTTATCCCTTAGCTGCTTCAATCCTCCAAAATTCAGATGACCAAGTCTCTTGTGCCAAATCCATGGGGATTGAAGAAAACTAGTCTTCATTAGTAACTGTTTTTCAGCTAGAAAAGAGACAGGATAGCATCTGTTACTCTTCATTTCCACCTTTGTGATGAGGTAATCCATGGATGGACTATCAAATACCCTGCACATTCCTTCTCCAAACACCAGACAATACCCATGTTCATCCATCTGCCCAACACTTAGCAGATTTTCTTTCAATCCTGGCAGGTACATAACTTCTCTGATGTATTTCCTGCCCTTTGCTGTATCAATACTCAGTGAACCAATACCAGCTACACTCACTAGTGCACCAGTTGGCATTTGTACTTTCCCAGCTACATTAGTTCTCACATCAGCCAGTAATTCTAAATTTCCTGTCATATGATTGCTGCAGCCACTGTCAATATACCATTCATTTGCTTTGATCTCAGTGGTTGAGCAATTTGCATAAAACAGATTTCCTGTTACCTCCATTTGATTTACACAATTAGCCTTCTGCACATTTTTGCTCACTGTACAGTCCCTAGCAAGATGTCCAAATCTGTCACAGTTATAGCATTTTGGTTTTCCCTTATACCTGCACTCACCAAAGTGATGCTTTGAACACACCTTGCATTGAGGCTTTGTGTTTTCCTGATTTGAGAACTGAGTTGAAGTGTGGTTCTGTGCAGAATAATTATTCTGCTGTGACTTGTCTTTTGCCTCCCATGACTTCCCTTTAGAATTCCAGCTTTTCTGTGACTTAGATGAACCAGACTGAGAAGTGTTTTTGTTCTGACCCTTTGCACTCACAGTGAATGAGGCAAATGCCTTCTCAGCTGTATCAACACTATGCATTTCAAGCCGTTGCTCCTGACTCTTCAAAATTGCAATTACTTCCTGCAAATCCACAGTTTCTAGTGTCTTTGTGTTTTCAATCACAATGCATATAGGATCATACTTCTTACTTAGACTAATTAACACCTTCTGAACCTGCCTCTCATTTGACAGAACTTCACCAAATGTTTTCATTTGGTTAATCAATTCAGTTAGTCTAGTAAGATATTCAGATAAGGTTTCACTATCACGCATCCTAGTGTATTCAAATTCACGTCTAAGATTTTGAAGCTTTACCGATCTAACATGCTCTCCACCATGATATTCTGAATATAGCAGATTCCAAGCCATCTTTGCAGAGTCAGCATTTGCAATTCTGGGAAAAATCTGATCAGAAACAGCATTTTGAATGATACCCAAGGCCTTCGCATCCTTCATGAGAATCGCAGCTGTTTTCTCATCAACTTCTTCTTCTGAACCATCCTCAGATTTCTGCTTCGTCTTTGAATCTGGGATTAGGAACCCCTTCTCTACCAAACCCCATAAACCATATGATCTGAAAATGGTTACCATTTTAATCCTCCAAAATTCATAGTTCTCACCTGAGAAAATGGGGATTCTAGCCTCCGAACTTCCAGATCCAGCCATTACGTATTTCAGAATCACCTGGAAACAAGATGTTTTCAGATTCGACCCTTGATCAAACTCAGTCAGCTTCGTGAGCTTAGAATGAGCACACCTTGATCGATTTTCTTCACAGAACAACGCCCAGCTTTTGGATGATGCAACCTGGCTCTGAGGCCATGTTAGAGTTTTAGGATCTTAGAATATGATTTGGAGAGAAGAGAGAAAAAAGTCTGATGAAATCCAAAACTGCTCTGCTATACGTGTAGCAGAGAGAGCATTCTCATTACTCAGTGTTCAGTACAATATATCACACTCTTGGTGTGAGAAGAATATAATCGTTAGCACAGTACCAGCTGGATGCAATTCATCTAAGCAATCTCAGCCATTCACTATCTAACCAATCAAGCTATGACACCTGGACTAAGTATAAAGAAATATAACTAAGCTGAAAACAAAACTCCCAATCCTGAAATCAACTTAAGCACTTATAATTCAACAAGTTTCTCATATCATCTCTTCTTATAACACCTAACCCAGCCATGCAGTTTGAAGCCTGCCAAGCCCCGTCGAAATTAATCTTAATAAACCCAGAGATGGGAGGTGTCCAGCCAACATTTTCCCTATGGAGGTCTTGGTTTCGCGGGCCGCAGGAACAGGAGAGATGGCTCGGAATTCTAGAGCTGCCTCAGTTGCCGCATTTAGGACCCTAATGGGATTTAAATTCCTACCTTCAAAGATAAACTTGCAGCGCGATTTCCAGATTTCCCAGACAAGGAAACAGACCATAGACACAAACCAAGCAGTAGAAGTGATTTGTTAACAGGGCTAACAGGGCTAATTGGGAGAGTAGTAGAAATTCCTGGGAAGTGGGAATTGGTAGAGCCGAAGAGAGGGAGGAGAGAGAGGAGAGAGAGACAAGAGATAACAAGGCTAACGTTAGTTTCGGAAAAAATTAAAACTAAAATTTATTTTAATTTTGATATGATATATTTAATGTTGGCGTGATTTGTGGATAACAAGGATTCCTATTATAATTGTAATTGATTTACTTTAATTCCTGATTTCCTACTGTAAATAGATTTAGGAATCTATTATTTACTTGTCCATTCAGGTTTTGTTGTATTATAAATATGACCTCCTACAAGGAGAAGAATACACAGAAAATTCCCACAAACAAATATTCTATCATAGTTCTCATATTTTAGCATGGTATCAGAGCCAGGTTATTGTAAGGGTCCATATGAAGCGAAATGCAGAGAAATGTGTGAATTCTAGATGCATATGCTAGATAATAGGATGAATTTTATATCGTTTACGATGATATATACTTGAGAACATGCACATCTTACACAAAAGAATTCCAACATAAAAATAACATTGACATTTAAGTGACAATATTCTTACAAATTTATTTACCAAAGCACTATCAGCTGCAACATCAAAGAAGCTGGGGCACACAAATATTGCAGACCTTAATAGCTAGGCTAGTTAATAGCCAATAGGTGAAAGATCACCAAGTTGCAATTAATAATTAGTGACTAGAGAGGGTAGTATGCCAACCACCTACTTATCATAGCAAGACATTTGTTTACACCATAATCAACCGAGCATATCCAGCCTCAAAGCGACTAGCACCAAAGGCACACACGCTTTCTTCCATGCTGAAGGAAAACAAGCTCCTGACTGCCGAAGCTCCCAAATTGCCAAACCTACTCTACAAGACACGTGTCACCACCACAGCGACCTGCGCAAAGTCCCACATCGGAAATCTACACAAACCTCCCACTTTCACCTCCCTATAAATAAGGAATAGTATCCATGTGAAAAGGGGACTTCCTCTCTCCACTTAGAAGAGGATCCGGGTCTCAGACTAGACCCTAGGGCCGGGGACTCTCTTCTAGATCCCTAGCCTAGGCATCTCACTTGTCATCTTTATATTCGGGTCCAACCCCATGTACAATTGTAATCATACACCGTTATAATGAGAACATACTTCTTCGTGGACGTAACCCATTCATTAAGGGTGAACCACGTATATCTTGTCTTCTTTACATTTATCGCTTGCCCAAGTCTTTGCACACATGCTTAAGGTCCTCACCTTCATTCATCCTCCATCACACCACATCACTAAGTTGGACTCAATCTTGGCCTAACCATTTTGAGCATCAACAACATTCTTCAGGCTTGTACTCTGGAGCTGTGTGACCGGCTCCCTGAAAAATCAGAAAATTTAGTCTCAGCTTTTGCTCAAGCAAATTGTAGTATGAAAAATATTTAAAGTCCATGATGGTTCTTGGCTTCTTGCCTTTATAGTTGTATATGTCAATTGGTACTTTTTATCTGAGTACAGCACTCTGTATCTAAAGCGAACAAAAAAGGCACAACTATGAGATGGTTGTAATCTGATTTTCTGACTAAACTCAATACAAAGTAAGAAAGAAGATGAGATAGAAGATACCAACCCTGCAACCTGTTCGTGGAGGAACCATGGCTTCCAACGACTGTCGACAGTCAAGTTCAGAGATTCAATCCAACCCATAGTAGACACATATGGAATATTCATGTCATGATCACCACTGTTAATAGACAAGATTTGTGTTCAGAAATGATATTGTGAGAATGATTAGATTGTATGAGTTCCTGTAATTGAATTTTCCCTCCATTTGGTGACAAATAAGGCTTTCTGCTTGGGTCTTTATGCTTGACTAAAACCAAAAACAATGGACAGAATTATAAGCATATGGTACCTGTAAATCAGAACTCTATAGCCTTGTTTTATGAGGTTCTCATGATAGACAAGACTAGAGGAAACATCAGATATATACAAGTCTTGTAAGGTCTTATTGCATATCTCCCATTCCTTAATGCTTCTCTGATTGTCATTTAAGATAAGCAAAATTAAAGTACTGTGATGTCTGTCAGGAAAACCTGAAGAATATATTTAAAAAATGAACTATTGATTACCTCCCGAATATGAAGAGCATCTTGAACAGTTCTGTCATTTGCCCAAATATAAGAGAGGAGATCATTGTAACTCTACATTAAAACAAGGCAGTTATGTTGACTCACAACCTACAGATAAGTTATTACCATGCATTGTGTGTGTGTGTGTGTGTGCGGGCGCGTGCAGAGAGACTAACCCGACACCATGGCCTACGAAGTTGAGGAAAAGAAAGGAGAAGATTTGCTGAATCCTTGTTAACAAGATATTCTGCAAACCACTTTGACCCCGCTGATTTTGGCAATGATACAGAACAGACAGGTTCCAATATCTGTTCAAGGTGTATGTCTTCAATACACTGCCGATTGAAATGTAAAGTCATAAGTCAGTATTTTGATTCCACATTACTTAAAATTACGTGCAGAAACCAAACCCAATCACCTCGTTGTAAACTTCAAGATCATCCACACATAACGTGTTGTTTAGATCTACATTCATGTATTCTCCCTTGCAGTTTCTTTTCATTGACTTGCAAAATATAAAAATCACATCCACATTTAAAAATCACTACATGCATAACTCAAGGTTTATATTTTTTCCAGCAGATTTTGATGATATGTCAGAATAGTTCAGAATGATTTGAAGAACCAGAATCCAATCTCTACTTTAATGAAACCGACATGAAGCAACAAATTCAGAGTATTTCACCTGGTACAGTTCCTCTGGTATAAGTGCTTTTAGATAAGCAAATAGCACTCTGTAATTCCTATCTATTTGAGTATCTGTCACTGGATTTCCAATCACATATCCCTGCGGCCAATATATTTATGATCAGGAATTTATTAACTACAACACGATATAAATTATTCAAATTCTAATGGCAGAAAATGTACTTTGAGATTCATTGGTGGCAAATGTTCATCTCGATTACCTACATAAAAATATATAAAATAAACCCAAATCAATACCTCATGATTCACAATTAAGAAACTAACTTTGCCTTGTGTGTACATCTGCTATACATTTGCATTTGAGACTGAACAAAAGGTTGCATGATTGACCCTTCTCTCAATTCTTAGTAGCTGAAGCTGACAAAAGGTCAAATTTAAGAGAGTTACCAACTTACCATCAGATATTTCCTGAACTACAATAGGAAGAGTTATGCCTGAATAAGAATCTCCAGCAATATAAAGTGGGTTATTGTAGAACTTGGGCTGATCCATAAGCCACTGCACCACAACAGTGTAAACAACAATGTAACTACGCTAGATGCAAGAAGAGTGTTTTAAATTCGAACAGCCAATCATGTCGATTTCCGAAGCCATTCTTAATCACTAGAATTAATTTTGAGCATGAAGTAAACCTTAGCTAGAAGAATCCTTGTAGGTCATTGTATCCTCACCTTTCTAAGAAATTCATAGGTTTGTACAGCTGATAATGTGTCACTGATATTGAGTTTTTGCATATGAGAATCCAGTGCCCACAGGTTCATCTACAAATATTATGTTGGCAACCTGAAAGTTGTAGATTGTTCTTCTCACTGTCAACAAAACCTTAAAAACTTAAAAGGTTCTATTGATCACATACAAAGACATAAACACAAACACCTAGAAGGCAACTGAAGTCTCCCACCTTTGTCCGTGAGTATGGATTCAGCTTTAATTTTGGCTTGTTGCCAATGGAATTTAAGTAGTCAAAGGATAGTGGACCTGCAACAAAGTATGGATTAAATGGTGAGGCTAATTCTAATAAGTAAAGTTTGAACACAATATTTGTGCCAGATTGCAACTAAATGTATATTAAAAACTATAGAATTATAAAATAATTATATTAATGAAATATATACAATAAACGCCAACAAGGTCTACCCCAGTGGAAAAGAAACTTGACTTGCAAACCAATGGTCTCAAAGTTCAAATCCTCATGGCACCTTGACAGTGTGTATAAGAAAATCCCTTCCTAAATTTAGCAAAAATAACACACACGACTTACTAAAAAAAAACTAAAACTAAAACACTCATCAAACAACGACTAGAATATATAATTGCCACATGCGAATATACAATTGCCACATGCTCTTGCCACAATGAATATATAAGTCCCCCTTCCCTGTTCTGGGTTGGGCCAGGTTAGTAGCTATGTTGTCTGTGCTTGTGTTCTTATACCTCCAGAAGAATACACCAAATTTTTTTTATAGAGAAATTAGAGAAAACAGAGCACATCCTTTCCATAGCTTTCTTCACACTGCAAATCTCACCTACTTGACATACCTTTTATTTTTGCTGTTTTATTGTTTAATCTTTGCCTTTATTTTAAAAAGATTTTCTGGTGTCTGTTACCATGGTCATACAATTCCAAAATAGAATAATATCCTCTGAAAGATGCAGAGAGTGGAAAACATAATAAGGTACCTAAATTTTCATATACAAAGCCAAAGAAGGTAGAACAACCAGGTCCCTCATTGAGCCAAAGAACAAGAGGATCATACTCTGGACTCCCTTCAGACTCAAAGAAGTAATAAAATAGCTGCACAGCATCCATGGCGCCCACTCCCACGTACCTTTATATAGTTAAAGTCATAAATTCATTGTCATCTTTTGTATTAACGTACAGTAATTAAGAGAGTAGAAAATAATAGTTATAAGAAGAAAAATACCAACCCAGTTTCAAGTTTGAAGGGGAGGTCCCCGCGAAAGCCGGGTAGGGTTTTGATGATATTGGACGTTGATGCAACATTAATGTTCATAAGGATCACCAGAAGAAGTGCTTGTGGCAACATGGTGCTTGTGGCAGCTGAAGAAGTTGATGCTAGGCTTATTTCTTGCTAGATGGTTTTATCACTTTACTGTGTACAGGGTACACGTGGTCAAATTGGCACAGAGCATTAAGTAAATCCTCGTGCTTACGGAGACCCGCCTAATTCAAAAGCTGAACTGTTCTGTGTGTGATCATTTCTTTTAGCCGCCCGCAAATGTACTTCGTGGCCCCCACATTGCATGCTTGTCGCTGAATTGAACTGTGTTTTGATCCAACTAATGATCTGCCACCAATTAGTCGACCTACTTAAATTTCTCTGTTCCTCTCTTTGATTGTTGTTCAAATGGTACGGCTTCACAATGGATTATCCAGATGATGACTTTTTGCATGAATTTGCTTTGCTTACGTAAGGACCAAAATGACTCGAGAACGAATTAGACGACTAAAATGAAACTTGGATATAAGTTCCGGGGCCATTGTGGTTACTTGATTGGGTTCTCCGATATGATATAGGGTTTTAAGTAAGAAGATGGGTCCCCTCTCTCTTTTGCTGATAGAAAGTGGCCCAACTTTTAGTGATCTCCAGACCAGAATGCTGACATGCTTTAATTTTTGCATTGGAATTATATACACTAATGCACTCCTAATGAAAAAAGGTAAAGTTTTTTGTCAATATTTTTATAAAAAAAAACTTTAATTGCAAATCTTAATCATAATAAAATTGTGTATTTACGTATGAGCCCTAATCACTAATTATTAATACAAAAGTATTCTTCTTATTACTGTATGTCCTTAATTTCACTCTTTCTTTTTGTACAAGTTAGAACACGTGTTGATACTAGAAAAACAAAGAGACAAATAAAGGACGGTGGACTTGAAAAATATGCACTTATTAGGAGACACGTACATAAGTAATTCACTGATACATCATACATGTATAGTATAATATATATGCCGTAGTATAGGAGATGAGATAATAGCATATAAGCCTTCATTTCAGGCAATTATACAGCACTTAGATAATATATATTTATACGAACACATATATATCAATATATATATGTGCAGAGTATGATCATCTGGTGGTGGACGATTTTTAGGCAACAGTCAAGGAAAGAGTCACTGGTGAATGCAAAGGACCTAGTCAATGATGGCCTTCACCAGGGCTAGGGCCAGAGTTCTTGACATTTGCTAGACTAGTTTGAAGGCTCACAGATCTGTGTCCAACACCAGGGCCGCTTGGTCCTGAACCATCCACTGTGGTGAAGAAGCCCTCATTCTCTCTAGCGACACCATTGCGTGATGGCTTCAGCGGTCGAGCTTCTGTTGGGGAAAGCTTGGAGCTTAAGAGGAGAGAAGCAAGAAGAAGAATAAACAAGAGGGCAAAAGACTTGAGAGCTCTAGCCATTTTGGTGTAGTAATAATTATTAGCTAGAACTAGGTTTTCCTTAGTTAAAGAGTGGCAAGTTTGGGGGTGTATTTATAGTGCTTTTAGCTAAGGGGAGAGAGCTTGGACTTTTGAGTATTATGCATGTAGCATGGAAATTAAGTTTCTAAGAACAAAATCTCATTACATTGTTGATAAACATACACCCTCCTGGTCATGAGCTTCTGATAGATGGGACATATTGAAATCATGTTAAAGTGGCGTCTACTTAATTAGGTTCATCCCAAATGCCAAGAACCTGGGAGGGGCGGCTCCTTTGGAAAATGATAAACATAAAAGTTCGGTTTGTTAAAGAGACACCACCATGAAAGGCGAGTCAAATGGTATTTCTCTATCGGAAATACTGACTCTTCACACTTAAGGAGTCATTCCTCACAAATAAATCACAGTCCGACATATGTGCAGAAATTTTTTTATTTTTTTTTTTTTTTTTTTGTTACTTTTGAAATTATTTGTCAAATTCTGACTTTTCTTAAAGGAAAATGGATGTCCTTTCCTTATTAGTGCAAAGTAATGGAAGATCCTTGTAGTATTTTCAGGAAAGAAAAAAAAATTATGTGATACATGAGGATTGATTAAGGATATATCATACTGAAATGAGATTTTTATAGAAATGTCACCTAAACTTATACCTCAGTCAATTTGTCATCTTAAAGAAAAATTAAGAGAAATGTCACCTTAAATTTTCAAAATCCATGATTTGTCATCTAACTTTAACACACCATCCATTTTCCATCAATTTGTAAGGGTATTTTAGTCTTTCCATTAAATTTTTTGTTCAAATAATTTAAAACTATTTAAATATTAATTAAAAAAACATAACTATTTGAATGAGATAAATAAGAGTTAACTTAATAAATAAATAAGTAAAATTTAACCCCAAAAAAAACCTAAAACTGAAAAAAAAGAAAAAAAAAGAAAAAAAGAAAGAAAGAAAGACACCACCTCCAATCCCAACCGCCAGCCACCATTGTTCTCTCTTCTCTTTCTCCCCACCAACAACCCATGACCCCACTCCTCTCTCTCTCTCTCTCTCTCTCTCTCTCTCTCTCTCTCTCAACCCTTATCCAACTCAAACCCCACCCCCCTCCCCAAAAACAACCCTAGCCATTTATAGCATCTTGAAGAGAGTCTCCAAATTTTAGCCAAATTCTAGCTAAAATAGCTAGAAAGTCATTATAGCAAACTACTTAAAAGGTGTTTCTTCCAGCAATGTCTCTATTTTGGCTAATCTCAAATGTTTTATTATTTTTTTCTCTTTCTCCCTCTCTCTTTTGCAAATCAAATATATTAAAAGAAAAAGTAGAAAACCAGCCACAACCAACCTCCCAAATGTCTCTATCTCTCTCCCATGTTTCTCTCTCTTTCTCGTTCTCCCTCTCTCTCACTCTCGCATAGCTTCCAATTTGGCGAGGCTCACTTTCTCTTTCCTCCTTGCTAGATGTAGCGAGCCAAAAGTTGGTTCTCCAAAATACAGAGTCAAGTAGGAAGTCTGCTGGAGTTAGTTTATCATGTGTATTTAACAACAAATTTAATGAAATGAACAATATTGGCTAACAGTCCTAAACATAATGACCGAATTAGTTAAATTGAAAACACATGATTTAAATTGCCCAATATGTTAAAACACAAGGACCATATTTACATTTAAGCCTATTTTTATAATGATTTTTCCATTTTTAAAATATCCTTAAAAATTGAAAGACTAAAATACTATTAAAAATGAATGAAAAATTGAATAGTGTTAAAGTCATATAACAAGTCGTGTGACATTTCTACAAACATATCTAATTAATTGGTATTTATTGTTGTGCATTTGAGCTTCCCAATTGTAGAACTAGAAGGAGTACGTGTAGAGTTGGAAACTAGGGGATCTTTTGTAGCCCTTGAGACGGCACAAAGACAATGAAAGTGATCTTTAATTGATTTGACTAATCATGAACGGACGATATACATCGTTAGGAAATGGATTTAATATGTCAATGCTTAATTTTTATTTTTTTAATAAATTTATTAATATTATTATCAGGAATGAAATGACAAATTCAAGTGGTGTTGATCAATATGATATGAAATGCATGTAAGAGCATTTGAGCATCTGCAATAGATTCCCTAAATCACATTTAAAACTGCAATAGATTCCCTAAATCATATTTTTAAATAAGATTAATAAAAGAAGTGAGAAAATTCACCTCCAACCATATTCCCTATCCAACTTTTAAAATAGGAGACCTCTAGGAGCTCTTAAATCTGAGGAGAGAGAATGGACTCCTAATGACTCCCTATACTTTAATGATGCCTTATTTAATGAATATTTTAAACATTTAATTAATATTGCCTATTTTTATATTAATTTTTTTTTAATAGAGATGGATCATTTATGCTGAATTAAAAAATTAAAAAATTATCTCTCTCTCAAACAAAACAAAAAAGAGCATTTATGTCTCTCTAAATTAGAGAATATGATTGAAGTTGACATTTTATAAAGAGCTTCTAAAATAGCTTTTGTGTGTTTTTAGTTAAATTTTAACTAAAAAGTAGATAACATAAATGAAGATGCAACCCCACCAAGGTTGGCAATTTCCCTTGTATACATTTCATCTGGGATTTGCCTTTTGAAGAGTCAATTGTCCCAAAGGATATGAGAAATCATTAGTCACCACATGTGCAGAAAACATGGACTTTTAGGCAATAATAAAGTGATGGATATAATTAACGAAGCCCATGACTTTATGTCTTTTTTGCTTTTGTTAGATTCCCAACTCTTCATGTTGCCAAATCGGGGATCGATACTACATTGTAACGAGATCTCTCCTACCTATTTGGCCATAAATTGTATAGAGACCATTCTGTACCAAGTTTTCGATGGCCTAAAATTATCAACAACATGCCACATTATAAGTGGGGAGCTTGGAGTTTGAACTTCTCCATCAATTCGGGTTCAATCAAGCCAAGTAAATCAGCGGTCCATTATGACCAACATCGATAGACTTTAACTCAACTGCAGTTGCTGCATGCATAGTTCGTCATGTGTGAAATTTTATACAAAATGCATTAATATTATTAACAATAGAATCACTCATTATATGTTTATTTTATTTTATCAAATTTCCAATTTAAGACTTTACATTCTTCAGCCCTAAATCGCCTAAAAGTTACCCTTTCACATGTTTATTATAACTAGCTTTCTTTGTCCTCGATACTAATATAAGAAGATAGAATCCTAAATTTATGGGTGCAACTGTAAACGGCAAAATGTTTGGCACGTGTAGCTCTTCATCATGGCATAATTCGAGCATCGTTAACGTTAATTATGGCACAGAGATAATTTTTGTACCCGATGTCCGAAGCACAGAGCAGATATTTTGGTTTTGGGGGAACTAAATGAACTTACAAACAAAACAACATGATGCGTGAGATTAATTCAAAGAAGAAGAAACAAGAACAAAAAAGTTGTTGTTCCGAGAAAACTATTGAGAAATTAGCAATTAAATTGTATAAAAAAGTAAGAATGATAACGTGTCTCAAAAGTTTTGAATGAACATTAGTAAGGAAAATGACTAGTCGTCTTACGGACATCAACATAAATATGAATGTTTTGATTCTCTACTTACGTAAATTAACATTATTATTGTTCGTGTACGAGCTCATTTTAAGTTTTTTTGTTTATAATTATTTTAAATAAGCGATAATATATTATTGATGAGCGAATAAAAGCACAAAGCAACTATATGTCGAATATGGGTAAATCTTCTCCAGTGACCAAACACAACAATATGTTGAATTGATCTAGAGAGAATCACACACAACCCAAACAATAACTAAATCCCCGATCCAGCAACCAGAAGCACATGTACTCACAGACCTACAATACAAATTCGTCGTGCAAATCCGTATTGAAAGCCAAAAACTAAAAAAAATAAAAATTCTAAATAGAAAGCAAATCACAACAAACTCCTAAAGAGTTTTTGAAAATTATTAGTCTAAAACAAAAATAAGAGACAGGACTACCGTTCCACATCTTTTGGGCAACCTGAAGAAAATCACAGCGCCATACCGGCTAAACCCATAGTCCCGCATTTGCTAAACTCGAACCCAACGCAAACAGACGTCTTTCCCTATTTATGGAGGGTTTCCATGACCACACTACATATTTGTAGTGAATTTTATAGTATGTGACTTTAGAGAAGAAGGTTTCTTCTTGTTTCCTAGTTTTTATCTTTTTGGTGGATTCCTTAGAGGGACTAGTTGTTTATCTTTTAAGTGTTCACTTGTTGTTTTCCCTCTTATTCTCCATTTGTCCGGTGTCATTCGATGTGACAAAGGAAACTGTTTTTACAATAATATTCTAGTAATGTCATTCTTTTTTAGGTATGTGTAATAATAATGGTGGTTTTTTTTTTTTTTTTTTTTTTTTTTTTTTTTTTTTTTTTTTATATAAAGGAAAAAAACTTATATACTTGTCAGCAACCATTAGCATTCTCGTCCTTTAACCAAATAGTTTGAACTTGCTACCTTTAAACGGGTTTCATCCCTGTACGAACGTTGTCACACATCACCAAATATAGTAAACACCCATCAATTTTGAGGTTTTTAAGGAGCATTACATTTGTAGTCCTTCAAATTGGAAGTATGAAGACCTAACTTACTATTGTATACATTATTCAATCTGGTAAAATTCCACAGTTTTTAGAGAGGATGGCCATCAATGAACGAAATCTTTCCATAGTGCTTGCTAGGAGTTCGAAAGAGACCAAGTACGTACATTACCAATTGGATTTGGAATTGTCGGCAAAGTCTTTGAGTCTATCAATGAAATCTCAGCGAAAGCTTTCGCATGAAGCAATATTAATTGCTTGTGTAGTAACACTTTGATGGGTTATTGCTTGGAGGTGGCTTTCCCCATCATATTGACTGTGCGCACCAACCTTTGGAGTCAAATTAGTGTTGTGGAAGTAAGCAAGCTAGAAGAACTAGTGTCATTATTTCGTGACACATCAAAAGTCCTAAATTTGTTACGTACATATCCAAAATGAAGAGAATTGATGTAGACTGGGGGGAAAAAAGGTCAAAAAACTATGCTTATTTGGTGATCAAATGAAAAAGCATGTTGAGAATATATTTCATGTCACGATAGGTAGAGTTTTATAAAACGTTATTCACTTAATGTTACTTTAATCATTGTCTTATGATTTTGAGTTGGATGTTCTTTAACACCTAAAATCGTTCAAAACAACTTGAACTCTCACACATATAAAATCAACTATAAGCTTATGTAACACGTGTAATTTGTAGATGATTGTCGTGAACGTTTAACTCATATCATGCGATCGAAAGATTGTCGATTGATCTCTAATTAATCTTTAACGTAGAACACATTTTAAATAATGGAATGATCGTTATGTAATTTTATTTTATTTTATTTTTTTTCCATATCGTGAGAGAGAAGAAAATGTTGCCTTTTGGGGGTCACAACGTGAAACAAGAGAAGAGTATCGTGGGTCGAGCTGCAAAACCGCATTTGCTGATTTTTATCATGTGGAGAGGTCAACAAACCTTCTCATAATCCCGAGGGGCTTTGGGGCTTGGACAAGCCAATAAAAAATAAAAAAACTGTTTCTATATTGTTAATTGGTGCTGCCTTTCGTGGATGGAAATCTATTTCAAAAGTACATATATAATTCCAACTTGAAATAAACCAGAAATGGCAACAACAAGAAAATGGTAGTGTGCCTTAGTGCATTTCCTCCTAAATCAACTGTTCGTTTTCCTTGAAAAAGACCTAATATAGAGTCAATGTACGTGAAAGGTACATAAACAAGTAAATAAAGAACAAGTAACCCCTGTTGCTATCTAAACCAATAGACTTACAATTACATGAGCTTCCAATACGATACTATAAAAAGGCCTCTTAGCTAGCTAAACCAACCAACCAAGACATCTTCTGAATGCAACTTTTGAAGCACTTGAATTATATTGCTCTGCAGTGCTAAATAAATGGCTGGAACTAGAAATCCAAGTTCTCAAAGCTTTCGTGGTCTTCGTCTAGTTCTTATCCTCCTTCTGGTGTTGAGTTTTAGTCTTGTTGGGTTAATGGAAGCTCGGCCATTGACCAAGGAAAGAGGGACAATGGAGGGTTTGTCAGTTGGGATGATGAAGAGTTCAGGGCCAAGCAAAGGTGGTGGAGGACACAGAGGCAGGGTGCATACTCGGATTCTACCTGAGCAAATCAAAGACAAATCTGGCCCCAGCCCTGGTGTTGGCCACGGGTATTCTGGTGCCGCTATCATGCACCCCTAAGCTAGCTTCACCATTTTATTTTATTTTTTAAATTTGAATTTTACTTTTGTTGGATATGCTTTTATCAGATTGTTGTATTTGTGTGTGATGCTTGTATTTGTCAAGAATAATGTTTCGAAATTCGAAGACAATGAGACAAGTGATTACAATGAGTAAGTACAATATCAAATTCACAAAAGTATTACTTCAGTCATGATCAAGAGTAGAATGCAATAAAACTTGTTAATGGTTAGCCTGTTATTGCATCCAAACAAGCAAGAGTTATCAATGCCATCTTCACTTCTTTCAGCTCATCCTGGAGGCCTGCTTATAAAGTGTGTTGGGTTTTTTAGTGGGGCTAAATTCAATTTTGATTTTTAATTATTTGAAACTTTGTGTATTCCAGCATGTTTCCCGCTTCAAATTATTGTCTAACAACATAAGATGTTTATATTGACAACACCTCTTATCACTTTGCCTACTTTAATAACTTAAAACTAATTAAAAATGTCAATGAAAAAATAAAACTCAAAACCACTTGACAATATGTTGAGACTCCCATTATTCTTACTATTAAAAAAAAGAGCATACATCCCAAGTGTATATTTGCATGCATTATAGCTTTAGTCTACTGGTATTTTTCGTCCCAATAGTAAAAAATGTTTCTAAATTTAGATATTTCTCCCCACTAATTGAAAAACTAAAATTACTAAAATTAGTATCTACGATGCTTCAATTGCATTTATCATTATCTATATAAAAAAATCTTGTGTGACATTAATTATAGGTGTGAGATTTGCTGGTGATTGATGGATTGATTGCTAATTTATAAGTTGACCATTGGATACTTTTTCTTTTGGTTACCACGGAACGGAACCATGGAAGGGAAAATAAAAAGATGAGAGTGAGATGAAAAGACAGAATCCAGCTCATTCAAACCAAATTTGGCAAAACACAAAAAAATCATTTGAACCAATCACACTATATAAAGCCTCTTATGACAATGGTATTAGCCTAATACCATACCAACCAACATTCTCATACAATTCAAAACTTGACTTACTCTAAAATGACTGGAGATTCAAGATCTCCAAGTTTTGGTGCCCTAATTGTTCTCCTTCTGATGAGTGTTATACTTGTTGAAATCGAACCCAGACCATTAAGCCCCTAAATATGTTTCACTTCTAAAAGGACAAATGGAGGAGGACATATGGCATGGCATGCTCGGATTGAGTATTAGGGGCCAAGTCATAGAGGGAACAAATCCCCTAATAAAGGACATGAGAAATTATTTCCCATCAAATTCTTGCGGGAACTAAACGAGACCTAAGAATTTTTGTGTAAAATGTCACGTTACAATAAGCCTATTTATAAAAAGCCCATAAATAAATAATTACTGGGCATTATTAAGCCTATAACGAACATGGACGGACCGGGCCCATAAGACATAGCAGTTTACTGGGCACCGGAGAACGTTATGAATTTCCCGGTTACTAAACCGAAGGGTTTACGGGAAAGCAAAGTGAAAACCCCCAACTTTGGCCTAAACCCCCAAAATCTCAAACATGGTGGGCCCTATACTCCTCCGCCGGCTTCTCCTCCAGCCACCACCGTCCTCCGCGGCGAGGGTCTGCATCTCAGCCTTCCACAACTGGCGATCTTACGCCACCACTGAAACATTTCACGAAGACAGAGAAAAGCGCGGTGAAAAATGGTTCACTTTACCTCCGTTTACTGCCACCATAAACGGCAGCGCTTTGGGAAAGGAGCTCTCTCGCAATCGTTCATACGGCAGAGATGTAATTACGAAGACTGCCACTACCTCCACCACCTCCACCACTACCACGGCGCTTAAATGGGTTACTCGATGCTGCCCGGAGCTTCCTAGAAGCCTCGTTCAGAAGCTCTTTCGCCTAAGACAGGTTTGGAAATGGGTTTTTGAGTACATTTTGGAAATGGGTTTTTGAAATCCAATTGGAAAGTAGCTTACTTGATTTCTTTTGCAGGTTCGAAGAGAATCTTGTGACATGGAATGTTCTGGTGAAGGTGTTGAGGCACTTGAGCGCCCACTTAAAAGGGTAACTGATATTGCTCTTACTTTCGTACTTTTTCTGGGCTTTTATGTATTTGTTTTTGTCAGGGAAATTAAATTGATAGAGTTTTGGTTTTTGTAATAATATGGGAATGGTTTCTTTCTGATTTTAATTTATCCAAAGGTGGCGGCTAAAGACTCAATGAATGTAGGAGATCGAATACATCTTCCTATTTCTGTGCAAGAGTTCCCCAATGATAAACAAGAGTTGCCCACTGATAAAAAGGAGTGCCGTTGTAGTGAAGAAGAAGTCACCTTTATCCGTAGCCTTGAGTTGTATAAGGTTCATAACTTTGATCTCTGTTGTGTCCATTTAAGTTAGCTATCTTGCTTACAATAATTTACCCAATACATCTTTTTGTTCCTGAAATTAGGATCCAGCCATTATTGTCATCAACAAACCCCCTGGAATGCCTGTTCAGGTTAGTTACTGATACTTCATTGAAGGTTATTGACGTACCTTTGGTTTGTTAGTAGTTGAATTTGATTCCCACATATTGAATTATATAGTGTTTGCACAGGGTGGTATTGGCATCAAAAGAAGTTTAGATGAACTGGCTGCCGCTTGTTTAAGTTATGACTTCTCAGAACCCCCTCGGCTGGTGAGTTTGTAGGAAATCTTAACTTGTGCAGAATTCATTGTCGTAGCTGTATCGTAAGCACTATATTCGTTGAACTTCTAAAATGTTGAATGGGGACCTTTCATGTAATAGTAAAATCTAGAGTGTGTATGGAATGAAAGAGAGATTCATTGCTGTGACTCAAGCCACACTATTGAGAAACTCTAGCCAACTCATTGACTAGCAGCTTGTTCACATATTTCATGTTCAACCAGATGGAGCCACTTGTGAGCTATATTGCTTCATGATTCCAGGTTAAGCATCCTCAAACCCAGCTTGGTTGGGCTGGTAAACAGTTGTGTCCTTATGAGACCTAGACAGAATGGAAACAGGAACTTTTTTTTATTTCAATGAATGCAAGAATTGATTAACGGAAAATTTAGTTTTATAGACTTTATATTAGAATCTCAATCATTGTATCAAGTGTGTACTTGCATGGAAACTTCTATTTCCACAGCAGTCTTATGGATGCTTGGATGTATGGATTATCTATCTTCCTTGAACAAGCTCTGTGTTTGTTTTGTTTTGCCTTTTTCCTTTTCGTTTTTTCTTGGATAAGAATCTTTGTGTTTGTTAGGTACACAGACTTGACAGAGATAGTAGTGGTATCCTGGTGATGGGAAGGACACAAACAAGTGCGACAGTTTTGCATTCCATCTTCCGCGAGAAAACTTTTGGAGCATCAAATGATGTGAGTAAATGTCCACTCTTTCTCTGTTGGTGCTTGTTTCTGGAAGGATCCATGCATGGTCATCAAGTTGCGAGGTTGTTAGTTCTGTTACATGTCAATTTACCTCATGTTTGTATTTGTTTCAAGGTAATTGATGATGCAAAAAGAATTCTGCAAAGAAGGTATTGGGCACTTGTCATTGGATCTCCCAGACAACGACAGGGTTTAATCTCAGCACCTTTGGGAAAGGTTAGAGTACTCTTGAATATATTTACTCTGACACTCACCCATCCACACCTAGAGATTACCCGTAGTCTCAGTGATGCATTGAACAAATATCAGTGTATAAAATTTACAATGTACTGAACTTTTAATATTTTGGGGCTTTGATTGCTTTCAGGTGGTAGTGGACAATGGTAAATCAGATCGAATCACAATTGTGAACGATTCACAAACTTTGCCATCTCAGCATGCCATTACAAAGTACAAAGTAATTGGATCACCATGTCCTGGTTAGCAACAAACTCTTTCGCCATTGCACATAAGCATGCAAAACATGCTGCAGTTTTAGTTTCAACATTTGGCTCCAAACAATCATGAATGAAGATATTTCGGCGCAGCTTTCTTGTACAAATTCATTGACAAATAATATTTCCCTCTAAGTATGTGCTTCTGATATTCCACTATTGATTGTGCAGGTTACACATGGTTAGAGCTAACCCCTCTTACTGGCCGAAAGCATCAGGTATGGATCAGAACTAAACACTTGTTAGCAGATTTATTACTTCGTTACAAAGTCACTTTTCTCTGTGAACAACTCCTCTAAACATGTGTGAGCATTGCAGCTGCGTGTACACTGTGCAGAGGTTCTGCGAACACCGATTGTTGGAGACTACAAGTATGGGTGGCAAACTCATAGGAACTGGAAACCGTTAGCTTGGTCTAATAATGAATGTAATTCAGATGAGGAGTTTCCCAAGACAAAAAACCTCCCTTTTGATCTCAATATGGAAAGCGGAAGTGTCTCCGAAAAGAATCCCCGCCTGCATCTTCATTGTAAGCAAATGGTTTTGCCTAATGTGAATCTGGCTTTGCAAAATGTGAAACTGCATTCAGATAGTGATCTTTCAGAATTAGAAAGCCTAGAGTTGGTTGCTCCTCTGCCTTCGTTCATGCAAAGAAGTTGGAATATTACAAATTCTTAAGCTACAACTTCAATTTTTTTGTTGATTCTATTATCGTTTTCTTTTATTTTGTCATTTGATTGCTGCCTTAACTTGCATATTTTTACAAGGGAAATTTGTTGCAAGGGCATAATCCTCCTCCTTAACATCTTCTTTTCTCTTTATTCGGATATTCGAGGAATTCTTAAGAATTTTCAGGTGCAATAAACTACGATATATTCTCCGATAAGCAAATTTTGTGACGGACGCAACTAATTTTGGTCATCAGAAAGATATTCTCTGCACCTGGATTTGTAATAAACCACGTCCCAAGGTCTCGAAGGAGAGTAAAGGAGTTGACCATGCCCTACATTATTGGCTTAGTTTCATCCATATAGCTTATTAGTGATCTTGCCTAACACATAGACTGCCATACCATAACGGGGTTATGTTATGAGTCATGGCCCCCCATCTTACATTTTAATCGTCTTAGTGCTAACCATGTAGAGAAACCAAACAAGATTAATGTGTCTTAGATATCAGTCTAACAACTTTTCGAACCCTTTTTTAAATAAAAAAATTTATAAAAGAGAGGAGATATTCGAACTTGAGCCATGACAGAGCCACGTATGGATCTAGAGTGAGCTAATTTTTTAAAAAAATAAAAAATTATAAAAGAGATGAGATTCGAACTTGAGCCATGACAGAGCCACGTGTAGATCTAGAGTGAGCTAATTTTTTGTTTTTCTAGGTTTCTTGGGACTTATCTTTCTAGTGACAAGCCGAAATTTCAACCTCCATGGGAAAACGGAAGAAATATAAAACAAATTTTGGTATGGACCCTGGAACATGAATGGCTTGTGGCTCACTGCGTTGATTTATTTTCTTCTTCTGTTATTGCATGTGTGTCTACTAGTCAAGGATCGGCTTGAGAGAAGAAAATGCATGTGAACACAGCAGCATCTTTCGACTCTTGAACCTCTAAACTTTCCTTAATAAAGTTTGGCCTATCCCAATTATTTAATTAAATTAACATTTTTTACTGTTTCTTTTACTAAGAAGATCGTAATTGAGATGTACAATAGAGGTTTTTTTATAATAAATATAAGTTATAGTCTAAATTACGAGAATAGGGGGTTTCTCACACAATTTATTAAAGTGTCATTAAAATTCAAATTTGAGACTGTTAGTCTGTAAATCAAGGTATTTTTTCACTAGACTAGACCCGTTGGTTATTTACAATAGAATCTAAACTCACGTATAAAGGTAAATATTCCCTTATAATAACTATATGTGATGGTATGACATTATAAATTGACGTTCAATCCAGCAAAATTGGATCATGCTTCTATAACGACAGCTGGTGGGTGAAAGACCTGAGATTTCTGATGGAGCCCCATTCTTTACGAATTGTCAAAATCAATTGCATCAACTTAAAGTTGAAGAGATGAGCTGTTGGAAGCAAATGAACAGAGAAGACGACATGTGCCTTTCTGTCACCTAATAATCTCTTTAACAAGGCATTCTTTAATTTTCTTATAAATTAAAAGAAAAATTGTCGTTAACAACCTAAACTCACTTGATTGACGCATCAGATTATCTTAATTTTGATATTAGATTACTCTGTTATTGTAATAGCTCTTTATGATTAGTTTATATTAGCCATTTGTGGTTAGTTTTTTTTTTAGCATAATTATAAATACAATTCTAGAATTTCTCAACCTAAAAAAAACTCATTTGATTGGCTGAACTTATTGTTCTATTTTAATGTCGTTAACAGTCATTAAGAATCAAAATTAAGAATCAAAATATTGTTGGATACCACAATTATGTAAACTTGTATTTCTTTTATAGTATTCAAGGTCGTCGGAAAAATCAATTTTTTGCTTTCTATATATTCGAAGGAGATGGCGGAATGGAACCCGCTCAACTTGTTCATATTTATTTCACCACACATGCGGTCAAGATCACATGGCTAAAAAAAGAACCACCATTTTTTATTAACTAAGTAAAGATGAGAATTATAATATCATGCTTGCATTGCACGATAAAAAAACTGAGGCTTTCTTCTTGGTACCACTAAAATATGTAAGTCTTCTCCGAGGGACTGCTATTTTTTGTGACATGTTTTACAAATGCCAAAAACTGGGTCTCTCATTTATGGTACGAAGTAATAATATTTGTGTTCGATTTTTTTTTTTTTTTTTTTTTTTTTTTTTTTTTTTTTTTTTTTTTTTAATAATAATTAATGTAAAATTTTAGCATCCGATGTAAGGTTGGCAATGGGTCAGGTTTGTGTTGTGTCAAGATAATAAACGTATCAAGAATGCTCAACCCAAACCTGACTCATTTAATAAACATGTCGTGTCGGGTTCGCATTGTGTTAAACATGTCACATTTTAAGAAGAGACTAAATTCAAAATAGAGATGAGAATTAGAATGAGGAGATCGACTTAGACTAAGGTTTTCATTTGGGTAAGTTGAAATCCACTACCCTCGGATGCATGGTGGAGTAGAATAGAATATGCCAACATATACATGCCACATATTTATTACTAATAATAAAAATTAAAAAATAAATAATACATGTGCCAAGTAGGTTGTTTCGTTGGTTGGTGCTAAACACACCCGTTTATTAGACATGTCATGGTGGGTTGATCCGACTTTGACCAGCAATTGTAATCAATGTTGATAGGGTGTCTCTCCTATTCTACCAGGGCCCTAACTCGGGTCAAGACCAAGATGTATCTCGGGCTGTTAGGTTGGGTTGATCTTCCAAGATAGCCTGCACACTTCCAGCAACTAAACTATCAAAAGAGGGAAAAACTAGCGTGATACTAGTCGAACCCCCTCCGATGGCTAAGTTAGAGGTAGATTTAAAGTAAAGAAAAATGGATACAGAGTTTCTGGGTGAAAATAGTTATTACATTTGTCTCAATGCATGTGAAGAGTATTTATAAAGGGAGAATGAGAGATCATATCTCCTTAAATCTAGCCCAAAAGGAGATCTTCAACCATTCCCCATGTTGGGATCAGAGAGTGGTTACAAGCATCAATCACTGTGCTGATTATCAGGGATCAAGTGACAAGAAGACACCTGACTTGGATGTGAAACGCATTAAATGTCATTTCTTAGCCACCACACTGGTATTAGGTGCGTGAAGTGACTTGGTCTGACAAGGGTCTGGTCGAGTCGGTATACTAGTGCTTTTGCCTTTATGTTCTTGTGACATCATGGTGGACCTAGGGCGGTAAGCCTGGTCGGGTCGGTGCATAAGCACCCTGACCTTGCCCAAGTGGCGTCCTCTGATAGGTTCGGCTCTACATCCTGTTAACAATACTTGGGTTGTCAATTTGGTCGGTTCGGTACACTAGCACCCTGACCTTGGCTAAGTGGCATCTCCTGATACGCTCGGCTATTCGACCTATTAACATTAATCATTCAGATTAACACACTAATTTTTCATGCTAAATTTGAATCGTATATCGAGTCATATCGAAAATTCCCAGTAGAATATTTCCAACAACAACAACCATAGAAAAGCTTTGGCTTTCGCCAAACTGTTGTTTTTGCTAAGAAAAGGTATACCAATTATATACGTGGATATGACAAAAATGACAAATTGAACAAGTATCAATGATATGCTATATAGAGTTAGATTCTCATGGTCACCAACCGTTTGGATGAAAATGCTCATGCAAATTTAGTTCAAATCCACTTCATTCTATACTATTTTTAATTAATTTTCATCGTTAAAAATTGATTCAATAGTCTTTTTCTTCCCTCAAACAATAGAATCTCATTAGATATAATAGATACACATCTTTATCTTTTCTGCTAAAATATTGAAAGGTCAAACAAAAGTAATTAAAACCCAATAATAAACAACATAGTCAAAATTTCATGTGTGAGAGGTCCTCTTACAAAATATATAATAACAAAAAATTAAATTGTAATACATTCCAAAGTAACTAAAATAACCAAAATAACATACATAATACATATATAATGAAATCTTTACCCCCAAAAAAAAAATCTAATATATTTTTAAAGACGCGTTAAACTTAATAGAGAATCCTAGAAATATTAAAAATATCATAAAATATATAATATTTTTTAATATAAAAATGAAGGGTCATGGCCGAGACCACAGTGGTCTCTTAGTGGCTTCGCCCATGGTGTAACCCACCCACAATACATCTCATCTCTATTAAGGAGGTGATACATGATGTATTCTCTCTAATACTTTCTTCAATGACATTAAAATTAATAAGGTTTTTTTTATCACAAATGGTCCCTGAGGTTTACGAAATCATCACCTTTCGTTCCTAACTTTTTTTGTGACACTAATGGTCTTTAAGGTTACCCTTCACATATCAAAATGGTTCATGTCGGTTAGCTTCCGTCAAATTTTCGTTAAATTGCTAATGTGGCACATATGTGGAGCCCACACATCCAATGGTATGGAGCCATGTGGTTTTAAATATAATATAATATATTTTTAATATTCATTAAAAAATTAATTAATTAAAAGCAACTTAAATCTTTTTATATATTTTTAAATATCTTTCATGCTATGTTCAGAGAGAGAGAGAGAGAGAGAGAGAGAGAATCTTTTTGTATATTTTTAAATATCTTTCATGCTATGTTCAAATAGAGAGAGAGAGAGAAAGAGAGAGAGAGAGAGAGAGAGAGAGAGAGAGAGAGGGTATGCGAAGGGGGAGGGAAGGATTACACAGGAAGAAGGAGATAGACAAAGAGAAGGGAGGAAGAGGGAGAGAAGAGTGGGTCTGCGAGGGGGAAAGGGAAAGAGAACACAGGGAGAGGGAGAGAGAGAAAGATATTTAAAAAAATATTTAAGTTGTTTTAATTTATTTTTTTATCGATTTTAAGTTTTAAATATATTTAAAATATATTATAAGCCATGTGGCTCTATACATTAGATGTGTGAGCTCCACACATGTGTTACGTCATCAATTTAATAGAAAATTTGACGGAAGCTAACGACAACAAGAACCATTTTGATGTGTGGAGGCTAACTTTAAGGATCATTAGTGTCAAAAAAAAGTTATGGACGAAATATGATAATTTTGCAAATCTTAGAAACTATTTGTGATAAAAATTCAATTAATAATTATGATTTATCGTTTCACTCATTGCACCACCAAAGGTGCTCCTATGAACCAAGTCTTTGTGGCACATTCTGAATTTAAGATCATAAAGTAGAAGCAAGGATGTAGACATTGATTTAAATCAGGGAAAAAGAAGGATTGGAATTGCCGAGGTTGATTACCTTATCCACTTTGGATTGACATGCTTGTGTTGCACTATCGTGAACAATACCACAATGAGAGCAAAATGTAAATCCTAGAATATTCCAAATAATATAATTTTTATGAAGGGGAAAAAAAAACAACCAATGTCAAGCAATAAAAATTGCTTAAGAACAGGATATCAGAAATGATTGCCCATCCCAATCTTACCTTAAATTGTGTCTTTTTTTCCTCTTTTTTAGGTCCAATCCAATAAAATAACTTAAATCAAAAGCCAGCTCATCACCACAACCTCATCTAATTCACCAACTCCTGGATTCATTTGTGACATACGAATGACGCAACAAATGCCCACTAACATTTCAATCAATCACGGGCCCCACCCACCAACTAATGTTGGAGGAAGAATTTTGTGTTCGTGGGACCCATTATTCAGAGAGGATGGTTCCACAGTTCTACTGCAGCTGAGGAGCAGAGGACTTTTCCCCACGCAGAGTTCACCAACCCCAGTGGAACCCCACTGGCTGGGGCTGGAGCCATAGCCAATGCTGATGTGTCAAGCTTCCAAGGCTTTTGTTTTTCCTTCACCCTCTGTCTAAAGTCCATCCTCTCTGTATTTATATGCTTCATTTGGGTTTCTGATTCTCCAAAGCTCACCAAACCCAACATCTCTGCGTCTCAGACACATACAGAAAAGAAGGACAAAGAATATGGGTAGCCTTGAAGCGGAGAGAACAACAACAGGATGGGCTGCAAGAGACTCCTCTGGAATTCTCTCACCCTACACCTACACTCTTAGGTAAATCAATCTTAATAATATCCCTCTTATTTTGTGCCTCTAATTTTTTTTCCCTTGAATCATTGATAATTATAAACGTAGTATATTGAATTCATCAAATTTGTTCACCAAATAATTGTGACAACAGACAATCGACGACGTCTTGTCACATCGTTTGCTAATTGAATTTAGAAATTTGCTAATTATTTTTAATTAAATTAATAAATTGCAGGAACACTGGTCCGGAAGATGTTTATGTCAAAGTCCTAAGCTGTGGGATTTGCCACTCTGATCTTCACCAGGTCAAAAATGACCTTGGCATGTCAAACTATCCAATGGTTCCCGGGTAAGACGTTCGCCAGTACCACGCTATAATTACTCATTCAATTCTTCCTTTTTATGTCACTCTTCCTTATATGATTTGTAAATAAATAACCATTTACCATATCTGCCATGTTATGTTATTGACCAGGCATGAGGTGGTTGGTGAGGTGTTGGAGGTGGGATCAGATGTGACCAAGTTCAGAGTAGGAGATGTGGTTGGAGTTGGCCTCCTTGTGGGTTGCTGCAGAAGCTGCAACCCATGCAAAACAGACAACGAGCAATACTGCAACAAGAAAATCTGGTCTTACAATGACACTTACTCCGATGGCAAACCCACCCAAGGGGGTTTCGCTGGTGAACTGGTCGCTGATCAAAAGTAATCACCAAACCCTAATAAACCATTGTTTACAACAAAATTTGCATTTACCTTCGGCCATATCTCTTAATTTCTGTTTAAATTACAAGTTCAGATCATCTGCTTATGTTTTTTTGCTAATATTTTGTTTAGACTAGTGATTTTATGTTTGGTGTCTTGGCTTGAACTGAAATATGGCTTAAATGGCTAGTCTTTGTTCATTTTAGGTTTTTATTAATCATATTCTCAATTTTATTTCCGGTGAAGGTTTGTGGTGAAGATACCGGACGGCATGGCCTGGGAACAGGCTGCGCCGCTACTATGCGCCGGCGTGACGGTGTACAGCCCACTGAAGCACTTTGGTCTAAATGTGAGCGGATTAAGAGGAGGAATATTAGGACTTGGGGGTGTAGGACACATGGGGGTGAAGATAGCAAAGGCCATGGGGCACCATGTGACTGTGATAAGTTCTTCAGACAGGAAAAAAGAGGAGGCTTTGGAGCATGTTGGGGCAGATGAGTTCTTGGTCAGCTCAGATGCCACTAAAATGCAGGAGGCTGCAGACTCATTGGATTACATCATTGACACAGTGCCTGTTGTCCACCCGCTTGAGCCCTACCTCTCTCTGTTGAGGCTTGATGGAAAATTAATCTTGATGGGTGTTATTGGTGCCCCTTTACAATTTGTCTCCCCCATGGTCATGCTTGGTAAAATCCCACTTCTACCACTTTCAAATTTTGCAATTAAATTTATAGTTCTTATCTGGGTTAGTGGATTAATTCAAAATTATGGCTTCAAAAATCTTGGGTTTGTGTTTTTTTATATATAATAATATTGGGTTCTATTGGAATTATTATGTGTAGGGAGGAAATCAATCACAGGGAGCTTTGTGGGAAGCATGAAGGAAACAGAGGAGATGCTTGAGTTTTGCAAAGAGAGAGGATTGACATCAATGATTGAAGTTGTTAAGATGGATTATGTCAACACAGCCTTTGAGAGGTTGGAGAAGAATGATGTTAGGTACAGGTTCGTTGTGGATGTGGCCGGCAGCAATCTTAATCCGTAGAGAGATAAGAAGAAGAAAAAAAAACACAGAATTCTGTTTTTTTATACAGAGCTTTCTGTTTTAATAAAGAAAGAAAAAAGCTGAAATGGTGCTTTCATTTCATATGAGTGGATGTTTGTTTTCGTTTTGTTTTGTTTTTAAGTATTTGAATAGTGTGATTGAGGTGAGGAGGGACCAATTTGATTTGGTGTGGGATGATGAGTGTGAAACAAGGAAAGATACCAGACTTTAGGTGAGAATTGCGTCGTATATCAAAAGATAAGTACTTCTGCTTTGGCTATGAGCAATGGCTTGCTTTGTCATATAAGGAGTCCAAATGCATGAATGAGTGTGTTTAACACAACTCTTCTCAAAATCATCCTATTTGCATTGATAGGTAGGATAAGTGGTAGGATTGGATTAGTTTAATTCAATCTCATGTTTGATACGTAATAAAATGAAGGAAAATGGACAATCGTACATAATTCAATGTAATTTTATCTCACCTTCTAATTCAATCCAACCTTAGTCACCAACCATAGATTAGTGACAGTGATACGGCAACAAAATATCATAGATTAGTGACAACGATACGGCAACAAAATAATCATTTCAACTAGTGAAGTTCACATTTTTTATGAAAATAAATAAAGGCTTATCTACTTAGTACCCCCTAAAACTATGGTCAAAGCTTACTTTATACCTTGAAAGTTAAAGTAGCCCGCTTTACCTTCTTGACCGATGTTTTGCGTCTCATTTTATCATCTGTCGTCAAGTCTGTAAAAAGTCTATAAAAAATCTGTTTAAAATGCTAACGTGATACGAGTGGGACCCATTATTATACTCAATTCTATGCCATGTGTGTACCAAAAATACTCTAGAAAAAAAACTTCAACAAAAAAAATAATAATAAAAACCTCAATTCCCTCTTCTTCTCCCATCCTCAGGGCACCTACCCCACTGCACACCGCACACCGCCCACCTCCACAACCCCTCCCTCTCTGTGTCTCTCCCTCTTGCAACCTCTAGTGAAGACATGACAAATACTTGGACAAACTAAAAAATAATCTAAATAAATACAGAAGTTTTCCAACCTGAAAATTACATAAAATAAAATCTTTAAAGCCCTGCCATAAGTTAATCTTATCCCACAAAATATCCACCTCATCTCCCTTATAGCAGTGCATGCTGGAGTTACCCAACTGAAATTAGTTGCCTCAGACAACCTTAACCACACAGATAATGCAATTAGGCATAGAAAAAGCAAATGATTCGTGGGTGTGGGTCAAAAACCAGAGCATCTTGCTCTGAAGAAGTGCAATTGGTCAATCTCACTATGAAGAAACAAACAGAGCAAAAACCAGAGTATCTCGCTCTCAGTGGGCAATGGATCCATGCCCATTCGTGTGGGTCACTGTTGGCAATATTGCTCTCAAGATCCCAGTAGCTTCCAAGCTCACCCGCTCCGTCGTCCACCTTTCTTCCTCGTCGTTTTTCTGCAAGATCAAGCTCAACAACCTCCCCCCTCAAAACGCCGCCGTCCCCTGCCTCCCGTCGGAGGCCTAGACCCTTGACAGCACTGCTCAAGCGAATGCCATGGCCGCCACGTTCCACCTTAGCAAGTTGGATCTGGACCGGGTCGGGTCCAAGTCCGTAATCTCCCAAGCTCTGCCTCAAAATCTCAATATACACAGTCGTGAATAAGGGTGGGCATCGGAATCGAAGAACCGATCAACCGAACCAAATTGGATTGAAAAAAAGGGAAAAAAACCGTGTTGATAAAAAAGTCAAACTCAATTCAAAAAATCAAACCAAACCGATTCTAACCATTTCCCGTTTCAGTTCTACCCAAGAAACTAAATCGGGCTGAACCAAACCAGCCAAATTAAAATATATATAATTTTAATATTTATTTATATCCAGCGCTATATTTTTAATCTTATAACTAATATCTACCCAAGTTCAATTTCAAAATATATCTCTTTTTCAGCTTCAATATTCCTTTATTTATTTATTTATGAAATTGGATAATTTATTAATTTTCAAGTTATAAATAAATAAATTTCAGTTGAAATTTGTATTTAAAAAAATAGTTTCAAATAATAATAATAATAATCCAATTCAAAATTAAATTGGACCTGAACTGTATCGAAACCAATTCAACCCTAACTGGATAGTTTTATAAATTTTTTGTTAAAATTAGACCGAACCAAACCGGATAAATAATACCGATTTTGGTTCCAATTTGAGGCAAAAATCAACTCAAACTGACCTGTGCCCACCCTTAGTCATAAAGGCATCATATGCGGCATCAACTTCGAGAGAGGTGGAGGTGGTGCAATGATGGCTACCCCAAGTGGTTGGCGAGGGAGGGGGTCGCTTGGTAAAGAGAAAGAAAGAGGGAGAGAGAAGTAATTATTTTATTTTTCCTTTTTTTAATTTTTTAAATAAAATATTTTATTAATTTAGTCACACGTGTCAGGCATTCATTTCAACAAATGAGTGGGTCTCACTCATGCCAGGTCATCATTTTTAACATATTTCTTTGACAGAGCCCACTCTATTAAAGAGATGGTACACAATGTGGTATAAAAATATAGAGCATATTTGCTCACCACTTTAACCTAATGTGTACCTTCATCACCCTCTTAAAAACTTGACACATGTCTATGAATATAATCATAGTTAACTCTTTATTTTAAAAAATTTTGAAGTATCTAAAACCCAAAAAAAAAGGGTCAAATAATAGTATACAAACAGAGAGAAAACAAGTTATTTTCTTGGATTCATCTATTTTAATATATATATAGAGAGAGAGAGAGAGAGAGAGAGAGAGAGAGAGATGAGTTTGGGATTTGGGGTTTGTGTACTAAGAACCTATTGCTTCTTTTCTATAGATAGGGAAGAGACTAGAGAGAGAGAGAGAGAGAGAGAGAGAGAGAGAGATAGGGAAATGAGTGGAAAGAGGGGATGGTGATGACTCATGATTTAATAAGAAATTGAAAGATGAGCTATCAAAGGAGGGTGGTCCTAAATTGATTCAGTCTCTCTGCTGAAGTTGGTATTTTTTTATTTAATTTAATTGGCAATCCAATGTGTATAAAGAAGGGAATTGTGGAGTTGAGGGTGGGCATGGTGTCTGGAGTTGCGGTAGGGGAATGGTGGCTAGTTGCTAAGGGCAATGGCTGTAGAGAACATAGTCTGAAATATCAATAATATCGATGAAATATCGAGGATATTTCAGTTTTTTCGAATCACGGATATTTCGGAACATATGCATGTACATATCGTATAAATATCGACAATATCGACCATAATATCGGAAAATATCGATGTCGATAATTTTGCTCATACTTCAACAATATTTTGTCAAAATATCGGTGTAAAGGGAGGAAAAAAAAATACGAAGGGGATTTGAACCCCTCTTATTTTACTCATCCAACACCTTAACCACCATATATCACTTATGTTTTAGTGATAATATGCTAAAATATTTATATTTATATTGGTGGCATGTTAACAATTACATGCAAAACTATTTTGGAGATTTATCATTTGATGAATACTCTTCACAATACATTTACTATACACATAGAGATGATGAAGATAGTGAAAAATTTGAACCTCATAGGAACTCTATGTGGTACTAAGTCACTCATGTATCTTATCATGCAATATATAAAGTGTAAAATATTGTAGTAAATCATTATATATAAATGATTATGGTGTGTTTAATCTTTTTTTCATTAATTACTACATATCTTCTATACTCACAGTGTTTGCCAGCTCGTTGTATAATCAACTTAAATCAGTTAAATACATCATGCAATGCATTTCCTTCTAATTTTTTATTTATAAACTAATAGATAATTGACTAAATAAACATTCTCCAAAGTTTCAATAAAAAATTCCAAGTTTTCCTTACAATTTTCGTGGTTTTTATTCAATTTTTATCGATATCGATAACAATAATATCTCGATATTTCCATCGAAATTTTCATATTTTTGGACTACCGATATTTCCGATATCATCGATATTTTAGACCATGGTAGAGAATAGAGTCTCAAGGGTAGGGGTGGGTCGGCAATGGGGGAGAGAGAAAGAGAGAGTTGTTTTTTAAATTTTATTTTATTATTATTTGACTTTGGTTTTTTTTTTTCAAATACTTAAAAAAAATTAGAAAATAGAGAAAGACTTGTGCCCAATTAGGTCGGCCAAGAAAGACTTGTTCTTCTAATCTACTCCATGACCACGTTGCTTCCCACGTGTTACTAAAGTGGAATTATCTTAATGACATGGTTGATTTTCAATGCTGTTCCAACAACCATGGTTTGAAATTGCTCAGAAGATCTACAACTGGAATCAAACTTGAGGAAGGAAGTAGTGAAACTGAAATGGTAAATGAGAAACTAGGTTTAGTTATTAAATTTAGCTCACCAGATGAAATATTATTGATAACTAAAGTAAAAAAAAATTATTTAACTGAAGAAAGTCGACAGCCGTACCTAACAGCTTGAAACCGTACCAGACGAGCACGCTAATTACATTACATGTGAGCCTATGGCCCCTCCTAACATAAAAATAATGGGGATTGATTTGATCATTCTGAAGACGTGGAACTGATGTTATGATAATTGGTGGAGAAATTCAAAAACTATAGCCAATTTATTTCAAGCGTCACTTCATTCAAATTTCATTTTTAAGGTTAAGGGTTAGTTAAGTTGGCTAGAACGGATGTGCTCTTCTCTTTGCACCCGAATTCAAATATCTCTCCCGTAGTTTAGATTAGATTAAAGTATAATATCGCTTGTAAAATAATAATAATAATTTCATTGTTGGGCTCTACGTTATCTTTTCTTTGGTCACGTGTAAGCATTTAGACCATAGTTATAGTTAGGTCTGGGGACCTCTGTGTTCGGATTTTCATTGATCTGGAGGGTTGATCAGTATCTTTCGCTGTTCTTCTTTTGTATTTTGGTCGATTTTCGTTTATCCACGCTTAGTTTGGACTAAAGTGTCATCCCGTTCACTTGAATGAGATTACGTGCCTAGAATCTTAGACATCAAATATCTCCCCATATCAAAAGAAATCTATTTTCTAATCTTTTCTTTTCAGTAGATAATAACTTAGGTGTCCCATCTTCTCAACGAAGCTTTGGCTTTCCTTCTGTCCATTTGTGCTTATTACCCAAAACCAACCTTTCCAAAACAGTCCAACTCTTTCTCTCTCTCTTCTCTCAAACACTCACATTCACATACAGAAGAAGCTAAAATGGTTAGCCTTGAGGTGGAGAGAACAACAACAGGATGGGCTGCAAGAGACTCGTCTGGGATTCTCTCACCCTACACCTACACTCTTAGGTACATCAATCTCATATCCCTCCCTTATTGTTGTATGTGTGTGTTATGATCTCCAATACAATAATACCGACTCGCCTAATTTATTTACCAAATGATGTGTCTGTGCGCATGTTAGAACGGAAACTTGTACACAGTTTAGTAACTTTATTTGGTGAATAAACTTAATGCGTATAGTATAGTGATCATCTCTTCATTCTACATGTCATGTACCTCTTTCTGCTGATTATTTTTTTATTTTAAAAAAATTGCAGAAACACTGGGCCGGAAGATGTTTACATCAAAGTCCTATTCTGTGGAGTTTGCCACACTGATACTCACCAGGCCAAAAATCATCTTGGCATGTCAAAGTATCCCATGGTTCCTGGGTATTTAATAAAATTAATCCCACTTTCCTATATATGTTACAATATTTATTTATAATTACATTATTTTAAATATATAAAATTTGCAAAATGTTCTGCTGGACAGGCATGAAGTGGTTGGTGAGGTGGTGGAGGTGGGATCAGCTGTGAGCAAGTTCAGAGTAGGAGACGTGGTTGGAGTTGGGCTCGTTGTGGGTTGCTGCAGGAACTGCAATCCTTGTAAAACAGACAACGAGCAATACTGCAACAAGAAAATCTGGACATACAGTGACGTTTACACCGATGGGAAACTCACCCAAGGCGGCTTTTCTGCTGCCCTAGTCATCGATCAAAAGTAGCAACCAAAGCATAATAAGCTTAATCTTTTCCTTCTTCTTTTTTTCGTGTGAAGCATATAATAAGCGTAACTCTAACAAGATATATGGCACATCATACTGTCAATCAGAACCGCACATTTAAATATTACCTAATCAACGTTGATATTGGTTTACAAAATGTTGGAAGAGTTTCTAAGTTCGGAAGTACAGTAATTTTGACTGATTTTGTGTTTCTTTTGTTTGCTAAGGTTTGCGGTGAAGATACCAGATGGCATGGTGCTGGAACAGGCGGCGCCGCTGTTGTGCGCCGGGGTGACGGTGTACAGCCCACTGAGGCAGTTCGGTCTGAATATGAGTGGGTTAAGAGGAGGCATATTAGGACTTGGGGGTGTAGGACACATGGGGGTGAAGATAGCAAAGGCCATGGGACACCATGTGACTGTGATAAGCTCTTCTGACAAGAAAAGAGTGGAGGCTATGGAACATATTGGGGCTGATGAGTACCTGATCAGCTCAGATGCCACTAAAATGCAAGAGGCTGCTGATTCGTTGGATTACATTATCGATACAGTGCCTGTGGTCCACCCTCTTGAGCCCTACCTCTCTTTGTTGAAGCTTGATGGGAAATTGATCTTGATGGGTGCTATCAACGACCCTTTACAATTTGTCTCCCCCATGCTCACGCTTGGTGAGTCCCATTTCTATCACCATCTTTCTTTTCTCGCGAACCTTGTTTTTTCCATTCGGAATTTGCTTCGACTACGAGCTTAGATTTTGGGTTTAAAGTCACGAGTTTTATCAATGCTAAAAAATGAAGGCTTAAAATCTAGCCTGTGCCAGCCAATTTAAAATGACAAATTTACATTATCATTCAACCTGTTATTAAAGTTATGATAAGATAAGATGATTGCATTAATGACTCGGTCTTATATACATTATTGTCTCATTTCCTGACAGCTTAACTTTTTGAATGTCAAAGAGAGAATATACGTTTATCTAAATTGTTCAATTATGAATAGGGAGGAAGACAATCACAGGGAGCTTTGTGGGGAGCATGAAGGAGACACAGGAGATGCTTGAATTCTGCAAAGAGAAAGGATTGAAAACAATGATTGAAGTGGTTAAGATGGATTATATCAACACAGCCTTCGAGAGGTTAGAGAAAAACGACGTTAGGTACAGGTTCGTTGTGGATGTAGCTGCCAGCAATCTTCATCAATAGAGTGAAATATCACATAATTCCGACTGTATTATCTACATAACAAAAAAATGTTTATGCTCATATGATGCTTTCATATTGTCTTTAACCCTACTGTGATTGTTGTGATAGATGGGGCCATTGTATTCGGTGTGGTCCTTGACTGACTATGGCTTATCCAAATAAAATTTTAGAGTCCTCCAATTATGTCACGCGTGACAACAATTTTCTTCGTCCGTCGCATTTTCCTTTTTGAAATTTTTCTGAGAAGTAGATAAGATCCGTGGAAAACAAGTCATAAAAATAAAATAACCAAAATTATGAATTCCTCCCTTGATGTTTCTTTCATTTTCTCCAATGGCTTTGTTGGCTTCAACAACCCTTGTTTTGAAATTGGTGACACGGTTTGCACTTTCCAAAATAATTTGCACTCAAACTACTTGATTCTGTGCCTGACCTTCAACATTGATAAAGATCCAAGATCTACTAGCAAATTGTAAATTGTAAATAAAACAATAAATAAAAAAGAAGAAAAAGGAGAGAGCAAGGGAGGAAAATGTAGCTCATCTTTGTCAGAGTTAAATTTAGTGGAGGCTCCTGACCAGCATAAAAAGAACAATCAATTCACACTGCTGCATCGGAGTTAAATCTTGAACAAATGTGGCAAGAAGAGCTAGCCTTCTAGAACCTGGTTTTAACCCTTCTCCAATTGCTTATTCACCATACATGTAAAATACAACACTCAGCAGGATAAAAGAAAATGAAGGACTACCTACCGACGATGTATGCTGTGACTGGGCCTGTTCAATTGACTCCAAAACATCTTGGTACAATTTAGAACAGTACCTTCAAAAGAAGCCAACTGTAAATTTTCAAAAATTTATGTATGTAAATGCAAAGCATAGATTTGATATGGAGACAAATCATAGCGTTCGATACATCTCTGGGATCAATATTCAGAATCTCTAAACAAACACTTGATGCCCTATCTTCCTTGGTTCCAACTTCCATTCACAGTGGTAAAATGCCCTACAAAGAATGCCACAAAAGCTTTTTCCTATGTGACCTCCTGCTAGTAATCATATCATAGAAGCAATCAAGAATCCGTCGATGACTTCTCAAGTTGTGTGGCCTCTGAATTAGTACCCAAACTTAACGTATGTGCTGTCTTAAATGTTTGCCTCAATTAAATCCATACTCGTTGACTAAAGTACATATTCATAAAGTATCTTGAAGGATTGAAGCCACTCAAAATCACTGCAGAAGGGGATAACGAACAATTTCAACATAAAGTGTAATGGAACGCAAAGCAAAAGCAAAGTCAAGAGTCTCATGCAACACTTACAGATCGGAGAGAGGACAATGACAACACTGATTGGATAAAGGAAGAAAGTCGTCCTCTCCAGAAAGGGCAGTACTGCAAGAATAGTGCACTTAATCAGTACGACACATGAAGGCAAACTGGCATTAATATTTGTTACTCAAAATAAACCGCCGACCACTTGAATTCCCAACTATATCTCAAGTTCTTAACAAGAAAGTATATCATCCACAAGTTTGTCTCATAAAGCCTTTATCATATACTGGAACAAAAACCAACGGGACAACTCAACACAGTTGAATTCCACTCTAAAGTCATGGGGTTAGATTACAAGCTGATGAGCTAACTTAACGGCTGGAAACACAAATATTTTTTTTGGGACTTAAGAGAATTCAATATCACTGACTATAGAGGAGAATGCAAGGATCTACAATGCTGGCTTAACGGCTGGAAACACAAATATTTTTTTTGGGACTTAAGAGAATTCAATATCACTGACTATAGAAGAGAATTCAATATTCAATGCCACCTTTGCATCTCCACTGCATAAGTGGTGGAAGCTTTATGCAGAAATGATTTAGGTGAACATGTCCCCTAGTTACTGGTCTTTTATTTGATGAAATCAATTGCACATTTCACCTATTAGAAAGCTGATTGAATTCATAAATTTTGGCCTTTAAGCAACATCACTTTGTTCCACATCCAAAACAGCAGCAACCACTTGGTAGTATAATATGATCATAGTGAGTTTTAGAAAATAGTATCCGCCATAAACAGCATGGGCAAGAATGATCTCATCACACCACCTGCACCTAAACATTTGAAAGAAAATTCTTAAGCTCATAACGAAATATTTAGCTTACCATCATAACCTAAAAAGTTGAGATAATGATAGTATGAAGTTGCCACCATGAATAGCAAATTTGATAGCAACACAGGAATGAAACCATGAGCTACCAAAATTGGTGATAGAAAATAATGGATCACTGCACAACAAAGACATCAGAACATCATTTCACATATTTGAGATTGATAATATGATAAGGTAAACACTTTTTGTATTAATTACCGTAAAGCATAACAAACATCGGGAAGAAAGAGTTGCAGTGCACATCAAATGCGTACATCCTTCAATTAACCAAAATCACCACAAAATAAACAATCAGAATGTTTTTACACACGAAAAGAAATAAAAGCTCGAAATACATGTATAAAAATTTAATTGCAAGTTCTGGGAGATTCAATCAATCTAAAATCATCCACACACACACAAAACATGCACATGAATGTACACAATCAGGTAGGATCAGGAAAAAACTAAGCCCGTTATTCAGCAAGAATCATATTGCTAATGAAGTAGGAAATGAAAGACAAAAGACTTGCCATTCAACACGTTGCTCAACAACATGACTATTCGGGGCCTCTTCACGAAGGTAAGAATTAGTCAAAAACCTGCATGAACATTGAAAAGTGGACTTTGCCATTATATGATGATCAATACTTTACTCTAAGGTGTCTATTCCAGAAGAAGATTGAGAACCATATAAATAAATAGATTGAGAACTGAAACAGTTATAAAAGAGATTGAGAACGAAAATCATTTAGACTGGAACTTTTTTTCCAAATGGCCAACCCATATAGATATAGTAGTGTGAGACCCCACCACTGCAATTACATCTCTATCTGAAGCTCATCTTCCCCAGACATACAATCACCATCCCATTATTTCCTATATAGAATTTGGAGTAATTAAACACGTATTGTCACATGCAAACTAGTTATTTACAAAAGACCTGGATTCGCATTTATACCAGAACATATCACTCAGTAACATTTCACTCCCATATGTCACTTCATGCACAACTAACATGTTTTTTGTTTTTAGATAAATTATTTTATACTCACTATTTCCTTATATAGAAGCCTTGTACTGAATGTTCAAGTGACTCAGCAACCTGAAGCTGGCTTGGTATCAACAGATGATAGCAACTAAATAACATATTTTCCTATTTCTATGGAAAATGGCTTCCTTTACTTAAGGAAATTGAGTTTTTTATAATAAAAAATACAATAACTGGGTTTCCGTAGAACTTATTTGTTCCTGCAATTTTTTCACGAAACAATTGAGCCTGCATAAGAAGTCACTGACATATTTAAGGATCAGATAAAACAAGTATCACATTAGTGTTAGCCAGAACGAATTCTTACCAACAAAATGTAGCCAGAAGCATTCCGATGAACAAAAAATGAAAAAGCAAAACGGAAATAACTACAAAAACAGCATGTGCAGCACTATGGTCGTACCTGAAATAAGTAAGATTATATAAAAGTCAGTAAAGGATTCCTCACAGAATTCTTGCAACTGACTAAAGCTAGAAAACAAAAATAAAAGAATAAACTGATAAAATACTCAATGAGGGTAGAACTTTTGAGCCAGCGCAATATCAAATTTATATGAACCTAGTATATCCAAACTGCAACTTTTACTTGTAGAGCATATGATTATTGTCTATTAATTTATTTTGACATTAGACAAACTTTTTCTTAAAAAGTCCGGTGACAAAAGAAATGTTTGGAAGGATCTATCAGCTGGAAGATGAGAACTCTTGGGTTTCATTCTGGAAATTTCAAATCAGCTGTGACTGTTATTTTAAATTAATATCAGTGCTACCAAATTCTTTGTTGTATCTAGCAACCAGCAGGTAAGTAAACAGTAAACTTACGCAGCACAATAAGCCATAGTTGCAACTGCAAGTAGAAGGCTGCAGATTACAACAAAAGCAGGGTCGTCACGAGCCCATTGATTCTTAGTTTCTGAGACCAAAAGGAAAGGAAACAACATTTCAATTGCATCAGATGTAGCAACACTATTTCATACTTTTGACATGTAATCAGTCCACCGGCATGGAAATAAATCAAAAAATTCAGAAATTCCAACTTAGTAAAAAAAATTTGAAAAGTAAAGAACTTACGCTTGTGGTACTTGGTGTGCTGATAGCTGCATCAGTCATACAGTTCCACATGCAAGACACAAAATTTGATATTAAGGAAATCAGGAGCAACAACAAAACAGCATGCTGATGATCTGAAAAGGTGAATACTTACACAACTTTTGGTGAGGTGCATAGGTGAAGCATTTGCCAAAAAGTATATTCAATGTCCATTTGTTGCCACTACAATAAACCAATAAAAAAACAAAAGAAAACCCATTGAGATAAAGCTTGCCTAAGGATTCAAAATAATAATGAAATGCAATTAGCATTCTAGCTTCCCAAACCAAAAGTTTAAAAATATTTAAAAGAGTTAGGTATAAGGCAACAGAGCAGACATAGATGAGCTGAAAAATCCACACCTAAGACCTATACCCAATACTGGGTTATGCAATAGATGGAATTAAAATCCCAATTAATGTGATTATATATCCTCTCAATGTTCAGTTTGTATAACATCCAAGAAAGCTTCATGGTTGCTGAAATAGATATTTAGTTTGTGAATTTGTGCAGGTCACAACCCTAAATTTAGAAGATCTAGATCCCCTTACAAATTGTATACTAATATAAGTGTAGCAGGTCTCAAATTTATGTGTAGGTCGCTATAAAACAGGGATTCCAAGTGAGACTGAAAATTCATATCAAACCCTGTCGGTTGTGTCTGGGTGCAGGGCTCAAAATATGATTAACTTAGAAGGATAGACACAAGAGCCCATAATATCTCCAACCCCCTCGCCGTACAAAAACATTACTCCTTTATCCAAGAAACCAAGTTGCTAACTCCCAATTCAAATCAGTCAAAGAGTCCCTAAATCTCTATATTATTTATCTGAACCCATCATGGTGGAAGATTCCGTTTTCTTGCTTCTCTTACTTTCTTCTTCACTTTAAAGCCATTTCGCAATATCTATGTAAACTATATGTTTGCCATTTTGTAGTTAGCACTAAGGAAATGTGTTAGGGTTCTGCATTCCACAACCCATCTAGCATTTTCATCTTTGGTTAAGCTAGGATTGATTTCTATTTTCATCATTCTTTCATGTATAACTTTTCTCTTTTAATGGCACTAGTTTTGCACATTATTGAATCCGATGATCTTAGGGTTCAACCCCAGAGATGCCAACTTAAATCCTCCAGCATAGCAACAGTACAAACCCAATGTTAAACTAGAGCCCAGGCACTCATTAGCCTGACATTGAATCCAAAATTTAAGCAGCATTTTGTGTTTGGGCAACAATTTTCCATTAACCCATTTCAGCCTTCCTCTGAAACCTTGCAAGAAGTTTTAAACTTCCCCACCAGGCTAACAGATCCAAATCTTAAGCTCCCCGGCTTCCTTCTTCTTTTGAATAAAAATAAGAGTTCAAACTCTTCTCCAAGTAAAAGATTCAAAAATTCTCAAGCATCCACCGAGTTCACTCAAATTTCTCTTTAAAAAAATTCTCAAAAAAAAGAAAAAAAATGACATAATCCTGCTATTTGAACCCAGTCCATGTGATGAAATAAGCTCAAATGCACCTCGTTTCCATAGAATATCCCTCCCCATCTAAAAAAGTGATGTTTTCCACCTTCAAATGAATTAAAGAATTCTCAAGGGCTTCCCAAAATGAGGTTTGCAAAACTCACTAGCCGCTCAAAGCCTCAAACAATTTTATCCCCATTTGCTACAAAGCACATATGGGGATAAAATTCATAATAAGAACCTACCTAAAGACCTCAAAGCAACCATTCTAAACCCACTTTAAAACCAAATGGAATTGAAATTTCTGTTCGACATCCAGATTCCAGAGCAATCAAAAACACTAGTTCTTCCATAATTCAGAGTTTTTACAACATTATTCGTCCAACTAGATCCAACCCGCAAATTATGAAATGCTCAATTTAAAAATGAAACAAATTAGTACGCAGATCAGATCCAGAGCATAAACAAATAGAATCTGAGAATAATGGAGCACCTTGATTATTCTTCGAAGGTACTGAATGAACATGGGGTTCGTCCGAGATGTAGAGGATGACGACCGCCCTCTCGACGTTGTAGGCAACATCTTTCTCTTTCACTCCTCCCTCTTTCTTTCTCTGTATATCTCTTCGAATTCTATGCACCTCTGCTTCGCTGATCTATAAGATCTCTGGAATTTCCACAGCTCTCTCTCCTCTTCCTCTCGAAAGAGTACAGAATTTTCAGATGGCTGGAAAACAGAACGTAGAAACGATACTTCTTTCTCCTCTATTTCGTCGTGTGCAGCCCAAGATTGGATCAATCGGGAAATTGGACTGGACTATTTTTGTGTATTCTGAGGCTGAATTTTGGGTTGGGCTTCTGCTAAACAAGGCTTGGACAAGAGCAAACTACAAGCAACAAGAGAGTAAAATTTTTTTAAACACACCAACGATTTTTTTTTTTAATACAAACAATATAATATTTACATGATACTTTTATAAAGGGCTGATACAGACACAACAACAAGGATGCACCATCACAAATATATATTGTCTTTTACCATTCATGTGAGTCGAACATGAGACATGAAACCTCTTCCAACCAAATGAAGACAAATATCACTAGACCAAAGACTAGTTAACACTCAAACAATATTGAGGAAAATGAATTTAAACACGCAATTTTAAATGTTGAAGCTTAACATACAGGATACATGGTATATGAAATGTTCGTTACAAGGCTTCGATATTTTTTTGTTATGCCTGGCAACCCTCAAACCATCCAAACTCCTCCCAAACTCAAACTTGACTTCTTTCTTCATTATGCTAAGACATGTTTAAGTTTGGGTCAACCTTCCATGACTCAAATCTTTTAATGTTTATCATGATATGTTGTGTTGATACTCATTCAACTATCGACAAACTTATGTGTAAAACTAATGCATCAAAATCAGCATCTTCATATAGAATGGTTGAGATATACAATCAAATCAACAATGGCAAGAGTTTCAATAAAACTATACTCATAAGATGTCAAACTATCACTCTATATGATAAGTTAAAATAAAACTCACATTATCATCAACCGTATAAATTGAGAATCCAACAATATAACATTTTTATGCTAGGGAATGCCAATTGACAACAAGATGCTATATGTATAATCACTATTACTCATAATATGTTGAATTATCAAGACAATACATCCAAATAAGACTCGCCTAATCAATAGTCTAACAGTGCTATACGATGGTAGACTACATTCATAATGCAAATAAGAATCACATAATCAATTTTCCGGAAAAAAAAATCCCAAATACTCCAAAGGCAGTACGGGATCTGAATAAATACAAATAAAACGCGGTAGTTGGAAATTTATTTTGTTTTCAAATTTGAAAATCTGGACTTCACGTGTATCTGGGTGGAGAATAATTTGGACGAAAAAAACAAATTTGTATACTCAAGAAAGGGGACCGAAACGAATATACAAAATTATAACCCAAATAATACAAAATCTTAAAAGTCAAAAGTCCAACCAAACCATATGCTTTTCCGTCCAAAAGTTGTACGTCATTCAGTACGCACCGTACCAAAAACGGGCCTAATTTTAAACAACCATTTTTTCCGTTTTTCCTCTTTTCATTTTAAATATAGTTTAATATAGTTTTCTTCTTCTCTATGGAGAAATCGGTTATGGTTTGGTTGGAATTTAACAACAGTGCCAGTGTCAAATCGAAGCACAATGACAAAAAAAACAGCGAATTTGAGTCCAACTTAAAAACCGAAAGAAAATTCAAATTTCTAAACTGTGGTCTTTCACCTTCTGTACATTCTCAAAAATTTTATTTTTTTCTCCTAAAAAAGTTTTTTTTTTTTTTTTTTTTTTTTTTTTTTTTTTTGGCGCCTGTGTCTTCTCTACTCCACTCTCTAATTCTGATTTCTTAAATCACTAATCCTGATTAATTTTTCATTTTGAACTCTTAATCAAGCTTGCTGATGGCAATGCGCTTAACCCCAGCATTTCTCACACCCTCACTGTGTAAGCACATCCCCTCCATATAACTCCTCACTTCCGTTCTTATCATCTCCTGCATCACAGACAAAAACTCCGTCCCGAACGACATCGTATTACCAGCATTACTAGTCTCGGGCTGCAACGACGCCGTCCCTTCTACTCGGCGAGCGGCCGATTCAAGGATGGGCAACTCGTGCGACGGCGTATCGTCGACTCCCGGTAAAGACAGAGTCAGCAGAGTCGACGGTTCGTGCGCTTCGTTCTTGCTGTCGTTCTGACTGGGAGGCGACTCGCGAGTCAACACTCCACCGGTTCTCGCCACGGGCCGGAACACGTGAGACGAGGAGATGGCGGGCGCGCCCGAGTCGCTGACATCGGATCCGGAGGGGCTCCCAGGGCTGTAACAGAGGCCAGAAAACGACACCGCTGCCGTAGCCGTTTTCTTCTCCGGCCGAACGTGATTGTCGTCGATCGTGGCTCCATCGTCGTTTCCCGAGATCGCCGAGAACTTTCGCTTCAGCGTCGAGTTCCAGTGGTTCTTGATCGCATTGTCCGTACGGCCGTTGAGTAGCCTGGCTATGGTGGCCCATTTGTTGCCGTACTTGGCGTGGGCCCCAGCGATGATCTCGTCCTCCTCTGGGGTGAAGGCCCGGTGCTCCACCTCCGGCGACAGCTGGTTGCACCATCGGAGGCGGCACGACTTGCCGGACCGGCCCGGCACCGACTTGCTTATCAATGACCAGTTGCGAGCGCCGTGGTGCTGTACGAGCTGCCGTAACTTCTCGTCCTCGTCGGGGCTCCACGGACCCTTGACCCGATCCAGTTCTCTCTGCGCTTGCGCCGACGAGTCCATTGCCGATTCTCGTTGATCCATTTCGAAATCAGAAAAACCCTAACCCTAGATATAAGTGAAACGTAAATTAAAATTGGGATAAATATTCTACAAAATTGGAGGAGAGAGAGACTGGGAGAGGCGCGGCGAGGTTTTGAGGAGAGAGAGAGACTCGACCTTGTAGGCTCCTGAAGATTTTGTGAGAGAGGGAGAGGGGAGTTGGAGGGGTTTATAAAGGAGGGGCTAGGGTAACTGATAGGGCCGGTTAACCGAATCGGGTAACGAGCGTTATGGCAACCGGTACTGCTGCGTTACCCGTTACATCACTCTACAGCTGTATAACCACCACGCGTTGCCACGTAGGCCCTGTGGATTGCTGAGAATCCTCCTCCCACTAAAATCTCGGCATCGCGCAATTTCTCTCGCGAGAGAGAGAAGGAGAGCGTTAAGAGTTAGTTTCCCGTTTTGACTGGTTGCAGTTATGGAAGTTTCTGAGGTCCTATTTAGTTTTACAAAAGATTTGATGGAAAATTACTTTTAATGTTTTTTTTTCAAATGAAGAGAAATTGGAAAATTCATTTATGATGTTTGGTAATGTTGGAATGTAAGCATGAGATACCACTTTGTATTCTTTATTTTGTTTTCTAATTACACACAGTTAAAAATATGAAATATATAAAATAATAACAATTGTCTTTGTTGCCGAATAAAATTGTAATTCTAAATTGTAAATGCGGACGGATTGATTATAAAAAAAAAGTGTATATACTGCTAGACTTTTTTCCATGTGGAGAGAAAATGAAACCGAAGAAAATAAAGGCTTTCTCCCACTTTTTTCATGTGATAAGAAATTATTTTTTGTACTTGAAATCAAACATTGATTTTCCATTGTCAAATTCATTTTCCACATGAATAAAACGCATAAAGGAAAAGAAAGAGGAAAAAGGAAGTTATTTGTGAAAATATCGCGAGAAATTGGGGAGAGATTAGAGGTAGTTGAGGATAAGTTTGACTGAGCCAGGCTGGAGAGCATTACATTAGAGATTTTAAGATTTTGGTTCGGTTTCTTAACTTTTTTATTTTTATTTTGTTTTATTTTATTGTTTATTTAGGGTGCACGGAAGTGCTGAGGTGGAGGAAAACGACAAGAGCGGTCGCCAAATGGGAAGTCGGGTCATGACTGACAAGCTGTCAGTCCAGGCTGTATACCTGGCGCGCGGCTGAGACTATGAGACACCAACGGCCTTCAGTGTCCGCCGACACCAGGCGGTCATCGTCGAATTTCTAACAGTATGTTGAGTGATGAAAACGAAACCGTAGGCGTTTGCTGGCTTAATTTAAAATTTGAATTTGGGAGTTGTAAATTTGGGAATTAATTAATTAATGAGTTAGCTAATTATAGAAGATAAGCATCAACGGGTCAGTACCAGATTTCTGTTGATACAGCTACCTAACGACTCTCTGCTTTGGTACTTGTTTAGTCCAAGTTTCTTACACACTCATTTTCTGATTTTATATATATTGGGTAATTTTTATTTTACTAAGTGAAAGTTTACCGAGTTTCATCTTTCGATATATTAAAATTTTTTTTCATATCAGTCGCATGCATAACATTTATTTTCGTATCATTTTCATACATTCGGTAGTCTAATCATCATGTTCTCCATTAAATAATGACATGATAATCAATATTGCCGCATGGACTCACCCATATTTTACCACGTGGACTAAATTATGAAAATATGTTTAATTAATTAAGTGGAATTTGTTCTTGATTGACAACTTGTCATGCTATCGCAAATTTTTTTTTCTTTTCAAATGGTAGCAATTTCATTAATTTCAAACTGAATTATTTACTTCTGATACTAAGAACATTATTATATTTACTCCCTCGAAATTCCTATTTTCCCCATTGAAATTCAGTTAATATTACCCAAACAATTTATTTTGCAATAAATAGTTTCCCCAATAAGTATTTGTGGTAAAGACTAATTAAGGAACTATATTGTGTCAATTTTTTTTTACAAACTAACCCTTGGTCTAATGATCGTTGCTTATGTTTTCTTTAAGACAATCTCAAGTTCGACTCATGTGTATGTAAAAACGATACAACGGAGTTACATGAATCAACTAACTCTCACTCTTTTTGAGATTGATAGAGATCTCACATTCGAATCATGCTCTCCAATTGATCATAAAATCTTGAGTCACAATAAATAAACAAATGGAAGGACAAAAAAAACTCATAGACAAATTGAAGTGTATCGGTTTCGGAATAAACAAAATCATTTTCCTTAAAAGGAGGAATAAATTAAATTCTAACCAAAGTCAGAATTCGTTTTGGTTAGCAATGTGCCAAAGCATATCAAGAAGAATCTAGGAATAGGCCAAATTTGTCCCTCATAATAAAGTTTCATTGAGAAGAATAATTTGTTTTGAAGTTATTTGTCGTCCAAAAGGAATTTCGTTTCAGGCTTCCTCAGTCAACATCATCAATCTACAGCACCAAAAGAAAAAAAGAAAAGGAAAACCCAAGAAGTTGTCTATGCAAGTTCGGTTCGTTTCAAACATCAATTGATAAACAAACCATGTATTCATGAATTTTAGTCGTTGAGGTTAGATGAAGAAGTGCTCAAACAAATTTTTGTTTGCTCGCGTCTTATCAAAGTAATTTGGCGCCCCCCTCCAAAAAAAATTGGGAGATTCACTATTATACCAAATATAGGAGCCCAAATTATTATTATTTTAAAAATAAAATAAATAAAATAAAAAACCTTATAAGAAATGGACTTTAGAAACACATCAAAAGCTCATTTACAACATAACAAAAAGGCTTTTAACTTCTTTTAAATTATAAAACTGTCATTGATTTCTTTAAACAAACACAACCCAAAAACCACATAAAAAAAGCCCAAAACACTCAATAGGGCATCAAAGTAATTTAATAATAAAATTAAATTCAATATGGCATCTGTCATTTTTTTAAAATTTTTTTGGATTGGTTTGTAGAAATTAAATGATGTAGGGTTTATCTATATTATTAGTACTACGAATGGGTATATGACTAAATATCTCAAAAAATTAATTGGATAAGATTATGGTCGAGAGGAGGCAATAGCCTTTGGCTCCCATATGGATCCGCAAACGAAAAAAACACTCATATTTTTTTTAAGATAAATTTATATATAATGAGCATATATCACTATTCTTATATACAGAGAATAGTAACATATGCTCATTTGATGTAAGTTATTTTCTATAAATTGTTAGAAATGTTCCAAATAATGATTTGAGAATTCAATCCAAATAACTTCAATATTAAAATTGAATCCGTTTGGATGGAGGAATTTGAAATAAACGATTTGGATTTGACAACAAGGTCATTTGCTACAAAAAATAGAAAATATCAAAACCAAATATATTTGAAATAACTAGACTTAGCATATATGAAATGGATTTGAAATAATTATATGCAACAAATCATTTGAAATTCATTTATTTTCTTCATTTATTCTTGTCTAACTTTTGGCACACATGAATTGTAATAGTTTGAACAAACAATTTACTTTATAATAACAGTGGCTTATCCCTTTTTCTAGTAGTGAGTGTTCAAGCTTGAGAGAAAATGTTTTATCAATGAAGATAAAGAATTCTAATTTCATATAAACTTTAGCACTTGCAACAAAGTTACTATTAAGAGTCCATATGTAGAACTTGCCTATAAAAACTAGCTTGTAGATTATCTGTAATGGTCTCCCTAAATATTTATCATGGGAAGGGAGGTTTGTGGATGAGAAATCAATTGCTTTCCCATGTTTGGTAAGTCTATACATGGAAAATAGTTGCTTTGCATGTGGGAAAGTATGAGGAAAGTGAAGCCCTTTTCTCCCCTTGGGTTTTGTTTTCCCTCTTCATGAGAAAATTTGGGAAAATGAGCCAACATTAAATGTATATTTTTCATGACTATTTTGTCCCCATTAACAATTTAGAATTACAATATATCATTAAATGCATTATTTTTTTTATTTGATTTAATATGGGTATAGTTGGAAAATTATACAAACTTTATTTTCCATTTATACTCAAAACAAGCATGGGAAATGAAATAAAGTGATACATCCCGGTTACTTTCCCAATATTAACAAACATGGGAAAGTCTTCCATTTCCCATCCCTTGGAAAATGACATGGGAAGTGATTTCCCCTTAAATTCGTTTCGTGAACCAAATGGGGCCTTAGACAAATTTTAGGTATGAATTAGAAAAATACTAATCCAACCATGCTCCATGTCCACCTCTTAAAATAGGGAGACTTATATGGGTTCCTAAATTTGAGGATAGAGAAATGACTTATAGTGGCTCCCAATAATTTAATACTGCTTCATTTTATGCATATTTTAAAATTTTAATTAATGCTAAACTTTTAATTGTAGTATTTATGACCACTAAAATAGGGAGTATGATTGAAGTTCAAATTTTATAGGGAGCTCCTAAAATAGCTTTTGTGTGACTGTAGCAAAATTTTAACTAAAAAATAAGGTGCATGATTGCAGATGCTCTAAGGAAAGAGTGCCGAAGAACTCTTAAAGCACTTTAAATTATGCTATTTTTACAATGTTAGATCTTGAATGCTAACATTTACAAGAATAAAGTATGCCAAAAAAACACTTCATTAAAGATAAGGCTAAACTATATAGAATTAAAGGAAAAAATATAATATGAATAGTAGAGATACAATCAGTACATGTGGTTGAGATTTGTGGACAATCGAGGATGTTTCGTCTGAGGTAGTGTGCATCATGCTTTTCCCAGGCATTGCACATGATTTCATTCATTGTCTAACAAAATACCATATAACTAATTTCCATTATTATTATTTTTTTATCCCATATTTCTTTAATTAATTCTATTTTGAGGACAAAACGACAAGGTTTTGGTGACCGTTGAACTAAGAAGCAAGCAGCTCAAAACAAAACCGAACCCAACTCTTTGCTTTTGTTTAATGGGGTACAAGTTCTGCATCAGCAGACCATATCCTTTGCCAGAAACATGTTAGTTTGATTTAGGTATGTTGTCATTAATTAAATACTAATCAGCATTGGATTATGGGTTTTGCCTTAAGCATATGTTAAGAACGATTTGCACGTGGCTGCGAAGCGTCGGGGATGTTTCGTTTAGTCTTCTTTTATTTATTTAATTATCATCAAGCTTAATTAATTATGCTTTGCAGCTCTCTAAAAGGGGAACAATGCTTAGTTATTTTATGCCCCATATTCCATTGATGTACGAGAACATGAAAAGGGGAAAACAAAAGGTTTTTGCTGCATTCTTTTCTTTCCGTTCAGCTAGATCCAAGCCCATCTGAAAAGGTCTGAACAATATTCTCTTGCTTTTGCTAAATTAAAGGAAGCTATTTGATAGTTTCGTTTGGAAATTACTTTTAGCAACGCTGTGTTTTTCAGATGGGTGATCATGCATGTCCACACTATGATTTTTTTTTCATCAGCACGAGGAACACCGGAATTTAAATTCACATCTTTCTACGTTGAAAAGAGGAACCAGTAATTTGTTAGTGCCGTATCTTTACGCTTTGATAATTGGATGTGAAAGTGTAGACATAAGAAGACCGCAAATGTACAAATTAGGTTTCAAATAGAACGGTATTTTCCAACGTCTGGCGCAGATAAATGAAAGTGTTTTTTTCAGGCTATTTTAAGGAAGCTTCACAGTGGTGACGCGCTAAGTCGCCATATTTGATTCACTGTTCAACATATGAGAGAGAACGCTTGTGTAGTCTTTTGAGAAGGTTGGGATTCTGCATATCTTTAGTATATGTTGTTTACCCACTGTTAAATCCTCACCGTTTGTCGCTGAACCATCCTCTAGTATCCTTTTAAAAAAAGTTTACCTTGATAAAATAATAAAAAGGGTTATTTGTAGAAATGGTTAGTTGTAGAGGTCACTCAATTGGGTGTTGTGTTGCACCATTAGTCCCTACCGTCAAGTCTCTTTAACGATAGGGACTAATGGTGCAACACAACACATAATTGAGTGACCTCTGTAACTATTTTTGGAGTTGAGTGATCAAAATGTAACTCCGAGTATAGTTGAGGGATCATTGCTACAAATAATCCTAACTGAAAAGTCACATTTGCCCATCAATAATCTAAGAGATGCTTGTCACGTCATCATTTTAAACTGAAAAAGTCACAGACTTAATAGTATGGACTAATGGTGCAACACAACACCCAATTGAGTGACATTTGCAACTAATATTTGAGTTGAGTGACCAAAATGTAATTTCAAGTATAGTTAAGGACCATTACTATGAATAACCCTAATAAAAATGAACCCGATTGCATAATATTAAGTTGGGCATGTTTGTAGATAACCGAATTTTGTAGCAAATTGGTTGGCTCATTTTGTAGCGAATTTGACAGTTTATAATCCCTTCGTTTTTAAATCCTTCCCAAATATAAAATACCATATTGTTTTATTATACTTTCAAAAGCAAAAATGGCTTATATGATGAACAAAGCTGGAGTCCAACGTAAAAAATATTAGAATAACATTTGACAGCAAGGTTTTTAGTACCCTCAAATTTATATAGAATTTAATTACCGAGTGTAAGGATAACGGCTCTTAACCACGTAAACTACAATTGCATTGCAACTCGATTTCCCCGTTTATTTGTTTATATTTTTTCTTTTCAAGACCTCGATTTCCCTATTGACTCTAGTGAAGAAAGAAAAAGCAAAGAATAGGAACATACTTGAGGCAAGGGTAGAGCCCAGCCCAACCCAACCCAACCCAAATCCTTTACAGGTGGTCTCGTACAAAAACCAATGCCAACATATAAAAACCCTCTTCGAATTCTGGATGGCGCTAAATTAAACCCAAAGTCACAACACTCTATCTGCCATTAGGGTTCTTCAAATCTCTGGACGTCCCTCTTCAATCTCAGAATCCACAAATTCTGACATCACACTCCACACCTGAATCAGAAATTAGGGATTCTCTTCTACGAGATGTCGTCGGGCGGACCCAAAGACGGGGACTTACAGCTGGTGGCGGCGCCTGAAAGGAAATTAGCGCTACCGCCAAAGCCACCGACAACGGCAAGCTCGACGGCGCTTGTGGAGTATACGCCGCCGGTGTTCAAGGAGGAGGAAGAGGACCTCGAGATCAAGCTCCGGAGGATTCTCGAAAATGTCCCCGTCCGCGTCAGCAATACCTCAGGTAGCTCCGCCGGGTCGGGCTCCGGCGACTTTCATCAGGTTTGTATATTAGCTGATTCAATATCACAATGGTGACTGTGTTGTCACTGTAGTAATTAGATATTTATAGTTATTTGATAGCTGAGGGATGTTACTATATTAGTTAGATATTTATGGCTATTTGACGAAATTACTGAACAAATTGGAGTATTTTGAGTGATGATGCGTAGGGCGATTATATTAGCCTATTGGGGTATCTTGAGAAATTTGGTTATTCAGAATTTAGATAGCTAAGTATAAAACATAAGTAATGTAGTTAGGGGCCTTTGGTTTGGAATTTGAATTTACTTTTGGGCTTAGAACCCCAATGGTAAAACATTTATCTATGTCCATGGTAGGGTTTGATTCTTACCCTCAGTGGGAAAAATCTGGAATTTACTTGCCATGAGGTGGTATTTGAGTGTTTGTCATCCCATGCATAGTGTGACTGTGCAGAGACTGGGGGCCATTGAACTCTCAAGTAAGGGGTTTAGGGTTTTTCAATTTTGGGATTGAGCAAGTCTTTCTTTATTTTAGTAAGATTCACTGCTAGTATATTGAGGGTGTTGTTATATTGTATGTGCTTAGCCTAATTGCAAAAACAAGATACTGTACATTGGGGCAGCCACGTATGTCCCATAATGTAGAACAATGCGTTACTGAGATGCAAGTGTTGCACACCCGAGTTATGCTCAATCTTTTGGCAATCAAAGAGATTCTGTCACGGAGTAAAGCAGGTTTACTATTCAGTGTTCCTTTGGAATCGGTGGAAACATTTCGGTGCCCATGTTAGCTGACCGGATTTTGAGTATGGTGGTTGCTCTGTTATATGGTTTATTTGTGTGGACAATAGGGTATCATGAAAGTGTTTAATCACTTTAGCAGGTGGATTGCAGTACATGACCTTAATTAGCAGAATTTTTCTCTTATAGACGAATCTCTGTCTCTCTATCTTGTTTGAAATAGTATGTTCTGCTTGAACTTTGGGACCTTCCCGATTTAAACAATGTATTGTACTCTTTGAAAAGTTGTATTTTGTTATTATATGTACAAGGGATGGATAAACCTTCTATCTTGAGCAGTGCAGTGTTTTTCTTCTTTCAAATTTAAATTAAGGGACAAGAAAGGCCCGGATTTGTACCCCAGTCAGCCTGAAGGAAGTTGAATTGAAGCCAACAGAGCTGTGCCCTAGGGTATTGCAATAGAATACAGCCAGTTGCTAGCTGAAACTGCTTTTTTTCTCCATAGTTTTGAGTTTGATGTTGTATCAGTCTCAAGGGATGGATAGTTGATACGTTTGATCAGTATTTGAACACATAAAACTCTAATTTTATTTTCATTCATCTGCTTTTTGCTTGATATTGGAATATTTGATTAGTTATGATTTCTTGGACACTAAGCTGGCGGCTAAATTTCATGTATACTTTCTTCTCACCCCAAATTGTGCCTGAACAGTATCGGCAGATGAGACGGAAAGAGCAAGACAGACTTGCTAGGATGGAGGTGGACTATCAAAGAAGGAAAGAAGAGGCTGAGTTCATTATGAGAAGGGAGGAAAGATTAAAATCAGCAGAAGAGCGGACAGCAAAGAAACGATTGAAACGTCAAAAGAAAAAGCAAAGGAAAAGGAGAAGAAGATTAAAACGAGTTCAGGTGGTGAAGAGAATCAGAAAGGAGAGTCCACGGACGAGGATGAGGGAAACTCTGATGATCAAACTGAACAAGCTTTTGATAAGCTATAATTCTTGGTATCCACGGGCATAAGGAACAAATACGCACCAAGTTTATTGGGATTTCGTTTTTCTGAAGTCTAGAATTTGCCATGTTTGTGACCTGAATTCGATTGTATGTATAATCCGAGATTCCGAGATGTAACAACCCGAGAGATCAGAAAAAAAAATTCAGTTTAACTGGTTTTGTATTTTCTTAATGGATCCGTCAATCGTATTTGGCTTGATATCAAATGCAATGTTGAACAAAAATGATGTGGTTTTGTCTCCATGGGATGTTCACGTTCTTCTTTGGACTGGCATATGTACTAATTGTTGGCTTGCAATTGCATCATGTTTGTTAAAGGGTTTGCTTCACCCGGTACAAGTATGATAGTTGGCAGTTGATCTGCTTCCCTGTGAATGTTACCTAACGCAGAGTGGCCCCCTTTGCCTTTGCTTCGCATATGAGCTATAAGGAAGGAAACATACAACACAAGACATTCTATATATAATCTTCTTTTTCTAAAAGTTGGTTTATAGCATCTTAGTTTCCAGTTAAGATGAACGATTTAGTCAAGCACTCTTCTCTTATGATAATCGGGATGGTCCGATGATCAAATACAAAACAAAATACTTATTTAATCTAACATGCTTTTGGCCTGTTTGCCCTGCTTATGTAGGAAGCACTTTTTTTATAAGCGTATTTAATTACAAGTACGTCAAAATTGTTCCTAAAAATTCAAAATAATTCTTGAAGACGAGCTTTTTCAAGAAATCGTTTTTAAGACCCATAAACACTTTAAAGTTTTTTTACCCAACACTATCAAAAATGTTCTTTGTTGTTAGAAAGTACTTTGAGCAGTTACAAAAGCAGTGCCAAACAATCCCTTAAAAAAAAACCTTTTTATGATAAGTAGGTGAGATTAGAGTTTGCAGTTAGACCAAATGGAAAGTATTAACCCAAGTATTAACCCAGAGACCCAGTTAGCAGTTTGGGCTGAGAAGTTAATTACAGTCCAAAAATAAAAAATAAAAAAGGTACGTTTCTGTTTCTTCTTCTTTTTAATTATAGTTCATCCATTTTGTAATTTCCGTCTCCCTCCCTATCAAAATACCTCGCCAACTTCTCTCTTTTCTCTGAAAACCCTAATCTCCATGGGAGAATCTGTCCCTCCTCGTCGCATTTCCGTTCATCAAGCTCTCGGCGGTGGCCCTGGTACTCTCTCTCTCTCTCTCTCTCTCTCTCTCTCTCTCTCTCTCTCTCTCTCTGTATATATACATGCACACACACACACACATAATTTATATAGATGCTTTTGATTTGTATATCAGTATAGGAATATTTCCGATTCCGATTTGGTTTGGATCCCATCTACTTCCATTGATGACGACTGAATATAATATCGTTTCTAACATTCGATAGATTTGAATTATGTAACTTCTACATTTTTATTCAATATAATCTTGTTGATTTGATTGTAATTAATTGTGTTAATTTTGGTTCTGGTAGTTGCTGATGTGCTGCTGTGGAAGAAATGGAGTGGAGGAGTTTTACTGCTAACCTCTACAGCAGCCTCGTGGTTCCTATTTGAGCGAGCTGGTTACAACCTCTTGTCCTTTGTGGCCAATGTTCTACTGCTTCTTGTGGTCATCCTCTTCCTATGGGCCAAATCTGCTTCCCTTCTTAACAGGTACCCTTTAATTCTTGACGATTTCAACTTTTTCTTTTTGGGTATACTGTACTATTGTTGTCATTATACTGAGAATTTCTGGGTTCTCTTAGCTTAGATTGGAAGTACTTTCAGTAGGAAAATATTAAATTTGAATTTTGAAGTACTTTTACTGAATATTTATTTTGCAAAGAAAGTAACCATAAACACGAGTTGAGACGGACGAAATAGAATCAATAGTTATGGGGAAGATTGGTGTTGATTTAAACTGTTCTGAGCATTGATTTTAGTTTGAGGTAATTTAAAATGAATTGCAACATCTACTGTCATTCAGACCTTTGCCGCCTCTCCCGGATATGGAAATCTCTGAGGCCTCTGTCGTGAAGGCTGCTGATGCACTGCATGCTTGGATTAATCGTGTTCTGTCTATTGCACGAGACATTGCTATTGGCCGAAATTGGAAACTCTTTCTTCAGGTTTGGTGTAATTGCTTCCCGCCCTAGGTTTATGGGACAATGAGGTGAATTGGTTTTTATGGAAGGGATTGAACAGAACTTGGTTTATTTTACTATTTGGAAATTTCGCTTTGTGTGTGCAGGTTGCTTTTTGCTTGTGGCTAGTATCTTACATTGGAAGCTTCTTCAACTTCCTCACTCTTGTCTACATTGGTAAGCTCTTCTCTGCCGATTGTATCTTTATATATTTATGTGCATATTCTTGCCAGATTTACTATATTTATTTATGTACATTTATTTAAATATTGTGCAGGGGTTGTTCTTAGTCTTTCAGTGCCAGTAGTGTATGATAAGTATCAGGGCCACATTGATGAGAAGCTTCTTGTAGCAAATAGAGTAATACAAACACAGTACAGGAAAATTGATGATAGCATCCTAAAGAAAATTCCATTGCGATCAAACAAGGAGAAGAAGGTGCAGTAGGTAAGTGTGATCTCTCTTTCTCTGCACTTGCGACACACTCTTCTGTTTACCTATGTATATTATTTCTTCTTCCTCCTCATCCCTAAAAATTGTGCATTGAGGCATTAGAGGAATTAGTTGAGGCTATGCTTGTTATATATGCTGGTTTGCTGAATCCATCTGTCCTGTTGATTTGAAAGAATCTCTGGATTTTGTTTGTATGGTGCACATGGTGTAGGCTGTAGGATGTGATCAGTGTTTTGAGTTAATGCATCTGGTCAACTATTGAAGTGTGTGGAATCTTTTCTTAAATTATGCTTTAGGATGACCATTATTTGTATTGAGAAAGGCATCTGTAATTTTTCGAACCCCATTTTACTTTTTGGTATCTGGGAAGGAATTTTTAAGAGAGATATACTAAAAGAGAAAGGATGCATGTAGAAGCGCATTCAGTCCCTTTTACTTTTCGGATGCACCTCCCAGTTTCTTACTTTCAAATCTGGGAAACAGAAAAAGGAAGGCCTGAACTTTGAGTGGTTAGAGAGGAACGGAGGGCAATCTTTAGCACGAGTGGAGTGAGTATGAACATTTAATTTATGGGTGTGGGTATGTGTTGAGTGAATGGGTGTCTTATTTTGATGGACGATTGAGCAATTTCTGTGCAGCTCCCTTTCATTGGCAATTACAAATTTAAGTTATTCCTGTGTTTAGTGTCTGTTTCAAGAAACTGTCTTGTTTTTCTTGTGACCCTGTGATGTCTTTGTGTGTATTGAAAATCTGCATGGACACAAAGGGAGGAAGAAAGAAGGAAAATCACACTAGATGAACCTCTTCCTCCAACTCACTCCGACTCTCTCTCTATCTAGAAAACAAAAATGCTCAATTTGTCATTTGGATTAGTGTTATACTGACTATACATTTTGTATTTGGATTATTACTGTATTTACTTTCCAAACAAAATATAATGTTTTTCATTCGTGACTTGGTACTTTTGGTTGATGTGACAGACCAATTATCTTAAACTGTTTTACTTTGTTTAAAGTGAAGCTCATTTGAAAGTGTAAAATTTCTGTAGACCAAGAGAACCCATATGAGTGTTACCCATAATATTTTATTTTATGACGTGCATTTGCATATCAATAATCTAACTATAAATTTAACTTGGTTATTGTTTGTGGATGCATGATAAATTGAAAAGGTTTTGGTGCCTTCAAGCTCTAATTCTGAAGTACTTGCATATATTGTCTCCAAAAATCACTGTTTGTTCATACAGAGTGTTGTCATTGAGGATTGTCTTTATGATATTAGCTCTTTCTCTAGAATTTCTCGTTCCGCAATGGACATCAAGTCTTTTCCTGTTACATTTGGACTGCTCGTTCATTTTATTTCAGTCTATGCATACCAAGTATCAAGTTTTTTTTTGTAGTTTTTCTTGTCCTTTGCGCATCAGTCTAACCATTAGATTCTGGGGATGTTAGCCGTGCTTGGTTTTACTAGTTGCTTCTGATATACTGAAACACATCAATATATGGTGCAGGGTATCACGGAGCTCAGAAAAGTGTGATGACAGCCTTAAAGACGGTTTACAACGTATGAAGTATTACTTCGGTTATCTTTTTGTTGGCATGCTGCTATACATATTAACAGCCAGACGGCATGGTTGACAACATTTGGGTGGATCCAATTAGTGTCTACATTTGAGTTTCAGCGTTACATTGCTTTTGGCTCTGGAGCTTATAATCTTGTTAGATTTTTGGTCAATAGTTATTGGATTATTGGATCTTGGTGGTTGATCTTTACTTGTTATATGGGGTGAAAGAGAGAGAATTTCATCGTTTTAATCATATCGATTGTTTTGGTTTGCAATCGTTTATATGTCGATATTTGAGTTTGCCTTGGAAATTCAACTTGTAGAATTTTCTTACCATCCATATTCTTTGTTTGCTTCTTGGATGGTTTTGTTGAGACTTGTGGCACTTGCTACAATTACCATAGTATTTGTAATCACATAAAATTGCAATTGGAAACAAGCAGCAAAAATCTGCGAATATAATACAGAACCGAGTCCGTTGTATAACATCATGGAGAAGAAAAAACACTTCAAAAATCATGGCTTCAAAGCATTTTTAACAGGAAGACACCATGCTAAAAAGATAGAGAGCCAGAACTTATGCGATCCTTGGAATGGGAATGCCTTCTGAAGGTGGCAATGTCACCGAGCGCAACAGCTCTAATGAGAAAACAAGTCCCAGGAAATGAGAAAGGATGGTGTTAGCCGCTGCCTGCAAAAGGAATATACAGAGAGAGAAATCAGTCTTCTCCACTTAAAGCTTCTTGTATAAAAATCATAGCCAAACTTATAATCCTGCTTCAAATACCTTTGGTTCAGTGGTGTATCAGAAGTTATATCTGAATTATGGATTATATTGAGTTTAAAGGTAACTGTATCTGAGAGTTTGAAGCATACTGGTGCTCATTACAGCAATGAAAATGTAAACAATTTCCGGTTTTTTATTATAGTGTAATAAAACTAAAGTGAGATATATGAATACCTGCACTAAGAATACATCCAAGGCAAGAACAGGACTGTAACCAGGAGAGAGACCCTGGTAATACGGATTCGCTGAGGAAGTAAGAGCCTTAGCAACTAACAGTCCCACCGTGGCTTGCATGCCAAGAACAGAAGCACCCATACCCAACAGGTTCAGTACTATGCCATTCTTTAAGCTCCTTATAACATCAGCACGAGGAGGAGCCTGCAAATTAGAAGCAGTGGACACGGATGTAGAAGGTAAAAGGTCTCATCAAAGAACAGAGGCATTTATCCTTCACAGCATTTCGAAAAGTGGAATATAAGCTAACTTCAATCAGATGCTTAATAATGAGACGATAATGACAGAAGAAAATAAAGAACCAAAAAAAAGGCAGATGAAGAGATCAAAAGCAGTTAATTTACTGAAATGTGATTGTTATTGCAATTTATCTGGGTGACTGGCAGACTCTGAGGGTGCCTGACTCTTTCTTTTTAATTTACCATCGAAGAGCAGAACAATTGTTTTCATACTTCAGCCTATGCCCCAAGCTAGCAAAAGATATTTTTAGTTCATCTAGTCCAGAGAACGGGATAGAATAAAACCCTGATACCCGCCAAGACAAAGACAAATAGTAGCAGTCAGGATTCAATCTATCCAAGGAGAAATGCCAACTAAAAGAAGGTAAATGGGTCGACTAAACCTTGAGATTCTAATCGATGAGTAGAAATGGTTCTAAATAGTACGAATACTACCATACACATAGAATACAGGGGGCACAAGGCCTCCTTCCGTGCAGGGCATTCTCTACGAGCTGTATCTCCTCTTCAACTCGAGTCAACAGGCGAAAGAGTAGACCTCAAAAGCCTCTGCCAACCAAGGTAATGTGTGCAATCACATAAAACTTAGAGATTTACAGGAGGCAAGGTTTAACAAGTAATCACTCCATCTCATCAATCAAGCATTGCAAGAAATTACACCTATCAGCATCCCATGGAACTTCACATCAGCCCATCAAGCACAAAGTCAAAACAGCATTTGTCCACAAAAAAAGTATAATCACCTATATGTATCAATTTCAAGAAGGCACATACAATTCAATATAAACACACTAGCTTTCCCACGATTGACAATTGAACAATACCTTTGCAGGGTCACTTGCAGTTCTTCGAAGCTTATCAGAGAGGCGAATGTACCCGAATGACCAAAACACAGAAATGAATGCCGCCACAATCCCACCGGCAGTGGCATAAAAAGTAGGCGGTGACGAAATCTTGCCAGTTATAACAACTGAAAATGAAAGAATCACAGCGGCCACAACAGTGCACACCAACTGCCCCCAAAACCCTAAACCACCCAACCTCTTGAAGTACCTGGCTGTGCTCTCTAACCTTTTGGCTACCTGCAGAGTACACACCACACAAAGCACTTTGCTTTTCAATCAATCAATCCTCCACTACCCATTGCAAAATTCGTAATTGTCAAATCTATGGTTTCCAATTCGTGTCAATTCATTAGCAATTTTTGAAATTTCATGTTCTTATATTTCCCTACATTTTCTCGGAAATCAAACAAAATAGAGTAAAATTGGCAAAGTAGAAGAAAGAGAACCTGAAGCAGCTTGGCCTTTTCAGATTCATCGTTCGGGGAAGTGAATGTCTGCGAAATTGGAGTAGAAGAAGCCCTTATAGTGGTGAAGGAGAGCTTTGATCCTCTGTGGTTGGGAGCAGCAAATGAAGGAAGAGACAAAGACGAAGAAGAAGAGAGAGTGCGGCTGGGCACGTGGCGGTCGGAGATTGATCGAAGAGGGAGATGATAAGCTAAGGGCCGAGCCGTGACAGCTGGTGGTGGCGCCGCCGTGAAGTAGCCGGTGCGAGCTGCCGGCGATAGCAACGTTTGCATAATTAATGGGCAAGCAAATGGCAGAGAGAGAGAGAGAGAGAGAGAGAGAGAGAGTAGGAGAGGAGTAACTTCGCTGCGGTGTGTAGCCTGTACAATACCGAGGTGGTATCGTACTGAGGTTGGGAGGAGAGCTGAGGAGGCTATCAATGGCAATGGGCTCTTTTGTTGGGTTGAGTCGGACTGTGTTTGGCCCATAAAATGTTGACACTGTAATTTCATCAAATCTGGTCCAGAAAGCCCAAAAGTGGAAAATGTGGAAAGAGGTTGAAATAGGGTACTAGCAACTTTAGCCGTCCAAGAACGAGTCGGGATGAGCATGGTTTGAATTGGGTCGGTTTTTAATTCAAACTGATGCACACTTGAATCGATCAACTAGAACGGTTCGAATTGTATTAATTTTGACAGTAACTAGAAGACCAGTTGAACCAAACCAATTCATTTAGTGATCGGTTTCATCACAAGAAAACGAATTTAAGAAGAGTTGAAAATGATCTATGTGTGCGTGACTACATGTTTCATCTTTTGAAAGGATACCCAAACGCTTACAATTCAATCCCCACCATACCTCAAAACGACATTGAGCTATGCTTAGAGGTAATGGCTATGGTGAAGTGTCATGTGGTTACTAGCTCATGCACCTTGGCCCCTCTATATCTCTTTTGCATTACTTAGGAGAAAAGGAAATTCAACTAAACAGTAGAAACATGGGAGAATAATTACACAAAGTAAGCAATCATATAGGGTTACATTGATTCGAGCGTGAAATATACATGTGCAGTTTGGTTCAATTGGCCGTGGTTTTCTAAGAGAAGAAATTTTTCAAGGGCGATTTAGTTTGGTTGAGCCGGTTACTTATTCGTTTCAAATACCAATCCAAATTAAACCAATTGGTGCATATTGGCCAGTTTGCGGGGTTGCTCAAGTTTTTATCCATCATTAGTATAATTGTCTGCCCTGCACTGATAATATGTAACTTAAAAAGATATTCGTTTGATAATTTTAAAGTTGGAACGTCATTTATCCAATGTGAAACAATTGTATTTGATTCACCAACACTAATTGCTTACATTGTTCTACTAGGTGAAATGGCATAAATTCCTGCCAATGAGTTTCTAGCTCAATTGTAAGAGCATTTGTCTGCAGATTAATGGTCTTAGATTCAAACCCTAATGACACCTCCCCTCTCACTTTTAAACTTTTTTTTTAAAAAGAGAGAGACATAAATCATCATAACCATTCCATGAGTGGCTGAGGGACATAGAGGGCATAGCAGCACTTACACATGAAAGTAAATGATGGATTCACAATGATCATTATCAACGAAGGCGTCTTTGTCTTTCTCCATTGCGGATCACAATTATGCGGATTCAATATAGATTTTTATTTTGAACCGTTAGATGGCTTGTGTAGTGGAGATTTAACGGTTCTCGCTTGTTGTATTAAATTTCTATCGCACAAGAAATTTAACGGTTGAATCCGCATAATTGTAATCCGCAATGGAGAAAGACCCATCAACAAAGTATGTTGTGGATAAGGAAACATAAGCATGTATACTGGGCATGGCTTTCTATCTAGCAATGATATGTGATTCATAGCCTCTTGCTTAAGGAAGGAGAAAAACCTGCGTGTGCAATCCATGCATGATATGAGAGGGCCCAAATGTCAAAAACAACTTCAACTCCACTAACTAAATCACAAGAAAGTTTTAATTTCTACAACCAAACATGACACTAATGCAACCCAATTTCAACGTGCACCTCAATTCATGACCCTTTTTATGTTTATTTTTTGTTTTCAACCCAAAAGAAGTTTTGTCCATATAAGAAATGTCCAAACTCTCGTGTCACCTCAAACAAAATGGTAGCTCACATTGATTTGAACTAGCATAATATAAATCTTGTTCAGCAATATTGGTCCCATGAATCAGATTCTCTCAAGCTGCCTGGACGAATAATTGGTTGTGATTATTAATATTTTATTAGAAGGACATTGTGATTAGATATTGTACTGTTTGGGTTTAACTATGATTTGATGCAGTGAGACAACGTTTTCACCACGGCATCATATCAGAGGGAGGGTCGACTCCATTTACCAAAGTAACTTCCACCCCCACCTAATCACTTGTCTTACTCATGCTTAATTAACCTGCTCAAGAATTTAGGTAAGTTAGTTAGAGCGGATATGTTCTCCACTTTACACCCGAATTCAAATTCCATTTTCACGTAGTTTAGATTAATTAATGTGCAACTTTTCTGATTGTAACTTAATAAACATGGATTGTAGCTCTGCAACTTCAGCTAAGAAACCAAACTTAAGTAGCATTTATGGTGTAACAATCTAGATATATCAAGCTTCATACAATTTTGTTTGCAGTGTTTAGTGATTTAATTAAGAAATGTAATCAAGTTTCATGCTGTAAGCAAGTTGCTTCTAATGGCCAAAGGTTATAGGATCTATACAATCAAAAGGTAACATGTGAGCTTATGAAGTGAACCGAAAGGAAAGCTTGCTTGCTTAGCTAAAGAGAAAAGTGAATGAGAATGGGGTGGAATTCAGATTTTTATGCAGATTCACCCTAGAAGTTCTCCCTGACCAATCTTTTGACAAAAAATATATGAGTAAAAGGGATACAAAGTGCACTGGCAATCAGCAGTTCATGCTTTTTTTCCTTCTTTTTTTGAGAGGGGGTCTAGGGTTCTTTCTTAAATTTTTTTATTTGCAGGGTCTTAAAAGTTATATTTCCACAGTTCTTGGTATGATTTTATTTGCACATACACGTGGGGTGATATGGAATTGTGTGTAGAACCTACTAAGATAAGTATATACAACAACAAATATGGCAAAAAACTAGTAGTTTGGGTGGATTGAATTCTACACCATCTTCAGCATATTGTTGGCCCTTGGAACCATTACTATTTAAGTCGGCGGTCCCCTCCTAAGATTATTTGGAATTGCCCCAATTCTTGTCTATCTCTCCTAAGTTTGGTCCATCAAATGTCCAAGCAATATTTGTACTACATGTATGTATGATGTATGTATGATGTATGTATGATGTATCAGTCAATGTATGCATCTGATGTGGAGAAGGACAAGTGCTTCTGAGTAATCCAGTGAGTACTACAAGTTTGGGGCCAATAACCATGACAAACTATTTTCCAGTTTTGTTATGTTATCATCTGAGTTTGCTTATGAGTTCAAGACCATTCAATTATCTTACAACCCAATCAACAAGTTCATATTGAACTTTGTTTGTGCATGCTGTTGACAGTATATCCTACATCTTGAAAGTAAGGCTAACTCTTACTCAGCATAAAGATACATTGAATGCTAGTTACCTTTTCTTTGTGCACTCTCTTTCTACCGTCTTCATTCTCCTTTTCATTCTGCAATGTTGTATGATGATGATGGAAACCATTGATTTTCGTGGTCATCTTCCTTTTTAAGGATATTTCCTGCAAAGTATCAACCAAATTAGAAATCGATTAGCTATTATTAATTGTATGATAATTAAGTGTATGATAATTGTACGATTTATTTATTTTTTCACTTACATGATTTTTAAAGTTTGATCTTGAAGATAGACAATTTCGATGGTGAAACTACATTGTAGAATGAGCATATGGAATGGGATAAGTGGAACGAAAAGGTATAAGGTAGCTGAAAAAATACTAGATATTTGAGTTGAATGCTTTAACTCTGTCACATGTCACCATAATGGTTTTGTATCAGAACTCTGTGTAGGAAATTAAAATAGTGCAGACTGACTTGCATGAACCACCTTCTGACCCTGTTGACTAGTTCTTCCCTCTCAAGCAACATCCACCATCTGAGAAACTCTTACTAGCAGTATCATTTGCCTCACTCAATTGATCAAGTACATTGATCTCTAAGCCTTTCCATTTTTATATTTCCTTGTTGAAGGAATTTTGAGAGTTGTCTCATAATTTTATATGTAAACAGATGAAAAGCATACCAGTCACCAAGGCTATATAGGCACAAGACCAAGCAACCACAGCAGTTGGACCAAATTAATTAAAGGTTAATTTTGCCATGTTTAATATAAGATTAAGTACCCACAACCTCCATTTCCCAACAATAATCCATGATTAGAATAATGGGGAAGGATTATGAAAAGGGGAAGTTAGAGAATGAGGAGTGGTTTAGTCAAAAAGGGAAAACTTGATTAGTGGATTAGCTTGGGATACTACATTTTTAGTGACCACAACGGTTAGTGTAGTGGGCTCGATGCAAAGTAAAGTAAGGCAAAACAGGTCTTATTTGTTCTGCATTTTTAGCTACTACCAACCCCTCCATTAATCCAATTCATATATGATCAACTCTAGTATATAACTGATATTGGCTTCCATCTTACATTTACTTTAAGACAAAATGAAAAAATAAAAAATTCCTTCTCGTTACCATTGGAATGGGGTGTTAGTTGGATTGGTTCAAAACTTTGGTGTGCTCCCAAATGATCCTAAGTTCAAATTCCGATAGTATCTTTGGATGTGAGCTTTCCCCCTCCCCCTTCCGAACATTGGCAAAACAAAATTTCTTTCTTGTCCATTTTACACTCGACCTCAATGGTACAGATCTGTCATAAAATTGCATCTGTATATATCTGCATATCAAATTGCATATCACATCTTGCCATAAAGTTTATCTTACAGTGATCATAACATTGCATAAATTAAATCTAATAATTATTAAGTGTAAGATTTATGCACTCTGCATTAAATTCTGCAAGAAGCTTTATTGAAGGCTCTTGGCAAGTCATACTGCAAACTGCAAGAATAAAAAACCAGAAAAATAGAGAAAAAGAAAAAGAGAAAACCCAATGACTAAAAGGAGCTCAACTGAAACTATGCAATTAGCAAAAAATATATTTTGTATGCATAAGTTTTTTTTTTTTTTTTTTTTTTTTTTTTTTTTTTTTTTTTTTTTTTTTAAAATACATATATAAGGAGTAGTCAATACTGCGAACTGAAACAGAAGAGAAGCAGACAAAAAAGAAAGGGTCAAGAAAAGAAAAATAAAATCCCCCCAAAACCAGTGTTTCCACAGTTAAAAAAGGTGGAAGCCAGTACAAAAGGATCAAATTTCCGTGTGAAGCCTCAAACAGGACGGCAGATTTTAACCCCTTCTCTGAAGAACACGTTATGGGCTCCAACTCACTTGGTTGTCCTATGTCCAATATCAGAAACAAGATTCCTCACAGCTTTTCCATTTCCAATTATGTCCAAAGAAACACCAGAGTTTACATAAAGTCTTACTGAGAGTTTGCAGAAGATAGCCAGTACCTACCAGAGCCATAATTTTATTGTCATTCCCTTGTTGGGTTAAGTTCATTCATTTTCATCAACTGCAAATATTTTACACCATCTCTTTTGCTCTCTCTCCCTCCCTCCCTCCCTCTCAACTGAATTCACACCAACTTTGTTATTCATAATACCAAAACTTTGCCTTTTTGATCTCTTCCTAGTTCCTTTTAGCGAACTTAAACCAAGTTTGCTTCAGCTTTAGATTTGGTTTGGTGACCAAAACAACAAACTGTAGTTGGTCACCATCTCTCTCTCTCTCTCTCTCTCTCTCTCAGAGGCACAGACAGAGACTCTTTTTCTACCATGAACTTGTAAACCCCAACATGCTCAGCCTCAGCAACAAGTTCAAGCAATCATGAGCTCCAGCGCCCAAAAACTCCATTTCTGTTGGAGGGTCACTTCCATTTTTGTTCTGCTACTTAGCTCAAGTTTGGCTCTAAACTCAGATGGGGTTCTCTTGCTTTCTTTCAAATACTCAATCCTCAGCGACCCTCTCTCTGTCCTTGAAAGCTGGAACTACAATGATGAAACGCCATGCTCTTGGAATGGAGTGACATGTACACAAATGGGAAACCCAGGAACACCAGACATGTTCAGAGTCACCAGCTTGGTCCTCCCCAACAGCCAGCTTCTGGGTTCGATTGCATCAGAATTGGGTTCGATCGAACATCTTCACAGCCTTGATCTTTCCAACAATTTCTTCAATGGGTCCCTGCCTTTGACCCTCTTCAATGCCTCAGAGCTTCAGGTGCTTTCTCTCTCTAACAATGTCATCTCTGGTGACTTGCCTGATGAGTTGGTTTCAGGTCTCAAAAGCCTCCAGTTTCTCAATGTTTCTGATAATGCTTTGGCTGGCAAAGTCCCTGAAAATCTCACTTCTTTGCAAAACCTCACTGTTGTCTCTCTGAGAAGTAATTACTTTTCTGGTAATCTCCCAACTGGGTTCAATTCAGTTGAGGTTTTAGATCTGTCTTCAAATCTGCTCAATGGGACTCTGCCTTTGGATTTTGGTGGAGACAACTTGCGCTATTTGAACCTCTCCTACAACAAAATCTCAGGAAAAATACCAGTTGAATTTGTAAAGAGGGTTTCAGAGAACTCAACCATTGATCTCTCCTTCAACAATTTGAGTGGACCAATTCCAGACTCACAAGCTCTACTCACCCAGAAAACAGAGCTGTTTGCAGGAAACAGTGAACTTTGTGGCAAGCCATTGAAGAGCCTTTGTCCAATTCCTTCTACTCTCTCCACACCACCCAACACTTCTTCTTCTTCTCCAGCCATTGCAGCCATTCCAAGAACATTTGACACAACCCCAGTATCAAACACACCCGGTGGACCAAATGGTACTCAGAACCAGCCACAGAGTGGCCTCAAACCCAGCACCATCGCCGCCATTGCTGTCGGAGACTTGGCCGGAATAGCCATCATTGGATTGGTCATTCTCTATGTCTACCAAGTCAGGAAGAGAAAACTTCTCAACACAACAAGCAGCAGTGCCACAGAGCTAGAAAAGAAACCAGAAATCTTCTCAAAAGAAGACATAGATCAGAAAGGTTTGCAATTTAGTTCATTTCACTCAAAATTTTCCATATAATTTATCTTGATATCTATATTCTGTAATCTGTATCTAATACTTTTGCCCAAATGCAGTAAAATCTGTTGCATGGTCATGCATGACAATCAAAGGGGAAGAGACATCAACAAGCTCAGACAGTGACCAAGATGACAAAATGGGCAAGTGGGTGGTGGTGTGCAGAGTCAAAAAGGGGAGCAGTCTCAGAAAGGCGGTGTCTTGGTAACCATAGATGGGGATCGAGCAGAGCTTGAGCTTGAGACATTGCTCAAAGCATCAGCTTATGTATTGGGAGCCAGTGGCCCAAGCATTGTGTACAAGGCCGTGCTTGAAGACAAGACTGAGCTTGCTGTGAGGAGAATTGGAGAGAGTGGGGTGGTGAAGATGAGAGATTTTGAGAGCCAAGTGAGGGCCATTGCGAAGCTCAAACACCCCAATTTGGTCAGGGTTCGTGGGTTTTACTGGGGAGACGATGAGAAGCTTGTGATCTATGACTATGTCTCCAATGGCAGCCTTGCCAGCACCACTAACAGTAAGCTCTCTCTCTCTCTCTCTGTGTTTTTTGGCTTACGTTAGTGAAATTATGTGTTTTGTGCTACATTGCGCTGTTTCTCATCCTTGTGTTTTTAATTAGAACGAACTAGAATCATACTTCCATCTAATTTTTTTACACCAATTATTATTCTTTTGAACAAGTTTAGTTTCACACAGTTTATATGGAATTGCGACCTACCAATTATTATAGCAGTATCTTTTTTTGTACTTCCAGCATGCAAGTTGTCTTCCAGATTTAATTAAAAATTAACCCAACAACTTTATTTATTTATTTTAAAAACAATTTTGTTTCTTTATTTGTCATGATTCTTTCTTTATTTATTTCTTGGGTGTCTGGAATTCAGAGGTCCTGTTTTGCAGTCTCTTTTTTTTTTCATAAATTTGATAATCTGTTTTGTAAACCCAATGGCCCATTCTCCAGCTTTATCACCTGACCTTTGATTAAAATAAAAGCTTTGTATCAGCCCATGACATTAGTTTTATTTCTTTGATTACCTTACACTCTGTCATCTGTTAATGATTCACAAGTGCCAAATTAGTGAGAAGATTCATAACTGCCCGTGAACCATGAAAAAGATGCATGGAAATCTTTTTTCTGGCCCAAATAGTCGAAAACTATTGGATTGGAACCCAGAGAATCCCTGCACCGAATCGGTTGAGTTGACAAGTTCTCTGCCTCTGCAGGATATAGCGGTGCTTGCTTGGAAAAAGTTTGGCAAACTTGGGCCTACTCGTTTTGCATTATTTGTTTTGTTTGATTCTTAATAAACATAGTAGTTAACTTTAACGAAACTACTAATGGCATCTCTTACGGTCACATTGAAAAATTTCTCGTAGCTGTGGTCCAGGGTTGCATTCGTGCTCGTACTTTGGGATATAAATGTTTAGGAATATACTGCCTCGTACATTTGTTACATTAGTGTCATCTATCTCAAATATGTTTGGAATTTTGTAGGAAGAGCAGGGTCGTCACCATGTCATCTACCTCTTGAAACTCGGCTGAGGATAGCGAGAGGGGTTGCTAGGGGGCTGGCTTACATCCATGAGAAGAAACATGTGCATGGGAATATCAAACCAAGCAACATTCTTTTGAATTCTGATATGGAGCCCATAATTAGTGATTTTGGCCTTGATAAGCTGGTATTAGGAAACATGGGTAGTCACAAAGCTAGCGGTTCTTCCAGGGGTTACTTTGGAAGCCTAAAATCAACTGCGGCTCGAGAAGGAATGCATGATGTGCTCCCAATTGGGGGCAGCCCTGCCGCCGCTATGTCATCCTCCGGGGGTGCATCGTCGCCTTATCAAGCGCCAGAGTGTCTAAAGAACTTGAAGCCAAACCCTAAGTGGGATGTGTACTCTTTTGGTATAGTCTTGCTTGAGCTTCTCACGGGAAGGATACTTTCGGAACGAGAATTAGTGGCACAATGGACCCCCTGTTCGTTGACTGAAGAGAAAATTCGGGCTTTAATCATGGTTGACGTGGCGATTAGGACTGAGGTTGAGGGCAGGGAAGATGCCTTGCTGGCTTGTTTGAAATTAGGGTTTAATTGTGCTAGTTTTGCTCCGCAAAAGAGACCGACCATGAAAGAAGTCCTCCAAGTCCTAGACAAAAGTACTAGTCCTCCTTCCACTCCTTCAAACTAATGATGTATTGAGGTCCCACTAAAGTTGCTTTGTTGTGTTAAAGCATTTTCTTTTTCTTGTTTTGTTGACTTGAATGTTGCATAAAAAGCATAAATGTCGATATAGCTTAATAATAATTTTATGGGAGGAAGCCGTTGTATTGTATGTATGTTTTGCGGATTAGTAAGAATTGATATATGAATTGTAATAAGATTGTGTTGGTGGCAATTGGCATGGAGGGCAATTACAATTATGTTCTTTTGTCAGCTTATGTTTCTAGACTGTGAATCTGAACGACCTGTTAATTAACTCTTTCATCAATGTATGGACTAAGTTTCATAATTTAGCAACATGCATTTGTCTAACAAGAGAAAATTGCTCTGTTAAGTGCAGTTATCCCTACCCGTAAGGTCATATGTTCCAATCCCTCTCTTTCAATATCGCTTTTTAAAAAAAAAAAAAAAAAAAAAAAAAAACATTTGGGCACAAATATAGGCTAAAGCCCAATAATTGTAGTCTAATAACTTTCACTTAGATTCAGCCCAACCCAGGTTTAATTTTTGCGCCACAAAATCAAATTTCCCCACCAAGAAAGCGAACATTTCAATTCAACCGTATATTTTTCCCACCAAAAAAATTAAAAAAAGAAAAATTTCAATCGTCTTTTCCCACCAAAAAACAAAACTTAAGTGATATTTTCCAAAATCAATTTATAGACGAGATTATTATCCCCTCTCTCTCTGCTCAACTCAAATCCCATTATCTTTTGAACTCCATGGATCGTCGAAAATCGTTGCAAATGCTTATGTTCGCCTCCGATTCTGATGATATCTGGAACGCAAACGTTACGAAGGCGGTGATCGCACACGTGACACTCTTAAAAGCTTGTCACGACGCCAACAGGAGAAGTGCCCGGAAACGACGCCGTCGCAATCGGCGGCCCCTCGCTGCCGTTGGGCCCACGGGCACCAGATACGACTCATGCGTAATCAGCGACGCCGGTACCTCATTCAAGGCAAAGAACAAGAACAGGAAAAAGAAGAAGTCTCTATCCCCGCAACCAAACAACCCCCCAGCCACGGAATCGCTGGGCATTTTGGGTATTTACTAATTTCTGTGATGGTTTTTGACAGGTGGGTATTGGGTATGGGAATGACGAGGGGCACATGGAGAAAGTGAGGGGGGTCCAATTAGGAATGGAGCTCCCAAACGTTGTGTGTGTGGATGCAAAGGGATTGGAGCTCGAAGATGATCGTCTACATCTGACCGCCAAGGCTCAGGTCCAGTTGGGTCAAATGTTGGCTGATGCTTCACTCCAACGTTTTAGTTCATCAAAATCTAATTCCCATCCTGCCCTTTAAATCGATCCTATTTTGAAGCTATCTCTGGAGACTTGGCTCCAAAGGCAATTCTGGGAATTTATGGGTGTCCAGAGGCTTTTTTTGGGTGTGCATAGAAATCACCCTTATGTATGTTGTTTCTAATTCTGTATGATTCTGATGTTGCCAACCCTTGTGAACTGCATAGGCAAGGTCATGCTCTGATTTTCCAGAGAGAGAGAGAGAGAGTGATGGTAATTTGTCAATTTCAGTCTGATTCATTTTGCCACCAAATAAAAAATTTAAGCCGTACTTTCCCACCAAAACTAAATCAATATTATTTTTCAAAATCAATTTTATAAATAAGTTAAACCCTCTCCATTTCACCATACGATTTTCCAAAAAAACAATTGAGATATGGAGGATTTTTCTTCTTCTTCTGATTCTGATGATGATTTTATGTTGTTTGTCTTCCCAATATTGCTACTAGCAGCGAGGGAGGAAGAACTCGCCAACAATGGGAGGCGGAAACGACGCCGTCTCGCTTGCGAGGTCTTTACGCGACCTATCGGCGACACTGGGCCCACTGACACCGGGTCTCCCAGTCCTCCTTTAATCAGCGATGCTCGTACCCCACTTAAACCAAACAAGATAAAAAACAACCCCGTATCCCCGCAACCAAACACCCACGCCCACCCACCCAAAATGGAATCTCAATCGCTCCAACCCAAACAGATCTTCATCTTATCGGGCCAGAGCAACATGGCCGGCCGCGGCGGCGTTTTCAGAGACCACCATCAACACCAACATTGGGACCGCGTCGTTCCGAACGAGTGCGGCCCCCATCCATCCATCCACCGCCTCAGCGCGCATCTCCGGTGGGAGCCCGCGCTCGAGCCGCTTCACGCCGACATCGATGCCACGAAGGTATGCGGCGTGGGGCCGGGGATGGCGTTCGCGAACGCCGTGAGGGAGCGCGTGGGGGTGTTGGGGCTCGTGCCGTGCGCGGTGGGCGGGACGGCGATCAAGGAGTGGGCGCGTGGGGAGCACTTGTACGAGAGTATGGTGAAGAGGGCGAGAGAGAGCGTGAAGGGCGGGGGTGAGATCAAAGGATTGTTGTGGTACCAAGGGGAGAGTGACACGTCGACGCAGCATGATGCTGATGCATACCACGGGAACATGGTGGAGCTCATTGAGAATGTGCGCGAGGATCTTGGCTTGCCTTCGCTTCCTATTATCCAGGTTAGGAGTTCTTCACTTATTTGATGTTCATTTTGGGTAGTCAGTTATTGTAAAATGCTGATGATTTTGGAGGCATGGTTTGAAACTTTGATAATATTTTGCCAAATTCATTTTTCAATGAATACTGGCACTTAAAATATATTATTATTTGGATATTATTATATGAACAGAACGTGTGTATTAGATCAGTTAATCAGGGTGATGCGTCGGTTATTTACACCGAAACTCGAATTCCCCTCTTCGTAATTATAGATTAAATTAATTTATAGTAATTTTAAATCATGAATTGTGCAAAAAGAGTTTTTATAGTGGGTCAATAAATGTTATTATATTATTTTTGCATTTGTAGAGTTTGATATTTAAAAATATTTGTTTACAGGTGGCTATTGGGTCTGGGGATGCAAAGTACATAGAGAAAGTGAGGGAGGCCCAATTGGGAATGAAGGTTCCAAATGTGGTTTGCGTGGATGCAAAGGGGTTGGAGCTCAAAGATGATCATCTGCACCTGACCACCAAGGCCCAGGTTCAATTGGGTCACATGTTGGCTGATGCTTACATCAAACACTTTGTATCATCAGAAGCCAATGCTCATCCTGCCCTTTAAAAGTAAACACTCAAATTTCGTTGTGTTTGTTTGTTTGTCGGTCTCCTTTAACTTGTTGGCTTTGTGCTACAACTATAATGTCAGCAGGTCTTAAGTTCGACGACCGTCGGTGTATTACTATTGTAGACTCTGTATGCTTTTGTTATTGACCCACTAAGGTTGAGGCCTGCTAGTGGGTTGAATATAGCTTTTGGGCTTTTTGGTCCACCGAGCCTACCAGGCCTGATACTAAACCATTAGATCTTTGTTGATGGGTCCTATCTTTGTTTGATTACCCTGCACTCTGTTTACTCATTGAATTAACAACATTATCATCGTCACTTTCATCCATTTATTAAGTGAACTTCAAAATGATAGCTTCATAAGTAAAGGTCGTTGTCTTTGACTTTGAAGGTTTGATCCCATTCATTAAGTCTACATAGAAAATGGTTTTAAATATAAATGAATTCGTGACATTATTTTAAAAAGCGCACACATGCTTAGAGCATTTCTAACGGACTCTCTATCTTTTCATTCCTAGCTACTTTGACTAAAACGAAAGAAAATCCTCCTCCAACTGACTCCCTACTTGGCTCTCTATTTTGGAGAAAGAACCAACTTTTGGCTCTCTACATGTTGAGAGGAAGAGAGATAATTTGGCTAGGAGGAGAGAGAAAAAGGGAGAGAGAGATAGAGACATTTGAGAGGTTGGTGGGGTTGGGTTTCTACCTTTTTATATATAAATATATTTGATCTGCATGAGAAAGAGAAAGAGAAAATAATAATAAAATATTTCAAATTAGCCAAAATAGAGAACATTGCTGGAGAAAACAACTTTTAAGTGATTTGCTATAATAGCTTTCTAGCTATTTTAGCTAGAATTTGGCTAAAATTTGAAGACTCTCATGAAGATGCTCTTATAAGCGTTTTTATAACTCATCGGTACTTTTATGTTTTTCTCGATTTCTTCCTAGTAGAATTATCCCATCATATGAATAAATCGGGTTATATCCCCTGTAGTTGTGGATGGCTTTTCTTCCTAGATGATTTCGTGCTAGATTTTTGTCTCCCTTGTGTTTTGCAAGGTTTGTCTCATACCAAGTTTTTTTGGGGTCTTCATCTTTGTAGATCTATCTTTTTCGCCTATATTGTGGGGGCCTTGCAGTTTTGGGGTTAATGAGGTGGATCTCCATCATATCTCCATGTCGAGGGGTGGAATTGTTGATTTTGTGGATCCACTATCAATAGGTGCTTTGAGTTAAGGGGTGTTTGGGAAACGTTGTGATCATGTGTCCTGGTGAAAGTTGAGCGGGATTTACTTTCCATTTGTAGGTGTTTTAGGTGTTTCTCATCTCCAACTCCCAAACTGGTAGAGAGTTTTATCTCTCATATAATCTTCTTCCAACACCGGATGCAATGACTTTATGGATCCCATATAATCTTCTTACAACACCGAATGCAACGACTTTATAGATCCTCTTATGTTTCTCAATTTCTTGTAAGTTGTTATGAGTGAAGTAATTTGTAACTATCTTATCACCTTTTAAATTCCTAAAGCTATTTTACTTTTGCCATTTTATTAAGACACAAAATGCAATGCAGCAGCCACCTTCCCAAAGCTTTAAAGGTACCTAAGTTCAACTTGCTTTTTTCATCTGCAGAACAAGATACAAAAGTTCATAACAGTCTAATTAGGTAAGGGAGCCGTACAATGATTTCTTTTAATCGAAGCGAAAACGAATTTTTATTCCAACACCAACCCCCCAAAAACATAAAATCACTTAAACATATGGCACGTGGTCCCCGCCCACGCACTCTGTCTCTGATACTTGATTAGATCTCATGCTGGATCTGATAGCATATCCCAGATTTTTCATTTATTTATTTTAATTATTATTTCGCTTTCCATCTCTACCAAGTACCAACCAACCTCCAGCCACCGAGCTCGATGAGAGGAAGATGGGGAAATATCATTTGCTATGCGTGGGAGAGGGGATAGATGAGGACAAGGCGAGGGTATTGTCAAAATAGTGTGTAAGACAACTTGCATTTACCAATCTATATAGGTTTTTTGTTTTTTGTTTTTCTTTTTGGGTAGCGAGAGATTTGAATTTGGAATCTTCTTTAACGTTAAGAAAAATATACCATATATCAAAAGTTGGCAGGTACATGTATAAAGGGCTAGTAACGGGCGATTTGAACTTGAATTCTTTTTCAACATTGAAAAGAATATACAATGTATCAAGAGCTAATTTGTTTAATCAAATCTATTGTTAACCTATAAGATAAACATAAAAATAAATTTGAATTTTCAATTAAATAATGGAATTCCAAGATGATATAAATTAACCCCTACGCAATTTAATTTCTATAAACAAACTCAAAAAAATGACAATTAGCGTTATTGAATTTAATTTTAATTATTAAATTATTTTAATGCCCTATTAAGTATTTTAGGTTTTATCAACGGAAATTCTGAATGATTTTTATTTCTACCAAATATAAAGAAAAGCAGTTATTGGATAAAAGGCAAGAAAAGGAAAGAACAGGAAATAGTGATGTGGCTAGGGGGGGTTGGTGTTTTACCAAAAACTAAACTTATTGGAGAAAAGTCCAGAACCCCAAAACACACACTCTCTCTTTCTCCTCCACTCTCGCTCCTCCCACCTTTTCCCTATTTTCCCTCCCCCGCAAGACCAGCGCGTGAAAATCCCTTCCTGTCTCCAGCATTTCTACCTGAGTCTGAGGGCTGACCTCACACAATCTCTCTCCCCACTTTCCTTCTCACCAAACCCACCCACCCCACCCAACTATATATTCAAAACCCACCAACACACCCACACACCCACTCTCCACCGCTAAAATCAACGCCAGCGTCACCAACACAATGGCCACGTCAGCACCCCACGCCCTACGCACCCCATTTCTCCGAAACCCCTCCCTCTCTCTCTCCTCCAAGCCTACTCTGTCCTCCGTTTTTCCCGTCTCTCTCTCCTCGCGCCGCCGGGCCGCGCCGCGGCTCGTGGTGGTGCTCTCCGCTGCCCGGCTCGACGCCAAGCCCACCGTTCTAGTCGCCGAGAAGCTCGGCGAGGCCGGGCTCGACCTCCTCAAGGAATTCGCCAATGTCGACTGCTCCTACAACCTCAGCCCCGAAGAGCTCTGCACCAAGATCTCGCTTTGCGACGCGTTGATCGTGCGGAGCGGGACCAAGGTCAGCCGCGAGGTGTTCGAGTCTTCCGGCGGCAGGTTGAAGGTCGTCGGTAGGGCCGGCGTCGGCATCGACAACGTGGATCTGGGGGCGGCGACTGAGTTTGGATGCTTGGTGGTGAATGCGCCGACGGCCAACACCGTCGCCGCCGCCGAGCACGGGATTGCTCTCTTGACCGCCATGGCTCGCAACGTCGCTCAGGCTGACGCGTCTGTGAAAGCCGGTGAGTGATTCTATTACTGTAATCTTTTCTCTGTTTTAAGAAATGTTCGTTGGGGCATTTCGTCAAACATTTTTTATTCAATTTTGGTGCGTTGCCAGGGAAGTGGCAGCGGAACAAGTATGTTGGTGTTTCTCTTGTTGGGAAGACCTTGGCTGTGATGGGATTTGGGAAAGTTGGATCTGAAGTGGCTCGGCGTGCCAAGGGGCTCGGCATGCATGTGATCGCGCACGACCCATATGCACCCGCGGATCGTGCTCGCGCCATTGGTGTGGAGCTTGTGAGCTTTGATGAGGCTTTGGCATCTGCTGATTTCATATCCTTGCACATGCCTCTCACTCCCGCCACTTCAAAGGTTCTCAACGACGAGACTTTTGCGAAGATGAAGAAGGGAGTTAGAATCGTGAACGTTGCGCGTGGGGGAGTTATTGACGAAGATGCACTCGTCAGGGCACTCGACGGTGGAATTGTTGCTCAGGTTGGTTCTTACCCTTTTCATATTCAATATTCATATGCATTTTAATACTTAGCAGGAAATTTAATGTTTTGTTCTGTTTTTGTTTTTGTTTTTTGATCTCTAGGCTGCTCTTGATGTGTTCACTGTGGAGCCGCCACCACAAGGCAACACGTTGGTGTTGCATGAGAGAGTTACTGCAACTCCTCACCTTGGTGCCAGTACCATGGAGGCACAGGTGGGTTTTGCTGTTTTGCATCTGTCTCTTAATACCTAATTTTTCTCCTCACCTGGGTATCTTATGATCTTTGGAATTTATGTGCAGGAAGGTGTGGCCGTTGAAATTGCTGAAGCTGTCGTTGGAGCCTTGAAAGGGGAGCTTGCTGCCACTGCAGTCAATGCACCAATGGTTCCTGCTGAGGTATGATTACAATTGCCCAATATATACCTGTATCTTCGTTCTTACTGGCTTGTTTGTAGATGTTATAAAACTTTATAGTTTGTTTTATGCAGTCATATCAGGGTTCTAAGAAGTGTCTGAGTAGTCGAGTTTTTGAAATTTTCAAGTTTCAGTTTCCAAATCTAAAATCTTTGTAATGTGGTAGTGTTTGGTAAAGAAGGGGTGTGGGTTCTATTCTTACAAATTATGTTGCAGCGATTTACAATTTCTTTTGGCATTCTTGATTGCAGGTGTTGACAGAACTGAAGCCATATGTTGTACTTGCCGAGAAACTTGGGAGACTGGCAGTCCAACTAGTGGCTGGAGGCAGTGGTGTGAAAACTGTCAAAGTTTCATATGCCTCAGCTAGGGCTCCTGATGACCTTGACACTAGGCTGCTTCGAGCCATGATTACTAAGGGTCTCATTGAGCCCATTTCTGACGTTTTCGTGAACCTGGTGAATGCTGATTTCACTGCTAAACAGAGAGGACTAAGAATAACAGAAGAGCGAACCGTTCTCGATGGTTCACCCGAGAGCCCACTCGATTCAATCCAAGTTCAGATTGCCAACGTGGAATCCAAATTTGCCAGTGCCATATCAGAGAGTGGAGAGATTACGGTGGAGGGTCGGGTTAAGGATGGGGTTCCTCACTTGACGAAGGTTGGATCATTCGAAGTTGATGTGAGTTTGGAAGGTAGCATAATACTCTGCAGACAGGTTGATCAGCCGGGTATGATCGGAACAGTTGGAAGCATTTTAGGAGAGGAGAATGTGAATGTCAGTTTCATGAGCGTTGGAAGGATTGCGCCAAGAAAGCAGGCTGTGATGGCAATTGGGGTGGATGACCAACCCAGCAAGCCAGCTTTGAAAAGGATTGGAGATGTTCCAGCCATTGAAGAGTTTGTTTTCCTCAAGTTGTAGTGTTGCATTATATTCATCTGTGCCTTTTTGTATCCTCATGCTTTTATCTCTTTTAAAGGGGGCATGGCTTTATCTTGCCTGCCCGATTTTGAAAATCCTTTGGGTTTCTGGTAGATTTAGGGTGAGAATGAAGAATAAATCAGTTTGCGATGGTATGGATGTACTTTATTGAGTTATTATTGCCCCCAAATTTCAATTTTCTCATGTTTTGATGAATCACCATGTTGATATTGCGTGCCAAATTCCTTGCAATGCTTTTAATTTGCTTTGCAGTTGCAAAAAGTAATTATTACAAATTGCTTTCATGGCAGCTTTGAGAGAATGCAGTCCTTTTTCCTGCTGGATGAGGGAATTAAATGACAGCTTCTGTTTTGGATGAGGGAATTAAAGGACGGAATTTGGATTTCTATCGTTTAAATTTCTAGCAATTAATAATTTCAGTGTTTGACTAGAAATTTCCATTGGAAAGTTTAGATTGATGCCAAAAATTAATACCAAATTGTTCCTATGCATGGTAGGTGTCGGATGAAAAGGTGGTTCCTACGCATAATAGGTATCGGGTGAAAAGCACTTTTTCATTGCTCGTTGAACTCATCAGAACACTGAAAATTTTCTCCATAACATGAAATATTATTTCCTTATGGTGTATGTGAGAGAGAATCATCGTTCTACGGCCCATTCACCATGCACAATCTTTAGTAATCTAATGTGGATAAAAACTCATGTGGAAGTATCTGACCAAAAATAAAACTTACGTGGAAGCCTCGACTCAAGAACCAGAAAGGAAAGGAACCTGAGCTACAGTTGTTGGTAGGGAGATGTGGAGGTTTTGAACTGCTAAATAGGCAGCAATACCGGCAGCATAACCAGCAAAAGCGAAACCGCTCACCTGCACAGCAGACAATGATTTTTTTTTACCAACACCAAATAGGGAAATGAAACTTCAAATATGTTTTCGAAGACGATATTCTACACCAGTTGATTAATACCTTCCGCAAGTACCAAAAGAAGTCCACCTTTTCCATCCCCATAAAAGCAACTCCAGCTGCAGAACCAATAACTAGCATGGATCCACCAGTACCAGCACAATATGCAATCAGTTGCCAAAACTCAGAATCCTTTGGAAAGGAAGTTAGATCGTACATCCCCATAGTTGCAGCAACCAGTGGAACATTGTCTATAATTGCTGATACAACTCCTATTGAACTTGCAATCAGTTCAACATTGGGGATGTGAGCATCCAGGTAATTTGCTAACTCCCGAAGAATTCCCGCTGCCTCCAGGCTAGAATAGAAGAAAGTTAAGTTCAGAAAGTGAAACTCATGAAGCCACTTTTTAAAAGAAGCAGGGGACAACCTTTGCATATTCTGTACATAAAAAGCCAAGCCGTGCAATATATATGATTGACTTGAAACTTCTTGACTGCTTAATTATATGATGCAATTGCACGAAAAAGAAGTTGACTACAGTATTTGTCTATTCACCTGCTAACAGACAACAGGATGCCAAGGAAGAAAAGTGCTCCTTGAGTGTCAATTCGTGACAAAGCCTGTGGTACCTTTAACTTTTGTCTTTCTGATTCACCATAATGTATAGCATCAGTCAGAACCCAAAGGACTCCAAGTCCCAGCAGAATACCCATGTAAGGAGGCAAACCAGTTAGGGCCTTGAACACTGGAACAAAAACCAAAGCTCCAATGCCTACAGAGAAAACAAGCTTTCCCCGAGGAGCCATCTGTTCAGATGCCATAACATTGGACGTGTCTGGTGCTTTCCCACTTACTTCACTGAATGGAAGAAAAACTCACATCATTCCTCTATTATCCATTAAGTAATTCTAAGTTACTAACTTTCATATCTCAGATCCCCGTCTTTGGTCTGACAACACAAAAGAAGTACCTAGTCAGGGACATGAGTGCCAGCGGAACAGCAAGAGAAACGGCTGAAGGTATAAACAAGGTCTGTAAGCAAGAAAATGTGTTCATTTTATGTCAGAATATTGATAAAATAATTCTTTAAGGATGATATTTTTATGTAGACAAAATAACAGATATCTGAACAAAAAACTTGGCACATAGGACCAGAAACTCTAAATGGAATTGTCAATTTCAAGTGGTTTGCCACATAAAACAGGGGTTATGCTTATATCCACTCTAATTGATTACATAACTGCTAAATCAATCAGGTCCACAAAATTTTATAACACTATAATAAAAAATCAATTATGTATTGTCATCCTCAACATTTGGTAAGCCAAATCCAAAAACCAATAGAGCTATCATCTTGTTGTAACTAACTTGCAGTTCAAACTTCCAAGTTCAGCATAGAACTAATATGCAGCATAAACCAAGTTCCTAGACAATTCCATGATTGCTTGTGTACAATCTCCACTTTTATATTAGACAATACATCAACCGGCATCAAGCATAAATCCCTAGCAATAGATAATGCGACAAGGTGAAAATAAATGAAATCAATAAAGAATAATACTATTTGTACCACATTTATTGACCACTTTGCTGACCACCTCTCTAATAGAAGTGGGCCCCACTAATGTATGTGGGACCCTCCTGTATTAGAGAGGTGGTCAGTAAATGTGGTACAAATAGCAGTACTCATAAATAAATAAGAGAAGAAATTTGATATATGAATAAGCTTCTCAGAATGAGGAAAAAGACCTTCATTGTTTCCAATGTGGATATCTGACCATGTATCCACAGCATAGTAGTGGTAACATCACCAATAGGAGTCCATGCACCACCAGCATTTGCTGCTATGACAACAACAGCTCCTAAAATCCTGACAACAAAATACAATTCTGTAAACGAAGTGAAAAATCATGCATCAATTTGGGGTCCATTATTGCATCAATATAACTTCATAAATGACCCATTGAGGTATGAACTATGAACATGCTAAAAATTATGACAAAAAAAAAGATATGAACATGCTAAACTGGTGCTTAAGAGATGCCATTTCTAAGAAAGAATATGAAAATCAATCAATGCCATTAAAGGGTATCCAGGAATGAGTACCAAAAATTCAATCTCAACGTGCATGCCCAAGTTGCTGTTTAAAGAGAATCTTTATAAAATAATCTGGAACAAACACAGTTGTAGTGATTATCAAATTTCTAATTGATTTCATAAGTAACGCCTGCACAAAGAGGTATAAGCCTCACTTAGAAGACATACGATTTCTCAAGTGGTTATCCACAAGGTGTTAAAGATGCAACAGACAACTGATCATTTTTAGAATGAGGAGGATGATAATATTCCCGGGCTAGAATAATAATAAGTGGCAATATTGCAGGCAGGGCAATATATGGGGTAGTTTCCCAACTGACATAGAAATGTTGCAACTGTTTCCCAACTAATAATATGCAAGATCTCATCTTCCCTTTTGTTTCTTGAGAAACCGGAGAAACAATGTCTTCATTCAATGAAAAATTTCAGACAAGAATCTCAACAGATACATTCACCTTAATATGACCTTGAAACACAGTTGCACATTCTACCTAGAACTATTCCAAGACATTAACAAGAAAGAGTAACTTTTAAAAGTTGAAACTATTAAAAGAAAAAAGCACAGTTGCCTCACATACACAAGTAACATTACATTGGATGATATCTGCTGAAACCAATATCAGGCAATCTTCGAAAATAACCTCACATAGAAGAGATAGATAGTAGATGGTCAGAACATACTTGCGAAATTCGGAGGAAGGAACTAGTTTTCTCAGTAAAGAAACCATGACAATGGTAGATGTCAGGTTGTCAAGAACTGAACTAAGGCAAAAAGTCACAATACCCACCTGCAGAGTCAAGCATTAGTCTGATAGAATAAGTCGAACATACCAAATGCTCAGTAGAAAGGATTAACATACATCAACATGACAGCAGAAGCAAAGAACTCACCACCCAAAGGAGCGTCCTTGGCTTTCGAGTGGTTATATTGTCAGTAACCAGCTTAAATCCTTGATGAGAATCAACGATCTCTACAATTGTCATTGCACCAAGCAAGAAAAATACTATTTCACTGACTTCAGCAGATGCATGTTGTAACTCTGAAACAGCTATATCAGTTGAAGGAGCCTACAGAATATCAAAATTAATTCTAGGAGAAACTGTGTACAAGATATTGCAAAACCAGGTGGCAAAATATAAATCTTACCCCAATACTTCTCACCACCCACAAGCTCACAGCCATTAACAAACCTACTCCACTTTTGTTGAAGGCCAGAGATTCTTCAAAGATGATGCCCACATATCCTATTCCAAACAGCAATGCCATGGCAACATCCTGTATCACGAGTTGGTCATATCAACTTAATGTTGAAATAAAACATCCTTTTTAAAGGTGTGCAATTTTCTGCAGAAAAATAACTTAAGGAATCATGGGAAAGGCACAAAAAAAGGATCAGGCTGCAAAATAAGGATGTACCTGATTGGCAGCAACCCAGGAATGGTTAATTGCTACTGCCCCTGTTGCAGCTGCTGCAAGTACTGCAATAGCTTTCAGCAAATCAGTCTTTGGCCGGTAATTGGCCTCAAAATCATGTGAGCTCGTTTCGTCCAATGAACATAAAGGATCACATGATCCAGAACTTGGGGACAAATCCTGATAATATGCTAAAGGTGATCCATAAATTGTGAATACCAGCAACAAACAATGGCAAGATGCCACACTAATTGAAACATAAAAACTTTATTTGATAGAGTCGTTTGAAAGGTTCAGAGAATTTAGTTCACTATGGAAACCAGCAACTAATAGATTATCTATTAGGTAATTCCATTCCCATGAACTAATAAATAAAATTATGTGCAGGGGCAACTGATACATTTCTAATACTAATGTCAAGGCATTAATAAAACTTTATCGCTAAAGGAGACTCCAAATCTCAACAATTTAATCAAAGTTACTAAATTTCACAAATTTAGCCGAGTATATTGAATTTGGACCCAACTTCGCAAAATTTAATCAATCAGATATGAAAACTTGTACAACTAACAACTGGGTACTGTTAAAAAAGGAAGCTTTTGTCAAAGAAGAACCTGAAACTCTTTCTCAGAGCTGGGCTGAACTTGCTGCTGCTGAGCCGACGAAGAAGAAGAATTCGAACCTCTAGCTTTGTCTTCAGCTCTGGCCAGTATACCACTCCCCGGCAATCTTGAGCCTCGAATTCCACGCAAAGATGAGCCAAAGGAAGGATGAGAAGGAGATAAGCTTTGGGTCTGAGAAAGAAGGGCAGTGAGCGTTTCTTCAAATGGTGGTGGGATGGAGGCAAGCGGACCCCAATTGAGAGGGAAGCCATTGGAGCTAGGTAGGGTCGAAGAGAAGAAGAAGACGATGAGAGTACTGGGTTTGGATCAGTGTAAACTGCAGAGCTTCTTTGTTATGTAATGTTTGGCAAGTTGCATGGAATTTGAAAAGTATTTACAGATATGTGGAAGTAGTTGAAATGGGAGTGGAAGTAATGTTTCTTGTTGGGTTTGTTCCGCTGATGAAATATTATTATCGGAAACTTGAAAAAGTTTGGCCCTACTCGATCCTCGTCGTCCCTGCAAAACCTCTCCAATCAGCTATTAATAATTTTTCATATAAAAATACTTATTGCATTTTTCATCTTTTTAATTCCATTCAATATTCATCTTTTTTTTAATCGCTTAAATTACAACTTGGTTGCTCTGTTTTATAATTCTGACTTGTCAAAATATAATTTTCAGTTAAACTCCTCCTGATTTCCTCATGTGATGGATTGTTTGATTAAAGAAAATAACATCAAAGCTGCCATCCACCACATAGTGCAGTCTAAAATATTATATCTCCAAATATCCTATAATTTTTTATATAAAAAAATAGATACTATTGTTTTGAGTATAGGGAATTTCAGAAGAAGAAAAAGGGGAAGAAAATAAAAGGTTGACAGGCACAAAACTCTATCCAAAGCTTTGTAATTGTAATGTCCCAGGGTGACACGTGTCCTCTTACCCTCCTAAAATTTGTATGGTTTGGTTTCCTCCAACTACCACTTCCCCCTTTGCTCTCTCCAAAATTGTAGCTCTCTCTCTGAAAAATGGCTGTAGCTCAAATCTCTGCCTCTCTCTCCCTTTCCATCAGAGGTACCCTCTCTCTGTGTGATTGAATATTGTAATATTGAAATTTCCATATGTAATGTGTTTGAGCAAGTCTAAAATATGCAACAGATGCAAGTGGTATTAGCTCAGCAGCAGCAAGTCCTGCTCGGCTTCCCCTTTTCAATTCCCCTAGAATTGGGACTGCCTTTGCTACTGGTTCTCCACTCAGTAAGCCTTTGACTCTTACAGCTTTATCTTCTCTGCTAATTGCCTTGACTTTCTGTTTAGAAATCCACCATAACCTGTACTATCATGGGTAGCAAGATTTCAAAAACTATGGGAAAAGTTGTTTTCTTTAAAATTTATTTCATTTCTGGAATGAGGGTAATGCAGCTCAATTGGGTTTTATGAACATTTAAAGAAGCGTTGTGTGTAATTATTATTTAGTGGAAAGAAAGTATGTTGATATTAGGACTGCAAAATCCCTCTATAAGAATTTTTACAGAAGCTTCTAGTTTGCAAGTTCTTGTATGCATAAGAGCATAAATGGCACATTAACTTCTTACTCACCTTGACCACTCATCTTCTAAAGTGTTAGGTTTCATTTCACTGGGTTTTTGCTCTATTTTGTGGGATAAGAGCTGATGTTTGAATTTGTTTTCAGTCATTAGAACTGTATATCATCAAAGGAAGGCAGTATGCAAATCAATGCCACTTTCTGTAAGGTGTGAGCAAAGCACGAAGGAAGGTGGTTTGGATGTATGGCTTGGCCGGCTTGCCATGGTTGGCTTTGCTGTGGCTATTAGTGTTGAGGTAGCGACGGGAAAGGGACTTCTGGAGGTATGAACACATGCTATAGGTTTTTACATCCCACCCAAGATTGCCTTTTTACTTTCAATTGCATTCATATTTATGGGAAGTAGTGTTGGTTTCCATACACTGAACAACCGGCTTAAACCAAAGATGATTTACCAAGTGCATCAAAGATATTGAAAATTTATCCTTGATGTTGCTTTAAGTGTTGATTTAATTCTGTAGGAAACTTACCAAACCTCAAATAAGAAATTAGAAGTAGCATCTATAGATTATTTGTGAGTTCATTTCTAATACTTGAGAGACTTGGAGCCGAACTCAGTTGAAATCTTGTCACTTTGAGCTGGTTCTTCCTACATACACCAAGTCTTAGGGTTACAATGACTATCCATTGAAATTGTGGTCCCTCACAGAGTGAGCCCTCACAGAGTGAGCTTCTTCTTCCTTGTCTTTAAGCTTTTGTTATCTCCTTGCTTCTTAAGGAGATGCCTTCAGATCTAAAGCTAGCTTCTGATGAACTATTTCAACTCTTTTGGTTGGAGTATGGCATTGCTTATGCGGATCTTTGTTGCCGCCAACTGTTTAATGCATTACAGTTTCAAAGATTTTTTTAGTTAAATTCCCAGACGCCAGCTTTTCTTCAGTCTAGGAAATTTTGGAGCAGGGAGGCTCTCATGTCACCTGCTCATTATATCTTTCAGATGATTTGAAAACTTAATCTTACCTGAATAAGCACTCCCTGTTCCATCCCTTGGAATGTTGTACTTCATATAAAGTCACCTTATGTACAAATAGACAAAGACAACTTTCATTTTGCCACATAATTCTCAAAGAGATCGAGATTTCTATGAGATTGTTCCTTGTGTTCCTTTCCTTGTACTACTTTGAATTGGAAGCAGCCATGAAACAGAATAACATCATAGTCACAAAGGATTCCCTTACATTCATAAAAGTGTCTTTTTTCTAAGGGAATATCATTCTCAACAACTACAATTAATGATAAGTTTTCATTTTGATTGTGCAGAATTTTGGGCTCACAAGTCCCCTCCCTACAGCTGCCTTGGCTGTTACAGCATTGGTGGGAGTTTTAACAGCAGTCTTCATTTCCAGTCTGGCTCTGAAAAGTGAACACAGTTTAGATTGCTGTGTAGTGCTTGTATAGTTTGTAATTCTGACATGTATTTCAAACTGAACATTTGTTCATTACTGTAATTTTGTCAGAGTGGCAACAATTGCGGCACGACTTAAGGTTGAGGATGTACTTTTATTATATAAATGAGGGCTTAAGTTGATACGGAGGCTTTCTTTCTGGGTTGTTGCTTTTACTTGAGCATACTGTTGCTATGTCCAAATGATGACATCAACATAAAGCCATTTGATGATTTGTATCTAACTTTCTGATAGTGGAATTGCTTCTAAATTGTTTAGATTGGCTACCAAAAAAGCGATTGATCATCAATGAGAAGGAAAAAAGAATTACTATTAAAGTTGGATATCTTTTAATAGACTACTGCAATTTTTTCGTCATAACTATGAAAAAATGGTGCATGATTCCCCGAATTTCTTCTGAAAAATAAAAAATTAAGAACCATAGCATTTCGCTCTAATTTCTGGATTAAAAGATATCTTAGGTAGGATTTATTAATTAGAAACTGATCTGGCAGAGAATTTCTCCTAGAAGGAGAATATTTTTGGTGCTTGTTGAGAAGGAACTTCGTTTTTTTAAAAATTAGATGCAGACACAAATGAGTACATAGCTTTTCAAAAGTTTCAAACATATATTCTTTGTGAGTTCCATGAAACCAGCCAACAGAATGGCCATGCCCACTGGTGTTGTATGAATGTTCCCTTATGATGGCAACAATTCCTATTGCAAACAAAAAAATAATCAATTTTTCTTCCCTTTTAAAATAGAATTTATTCTTTTCACCTTTTGCATAAGCCACCTCTAATATTGTCCCATCTGGGTTTTGCTTTCAACTCAAGACATCTTGTTCTCTGTATAAAAAACTGATTGAAACCATTGATATATTCTCTAGTTGGTGAAGTATTCATATTCCCAGGCTCTAAATCTTGTTTCACTCCTAATAAATTTTTTGATCATTTTTTTTGGTGGCATGGGTGGAGCCATTTCTAGGCTTGCAAAGAGGTTCTTTCCAAAGAATGGAGTGAGGATTCTAATGGTGGGTCTTGATGCTTCAGGAAAGACAACAATCCTCTACAAGCTGAAACTAGGAGAAATTGTCACAACCATTCCCACAATTGGTATTTTCCCAGAAACCCTTCCTTGAAGTAGCATCTATAGATTTTGATCATTCATCAATTAGAAAGCAGTTCTAAAAAATGTGTGTTCTGAATACTTACTCACACCACAGATCTCATTCCTTCTGTCATTTTCATCAACATTTGTTTCGAACTAGTCCAATCGATCAATTTACACAGGTTATATGATATAGCCTTCACTTTCATGGAGCAGGCTTCAATGTGGAGACAATAGAGTACAAAAATATTACCTTCACTGTTTGGGATGTTGGAGGGCAAGATAAGGTACCAAGCTTGATCTCTTTTATATTTGTCTGTGTAAAGAAAAACTGATTTTATTGATTTCTGGATATAGTTGGAAATTATTTTGGTTCAAATATGCTTAAAATATTTACCAAGGAAATGATAATGAGTTTGGTATTGTGATCACTATCTATTGTGTTCATCTTCTCCTTGCCGCTAACCAGATAAGGCCTTTATGGAGACATTACTCTCAGAATACTCAAGGCCTTATATTTGTTGTGGACAGCAATGATAGAGAGAGAATCGCAGAAGCTCGAAGCGAGCTTCATCACATTTTAAGCGAGGTTAGTGAGGTTTGCCCGTGAGGAATAAGTTACCTGTTCTTAAATTTATGAAAAGGAGCTCTCAACTAGATCTACGCTTGCAGAATTATTGCATTTCTGTGACATTACAGCTGTACCTCAAAGAAAAGGAAATAAAAACCTTCACTTGCTGTCCCTTTTTGCAGAGTGAACTTAGCAATGTAACACTCCTGGTACTTGCTAATAAGCAAGACCTTCCAAATGCTATGTGTGCTTCTGAGATTGCCGATAAACTTGCCTTACACTTGCTCAGTCTACGTTACTGGTATGCATATGGTTTAATCTTCTTGAATATGCTTTGTAGATATTTCATTCGAATCGATTCCTTTTCCTGTTGTAGTGTGAACATCACAGTGAGGCCAGGCCTCTGTGAGTTATAACAAGAATGCAGAAGAACCTGCTATTGAAACTAAAAACAAAATCTTAAAAAACAAAGCAAATTGAGAGATTGAGCCTGTTGCAATCTGATCATTTATTGATTCTGTGTTTGCCATGGCATGTTTAATTGATTTTGATGAAATTATCTTGTGCAGGTACATCCAATGCACTTCTGCCACCTCTGGACAAGGACTCTATGAAGGTCTTGATTGGCTATCTAATAATATTATCACTGACAAGACACGATGTAAAAGACTTCTATAAGATTCAAACCAGCCACTTTCAATCTTTGATACAGTTTGATGGAATCAAATTTTATTAGCAATGCAAAGTCAACACATCATTTCTTTGCAAACCCTGCATATATATTTGCACCAAATGGAGATCCAATAGGACTTGGTTTAAAAAAAATGGAGTGCATCCAAGGTTGTCTTGCTGCCTAAATGTGAATGTTGGCTGGTGGATAAGATTTGAATAGGAAAAGTATTGATTGTTCTCTTTTTTCACCATGTTGAATAAATCCACCAACTTTGAGAATAAAATGTCCTAATAAACTATGAAAATTTCTGTTGGTTTATGCAGTAAGATCAATAACAAAAAGATACAAATTTAAGAACTGAGATTTTTTTCACCTGAACAGGTCATTATTAAGCTAAATCATAATCTGCCAAATTTATTTTTGTCTAAACTAAAATATAGTTCATGCTTTATAAGCTAGTTATATAATTTAGTACTACTAGTGAAGTGAAGCCATAAGATTTTGCAGAGCAAGCCAAAGTTAACCAAGTCCCATTGAAATGGCGAAGCATTTCTCCATATCATCCCCCCCTCCTAGGCCGCCCTCGTCCTCGAGGCCTTGAATCATCGAGATATAACTCAGTTCCTTCCACGGCTCCAACAGCCCACAGTTGAGTACGATCATCATGATCAGTAGTATTCATTCGGAGTACCTTATTTTCGATGACAACGCCATGATCTGCGTGAAGTCTGGCCTTCAAGTCCCCCATGGTAGTACCCTCGTGTACCACGTAGTCATAATAAGGGCCCTGAGAGCTCAAGCAGATCCTGACATGACTTTTTACAAGGACATGAATGGCAGCATTAGGGGGAATACCATAGTCTTGCAGAGTCAATTCATCCCTCAGTAACTGCCCGCAGGAGAGCTCTTGCCTCTCCGGTAGGATTGGGACTTGAAACAATTGCCAAATCAGCTGTTTGAGGTCGATAATTCTTGTAGTGCTGGGAATTGGTAGTACAGGGTATACCACACCTCTGCATACGACATGGATCGGCGTCATCTATCAAATATCAATCATTTTGTTATTAATATGTGAAAATGTGCAAAGCATATGATTATAAACTTGGACAAAGATTACAACTTAATTAGCAGTCGCAAATTAACGATTTACGAAAAAATGCTTACCACAAAAGGAGGCAAATTAGCATTGGGATCCATTGTGCTGCTGGTCAGTTCTCTCAGTTGTATGCATGCTGCAATGCGAAGGAGATTCAGCTTGTTAAAATGTATCTCCTCATGGCATTAGCATGGGGTTGCCTTGAATGTGATTTGCATGTTTTTAATTCATGCATATTTTGTTCCAAAACTTTAGACTAAACATGAAGTCAACCCAACTTAATTATTGTCACGCATCTTCTATGTGAAAATTATCAATTATTTGGTTTAATGATATTTTACCTCAACAATATTGGAAGATATTGTAGAAATGAATATAAGTGGATTGGATTTTTATTGTTTCAACAAATAAAGAAAAAGATATAGATTTTTATTTTGTTTCAACAACTAAAGAAAAAAGCCGCCGTCTGTGGGAATCGAACCCACGACCACACGGTTAAAAGCCGTGCGCTCTACCGGCTGAGCTAAGACGGCATTTGCATCACAACAGATTTTGAAAACCCTAAACTCTACACAAACGTAAAGCCACTTGAAGTAATAGCATCAACATAATCTAAGCTTGACCGGTCGGATGAACCACATTGTTATAAGAACGTAGATCATGAATATTTGAGATGCAAGTACGTAATCAAAAAAAAAATTATCATTAATACATCAGAAGATCAGAGAGCGGAGAGCCTATATCTTAATTTTATTGTGTACATAACTGGTTATAGATTTCAGAAAATTGGAGTTTTCCCCTTAAATTCTAATCAAACTTTTCTCGCAAGGGCCTCTATGAATTTCAGGAAGTTTCATGAACATTATGAATTATTTGAAAAATATTTTTTAATTCTGATTCAAATCCATATTTTTTCTTTATTGTTTCATTTTGTTCATTTTATATATTTTATTTATTAATAGTTACACAAAAAGATTGGACTTGAATTCCAAGCCCTCATGGAGTCTGAAAACCAGGCCTGAAGCCCAGAACAGACCCAATGTAAATAATCGGGCCTTTTCCCGTCTTTATATATTCAACAGCCCCCACCCGACCCGAAGTAAGTCCAAGCTGAATTTTGTGCGTGTGTAATGTGCTACATTTTCACCCAATGCTTTCGCGCCTTACTTTCTTTGTCATTTTCTCCCTCTCAGTTTTTCTTTTTGTTGTTGGTATTTTTGAATTTATGTTTTTACAAATAAGCTCATTTAGAAAAATCCAAAACTAGCCGCTTGTCATTTTTTAATGTTTCTCCAAATAGGACTCTGTAAGGATTTTTGTATAATATGTCATGTTAGAATGAGTCTATTTGTGACAAATCCAATTTTTTTTACTAGGATATGAGAAATTAGAATAAACAAATGGGAATGAATTCAAATTAAGAATAAAATTATCCAAGTAAAAATAGCCCACGGTAATAGTGAATTAAAAAGATTTTGCAGCAAGCCAAAGTTATAACCAAGTCCCATTGAAACGCTGAGTTATTTTTCCATACCATCTCACATACGTTTTCTATCCTCAATGAGAAATAACTTAGCTCCTTCAACAACTCCGGCAACCAAGAGTTGAGCATGATCATCAAGATAACTATTATCCACCATCCAGAGTACCTTATGTTCAATGTCAACGCCTTGTTCTGTCTGAAGTTTCGCCTTCAACTCACCCACGGTAATACCATCGAAGACTAAGTACACATAACGAACGCCATCGAACTCCAAGTAGATCTCAACTTCAATTTTCTTATAGATAACAAGGAAAGCAGTAGGGGGAATGTGATAGTCTTGCAGAGTCAGTTCATCTTTCAGGTACTGCCCTTCCCATGACAGCTCTTGCCTATCTATTGGGACGGGGATGTGAAGCACTTCTGAAATCAGTAGCTTTACGTCGATAACTCTTGTAGCCATGGGAACCAGCAGAATGGATTCTCCTCCACTCCATAGGAATGTGATCAGCGAGGTCTGTCAAATACCAATCAATTTGTCATAAACTTAGAAAAAAGAAGATTAGAATTTAATTAGCAGTCACAAATTAGTGAGTTACAAGATGCTTACCGCCGGAGGCAAATAATTCATTGTGGTTGTAACTTGTACGTGTGCTTCAATGCGAAAGGGGAATGAGAGCTTGTTAAAATGTATCTCCTCATGGCAATGGCATTATCATGGGGATGGTCGAATGTTATTTGCATGCATCGAAAGGGTCCTTTTAAGTCTCATGCATATTTTGTTCCAAAACTAGAAACGAAAAAGAAATTTCAGAATGAAAACTTTAGAACTTGGTTGCTTTCACGCACTTTCGATTTCTTTTGGTTCCTCCGTTTCAAGAAATGTGTACATGACAATCCGCTTTGGTTATATTGTCGCTAAAATTACAAAATTGATGTTAAAATTTTTGACTGGTCAGTGGTCAAAGTTGGATTCTTATTATCAGAAAAAGCTATTTCATTAAGAAAATTATAAAAAGTAAGTAGATTTTGCACGTATGAAAAAGCGTTCATCCAAAACATAAAAAGGCATCGGTAAAAAACCCTTCCGATGTCTAGTCAATAACCCAATCTAATTTGTATTGGCACTAAACCCTAAACTCTTGAATTATAAATGCAATTCAAGAATTTAAATAAAATATTTTAAAAAAATTCAATAACCCAATCTATGCCACAACCATCCATTAAAATGTTGAAGTACATAATGAAATGAATTAGGGTTCATCATTGGGATGACTTGTTATTTTTAGGTTTAGACCGAGTTTTTTGGACTTTTTCTTTTAATTTTCGAGTTGGGTAGGATTGAAGTTTCAAAAGTCAAGGTCCCAGCCCACTCATTGGGCAGGGCCTAGAAGTATAATTCACTTCTAGTGATAATTGTGGTATAATTCAGGGGAGAAAACGACATTTTATTCTAAAATTTATGTTACACTAGTTACAAATTTCAGAAAATTGGAGTTTTCCTCTTAAAATTCTAATCAAACTTTTCTCAAGGGCCTCTCGTGGAAGGAAGTTACATGAACACATTATTTGAAAAATATTCAGCAATTCCTATTCATATCCATATTCTGTTAATTATATCTTGTTTCATTGTTTCTTTTTACCTTGTATTTTTTTATTTTTAGCTGCACAAAAAGATCGGGCTTGAATTCCAAGTCCTAATAGGGTCTGAAAACCAGGACTGAAGCGCAAAATTTCGAGTGTGTGTTTCACCCAAATGCTTTCGCCTTACTTTGTCTGTCATTTTCTCGCTCTCTTCATTTTTTGTATTTTTATTTTTTGTATTTTGAATTCTTTTGGGCACATTAATTTATTTAACCCAGTTTATGACTAGGATATGAGAAATTAAAATAAACAAAAGGGCAGGCATTAACATTAAGAACAAAATGATGTGACAAATTTAAGAACTGAAAATTTTCACCCAAACAGACTATTCTTTCTCAGGCTAAATTAATTATAATTTGTCGAATTTATTTTATCCAAACTGAAATATATAGCCCATGATTCTTAAGCTAACTTATAATATAATAATAGTGAATTCATAAGATTTTTCAGCAAGCCAACCAAGTCCTCTTGAAATGCTGAATTATTTTTCCATTTTATCTCACCTACGGTTTTGATACTTAACGAGATGTAACTTAGTTCCTTCCATAACTCCGGCAGCCCAGAGAAGAGCATGATCATCAAGATCAAAACCGTTCATTTGGAGTACCTTGTGTTCAATGTCGTCAATGCTTTGTTCTGCGCCAAGTTTCGCCTTCAACTCCCCCACGGTATTACCATCATAGACTACACACACATAATAAAAGCGACTGTACTCCAAGTAGATCTTGACTTCAATTTTGGTAAGGACAGTAAGGGAAGCATTAGGAGGAATGTGATAGTTTTGCAGAGTCAGTTCATCCTCGAGGAACTGCCCTTCCCATGAGAGCTCTTGCCTGTCTGCTGGGACTGGGACATGAAGCGCTTCACAGATCAGTAGTTTCACTTCGATAATTCGTGTAGCTACGGGTATCTCCAGACTGGACATTGCTCCTCTCCATAAGACTATGATCCGCATGTTCTGTCAAATAACATTCATTTTGGTATGTATGAAACTGTGCATGCATTATGCATATAAACTTAGAAAAAGAACATTAGAATTTAATTTGCAATCCCAAATGAATCATGTACAGGATAAAGCTTATGGAGTGGAAAAATGCTTACCGCCGGAGGCAAATTAGAGTCGAGATCCATTGTGCCGCTGATTAGTTGCATACTTTCAATGCGAGAGGGATCAGCTTGTTAAAATGTATCTCCTCATGTCATTAGCATGGGGTTGGTCTAATGTGATTTGCATGCAACGAACGGTCCTTTTTAAGTCATGCATATTTTGTTCCAAAACTAGTTGACGAAAAAATAATTTCGGAATGAAAACTTTAGACCGAACATGATGAAGTTACCCAACTTTTATTTCTCAGCTCACACGCACTGCAAAGTGCAAAGTGCAAACTCACTCATTTTATTTTTAATAGTAAATTTGGCTTACACCCTTCAAATTCAATTTGCCGTACCTAAAACCCTTCACTTTTTATTCCTATAAATAATACCCAATTTGTATAAGTAAAAACCCATAACTAGGATCCAACTCAGCAAGTTACCTAATTAAGCATAAAATCTGATTTATTGTACTTTTCAGATTCCAAAAATACCCCCAACTAAGCCATTATTGCATTTTGTATATTAATGTAGGAATCAATATGGAAACAGTTTTTAATTGGATTGTATATAATGACAGATGTTGAATTTGGAAAGATCTCCAAATGGTTGTAATGGATGTAGGAATTAATTTTGAAACATTTTTGAAAAAATTTAACAATAAATTCAAATTTGGGTAATCGTTTGTTTAATAAAATGTTTATGTTATTTTCTTTTTATGAATTATACATGACTAATAATCCACTTTATAATTGTTTATGAATAAAACTGTACATACTAATTATGTTGAAAAAATAATGTACCTATTACTTGTTTGTTTTATGAAAAATATAATTTACCTAGTATGAAAAGTGTACATAATTATCTATTCCAATATACCTACATTATACGACATCCAATATACCTACATTAATTTTAATGTACTTACAATTAGGATTTAGGTATTATATGTCATCCAATGTACCTGCCATTTGAATAATATACCTACTACGAATAAAGTACCTATTATTTATCTAAAAAATGTACCTATTTTTCCTCTCCAAATAATGTACCTATACACATTTATAGGTATATTGTAAAATAATTTACCTGTGGGTAAATAATGTACCTATATTTTTTTATAAATTATTGTGTACCTATTTTTAATTATGAAAAATATACGCAATTACAAAGTAAACTTTGTTTTTTTTTTTTTTTTTTTTTTTTTTTTTTTTAATATAACTATATATTTATATGTATATATTTATATTATATTTTTCATAGGTACATTATTGGATATGTAATTTATAGAATTTTTTTTTTGTTTGCAATTTTAGGGGACGAGATGTGAGAGGGAATGCCAATTAAAAGAAAGGGGGTGATTGATATGCTATTAATAGGGAGTATATTAATTACAATTATGGCCGTTAATGAAATGCTTGAAATAAATTAGAAATAAAATATGAAGTTTAGTGGCAACGATGTAAAAACATAGAAATACTACGACATCTTATATTCTACTGGTCATTTAAATTTGAAATTGGGTTTTACACATAGATTTATAGAGTGATGGGTATATGTCTAGGAAATAGAAAATGTAGGGATCTATATTGGATAAGCCCTATTTTTAAATTGTTGTAAGGAAAAGGATGAGAAACTCAACAAACTCACTTTCATTCATCAAATAAAAGATTTTAGAACAAATCTCGAATACATACATATAATCATTAGCACTATACGTATAAAGTAAACTCAAACGTTATCTACTCGTATATAAAAGTTCGACTCTAAGACATCCGACTTTACAACTTGCTCCCAATGTTTATCATGTATAGTGCCCCTTCAACCCTAAAATAAAAGAGAAAATATTGGCTGATATTTCATCATGGCTGGATTAGGAGAGAACGTACGTCAGACAGAATAGTGATGATCTGATTTTGCTGTTCCTAATTTTTATTCTCTTTTTCTATGCCGCAACCATCCATTAAAATGTTGGAGTGCATAATGAAATGAATTAGGGTTTGTCATTGGACTGACTTGTAATTTTTAGGATTAGGCCGAGCTTTTTGGACTTTTTCTTTTAATTTTCGAGTTGGGCAGGATTGAAGTTTCAAAAGTCAAGGCCCCAGCCTGCTCATTGAGCCGGGCCTAGAAGTATAATTCACTTCTAATGATAATTGTGGTATAATTTAAGAGAGAAAATGGCAATTTACTCTAAAATTTATGTTACACGAGTTACAAAATTTCAGAAAATTGGAGTTTTCCTCTTAAAATTCTAATCAAACTTTTCTCAAGGGCCTTTCGTGGAAGGAAGTTGCATGAACACTACGAATTAATAGGGTCTGAAAACCAGGATTGAAGCACAGAATTTCGAGTGTGTGTTTCACCCAAATGCTTTCGTCTTATTTTGTCTGTCATTTTCTCGCTCTCTGCAATTTTTTTTTGGTATTTTGAATTCTTTTGGGCACATTAATTTATTTAACCCAGTTTATGGCTAGAATATGAGAAATTAAAATAAACAAAAGGGCAGGCATTAACATTAAGAACAAAATGATGTGACAAATTTAAGAACTGAAAATTTTCACCCAAACAGACTATTCCTTCTCAGGCTAAATTAATTATAATTTGTCGAATTTATTTTATCCAAACTGAAATATATAGCCCATGATTCTTAAGCTAACTTATAATATAATAATAGTGAATTAATAAGATTTTTCAGCAAGCCAACCAAGTCCTCTTGAAATGCTGAATTATTTTTCCATTTTATCTCACCTACGGTTTTGATACTTAACGAGATGTAACTTAGTTCCTTCCATAACTCCGGCAGCCCAGAGAAGAGCATGATCATCAAGATCAAAACCGTTCATTCGGAGTACCTTGTGTTCAATGTCGTCAATGCTTTGTTCTGCGCCAAGTTTCGCCTTCAACTCCCCCACGGTATTACCATCATAGACTACACACACATAATAAAAGCGACTATACTCCAAGTAGATCTTGACTTCAATTTTGGTAAGGACAGTAAGGGAAGCATTAGGAGGAATGTGATAGTTTTGCAGAGTCAGTTCATCCTCGAGGAACTGCCCTTCCCATGAGAGCTCTTGCCTGTCTGCTGGGACTGGGACATGAAGCGCTTCACAGATCAGTACTTTCACTTCGATAATTCGTGTAGCTACGGGTATCTCCAGACTGGACGTTGCTCCTCTCCATAAGACTATGATCCGCATGTTCTGTCAAATAACATTCATTTTGGTATGTATGAAACTGTGCATGCATTATGCATATAAACTTAGAAAAAGAACATTAGAATTTAATTTGCAATCCCAAATGAATCATGTACAGGATAAAGCTTATGGAGTGGAAAAATGCTTACCGCCGGAGGCAAATTAGAGTCGAGATCCATTGTGCCGCTGATTAGTTGCATACTTTCAATGCGAGAGGGATCAGCTTGTTAAAATGTATCTCCTCATGTCATTAGCATGGGGTTGGTCTAATGTGATTTGCATGCAACGAACGGTCCTTTTGAAGTCATGCATATTTTGTTCCAAAACTAGTTGACGAAAAAATAATTTCGGAATGAAAACTTTAGACCGAACATGATGAAGTTACCCAACTTTTGTTTCTCAGCTCACACGCACTGCAAACTAAAAACTCACTCATTTTATTTTTAAATTGTTGTAAGGAAAAGGATGAGAAACTCAACAAACTCATTCTCATTCATCAAATAAAAGATTTTAGAACAAATCTCGAATACATACATATAATCATTAGCACACTATACGTATAAAGTAAACTCAAACGTTATCTACTTGTATATAAAAGTTCAACTCTAAGACATCCGACTTCACAACTTGCTCCCAATATATGTTTATCATGTATAGTGCCCCTTCAACCCTAAAATAAAAGAGAAAATATTGGCTGATAATTCATCATGGCTGGTTTAGGAGAGAACGTACGTCAGACAGAATAGTGATGATCTGATTTGGTGTTCCTAATTTTTATTCTCTTTTTCTATTGGCCCCTTTCAAAACATTTAACTCATGGGACACTTGAGACACACGAAACACAAGAATGGATATGAGAAAGACGAAACAAATAGATTAATCGAACGAGATGGACGAAAATTGAGATAAGGGAGTGATACCCTTAAAATAAACCAATAGTTTAACATGAATCATTAATGATTTAAGAAGGAAATTGTCAAGCACTTAGAATAAAGTTTGGCTCTTTAAAATTGAGCAAGAGCACATCCTCACAACAAATGGAATTTTGACACTTGATAAATTCCAAAAGACACAAATGTTGAAGGAATTCAAAAGAAGAAAAAAATTAAAGGAATTTGACACGTGTCAAAACCCCATTTGTTTGAAGGAGCCAAAATTTTTCCTTATTTTATTAACATTAATTAATAATTATAAATTAGAAGGAAGCCGCATGAACATTTGAAAAATATTTTGTAACTGCTATTTATATCCATATTATGTCGGGTGCATGCAAGAGGTCTCAAGTTTGAACTCCCATGACACCATATATTCTTTTAGGCACATTAATTTATTAAACTCAGGTTATGAACTTATGACTAAGATATGAGAAATTAGAATATTGGCTGGTGGATAAGATTTGAATGGGAAAGTAATTGTTCTCTGTTTTCACTGTGCCGTGATGTGCTGATTATTTAAGAACTGAGATTTTTCACCCAAACAGATCTTTATTGCTTATATTCATCATCCAACAGATACACATTTATTTTAAATTTCCAAACACCATACTGTTAAGCTAAGTTAATTATACTCTATCGCGAATTTATTTTTCGTCTAAACTACTGTAATATAGCTCATGCTTTATAAGCTAATTATATAATCTAGTACTAGTGAACTCATAAGATTTTGCAGCAAGCCAAAGTTAACCAAGTTCCATTGAAATGGTGAAGTCCGCATATCATCTCGCCTACGCATTGAAACGCTCAACGAGGTATAACGTAGTTCCTTCCACAACTCCAACAGCAAACAATTGAGCATCATCAGGAAGATAAGCATTCCCCATTCGGAGTACCTTATTTTCGATGACAACGTCGTGTTCTGCGTGAAGTTTTGCCTTCAACTGATCTATGGTAGTACTATCGTGAATGACATACTCATATTGAATGTCACCAGCCTCTAAGTGGATCGTGACTTTAATTTTTTCGAGGAGAATAATTGAAGTCTCAGGAGGAATGTTATAGTCTTGTAGAGTCAGTTCATCCCTTAGGAATTGCCCTGCCCATGAGAGCTCTTGCCTGTCTACTGGGAATGGGATGCGAAGCACTTCCAAAATAAGTTGTTTTACGCCGATAATTTTTGTAGCGAGGGAAATCAGCAGAATGGATTCTCCTCCACTCCATACGAATGTGATAAGCGAGGTCTGTCAAATACCAATTGTTTTGTTATATATATCAAATTGTGCAGGCATATATAAACTCAGAAAAAGAAGATTATAGTTTAATTATTATTACAAATGAATGATTTATTATAAGATAAAAGGCTTATGGAGTGCAAAAATGCTTACCTCCGGAGGCGGATTGGAGTCGGGATGGTAGAAGGGATCAAAATCGAATATTTCGTTGGGATCATAGTCTTCCCACATTGTGCCACCAGTTAGTTTTATGCATGCTTCAATGTGCGAAGGGGAATGACCTTGTTAAAATGTATCTCCTCATGGCATTAGCATGGGGTTGGTCCAATTCGATTTGCATGCATCGAAAGGGTCCTTTTAAGTCTTATGCACATTTTGTTCCAAAACTAGTTAACGAAAAATTAATTTCAGAATGAAAACTTTAGACTAAACATGATTAAGTCAACCCAACTTAATTGCTGGGAGTCATATCAAAAGTATCAAGCTTAGTCATTGATCTTGTGCATGTAAAAGTATCAAGCTTCGTAGCTTGAATTTCAATATGCTCGGATTCAGAGTAATGTTTGAGATTTTGAAACAATGAAAATGTTCACCGTATGTATCTTTTCGGCCAGCTGGGTAGGTTTATTTGAATAAAATAATTGATGGGCCGAGCAGATTAAGTAATAAAGACATCCTTCTTAGTGTGTATGTGTGGCGTGTTAGTACCACGGTCACAAGTGGTCGTGGGTACATATGAGAGAAGAAATAGTGTTCTACACTACAATCTTGACTTCTTCTGGAACGATTGTGACTAAGATAGGAACAAATTCTCGGTCTTCAGGTTCTAGGCCTCGACCACAAGGCTTTTAGAACAAGTGTATGGTTGGATAGTGTCACCATGTTTATAGCTTGGTGGTGGCACTGCGCTCGGTAGCTCAATGGTTTCATATATCTTAAGAAATGCAAGTATCCCAAGAAATCTGGATGGATTGGGTTGTGCTCAAGAATTGACTTTGTAAACTACAAACAAAGAAAATCTTGTTAATATATGAAATGGATGATCAAAATGGGGAATGCCCAAGAACTCATAATGGTTTCTGAGTTCGTTTTAACAAGAGTTACACTAAATTCTAAGAATAAGCATTATAAACTATGAATTACATTATAAAAGGTTTAGAGAGTGCATTTGAGCATAAGTTGAGCTTAATTTGTTTGATTGGTGCTAGACCTTTTGCACTGTTGAATGAGGCACTCGTTGAGACAATAATCATGGCAGCGCTCTAACACCCATCCAATCAAACTCCATAGCTTTTTTTACCCTTTCTCTCACGATTGGTCAAAATGGGCAGTGGAAAATGTGACATTCGGTTGCTTTCTGACAGCTTGGGCAGTGGAGCTCTGACCTTGATCGGTTTGGCCTCTGGATCTTGCTCTCAAGGTGAGGCAAGTACTTCTATGATCACAAAGGATTTGGCCGTTGTTGATTGTTCTCTCGGTGACGCAAACAACTCCTTAGTCTACAAAAGCATACTTATCTCCTTTTGGATCAGGCTTGATCCTTTCAAAACACAAGCACAAAGTAAGCAAGCTTCCTTCGTTTGCTCCCTCAGTGAGGCAAGCCTTCTCTTGATTCGAAGAGTTCGTTCTCTTTGATTTACCTAGGCCATTCGCGTGGGTTGAAAATCTTTTTTTAGGCCCAAAACATTAATTCTTCTTTCTCCAATTGCTGCCCTCTTCGAAGGTCCATGGACGAAAAAATAGAGGTCTAAGAGAAATTAATGACAAATACTTCATGGAACTGCACTTGTTTCCGAACAGATTTCCAATAACTTATTGTTGGTGTAAATACCTCGATACAAGCCATGATATGTAAGTGGCTCAATACAAGCCATCATTGTTTCCAAACAGCCTTCCAATAAAATATGAAGGTGCTGTTGGTTTTATGCATTAACATTATAGGAACAAAATGATTTGAAAATTTAAGAACTGCCATTTCTCACCCAAACAGATAATTCTTTATTGCATATATCATATATGCATCATCCAACAGATACATATTTATTTTGATTATCCAAAGACTAAATTAATTATAACCTATCCAATTTATTTTTGTCTAAATTGAACTCTGGTAGGATTTTTCAAGTCTCCTTTATCGTCGCACTCACTTACCCAATATGACACTCAACGAGATATAACGTAGCTCCATCCTCAACTCCAGCAACCCACAGTAGAGCATGATCATTAAGATCAGTATTCCCCATTCGGAGTACCTTATTTTCGACGACAACACCTAAATCTGTGTGAAGTTTCGCCTTCAACTCACTTACATAAACACCATCATAAACTATGTGCTCATAATAAACCCCACCACCCTCTGGGTCGTAGATCGTGACTCTAATTTTTTGAAGGACAATAATGGTACCATAGGGAGGAATTTGATAGTCTTGCAGAGTCAGTTCATCCCTTAGGAATTGCATTCCCCATGTCAGGTCTTGCTTGTCTGGTCGGATTGGGAGGTGAAGCACTTCGGAAATGAATAGTTTCACTTCGAAAATTCTTGCCGGGACGGGAATCTGGCCACTGTATATTCCTCCTCTCCATAGGACGTTGATCGTCATGTTCTATCAAATATATCAATCATTTTGCTAATATATGAAAAATGCATACGTACGTTGAGCATATAAACATAGAAAAAGAAAATTAGAATTTAATTAGCAGTAACAAAATTAATGAATTACAAGATAAAGCTTATGGAGTGCAAAAATGCTTACCTGAGGAAAATTAAAGTTGGGATCCATTGTGTCACTAATTATTAGTTGTATGCTTCAAATGAGCTTGTTAAAATGTATCTCCTCATGGCATTAGCATGGGGTTGCTTCATTGTGATTTGCATGCATCGAGGGGTCCTTAAGTCATGCATATTTTGTTCCAAAACTAGTATGGGGAATGATTTTTGAGGTTGGATACGATTTAGATTAATTAATAATAACATTCTGAAAGAAAATTTTAAATTTAGGCCGTTGAATTTATTTAGATTTAACCTAGGCTATCGAATTGGAAACAAGCGTCAGCTTAAATAAAAACATTTTGAACTCGGACCACTACTGTACCAAATCCTTTGGCACCTTCCTATACCCGAATTGGAGAGAACTTTCAGGCCAAAAACTCAAAGAGTGGGTCTAGAACCCCAACATTGGAGATGGTCTAAAATGTTCACATTTTAATTTAGACAAATATATATGTTTTTGGTAAGTACTTATATATATTTTTTGGTTGGAAAACAAGTAGATAAATGCATTGAATTCATAAAGATACTTGTGAAAATTTGCATAGCATGACGAAAAATGAAATAGATAGCATCGCACTACCCCATTGACGAAGCGTGACAATGTAATAAGGCAATCAAACGATTAGTCTAAGAGAACTAAAGCCTGAAAACCCTAGGATTCCAAAGGGAATTAAAATGGAAAATTAACAAAAGTTTTCATTAACTAGTAAAATATTAAAAGGCCCTTTTGCTACTAAACGATCTCAAATGCTTGAAAAAGCTCATACATCATAGCAAAGAAATGAGTTTTACTTGTAATTTGCCGTTTTTGCCCATAAATCGGAGCTTGGGGCCCAAACTTGTAACTTGCCAATTTTGCCTTTACGCGCGCGACGCTCCAACTCCTCTTCTACCGTCTCAGCCATATATTCTACGTCAACCATCATTATAGAGGTACATAAATTCCTTTTCCTTTATGTGCCTATAAATGTTCTTTCACCTCTTACAGCTACCAATGTAATCAACTTTAGCACTATTCCAAATAAATTGAAAGGTACCTACCTACAGGTCCCCCTGCTTTATTCTATATTGTGAATGACACACAACTGGTTAGGTGCAATGACCTGTCTCCACATATATAGACATATAATGCAATATATTACATTTTTTTCAAAATTTTTTAAATTGGAAAAGGAGCTTATAGTTCAAATAGTTAAAAACATGAAGTCCTACGTTTGATTTTTCCTTTTTCTAATATTGATTTGTATTTTTTTTATATTTAAAATCTTGTAAAGATTTTAAAACAAATCTCGAATGTATACGTATAAATTAATAATAAACTTAATATGACCTAATGTAGCAGATTTCGACTCCAAGACATTTGAGTTTAGGACTTGCTCAGAGAGAAAATAGTGATGTTCCAAAGTCTTGTTCTCTTTTTTCCTGTTGGCCCCTCTCAGAACAGTTAACTCATAGGACACCTGAAAGCGAGTGAACAATTTGTCCATTACTTTATGGGGCATGGTTGCCCTTGAACCTTTTAATCTTTTATTTGAGAAATTTGGAACAAGTTTGAAGGAGCCATCAGTACCTGGTACTATATATTGTCGCACATAGACACCAAACCTATTATAATATAGCTTCATAACAATCATTAGTGAATAATAACTCGAATAAATTAGATGAAGCAAATAGATTAATCAAATTATTGAAACGAGGTGGATGGAACTGAGATAAGGGAGTAACTAATACCCTTAAACCAATAATTTCGTTTGTGAATCACCAAATAATTTTAAATTATTATCTGTAATGGAACCAATAATTTAGAATGACACCTATCATTATGAAGAGAAATTAGGCTTAACTAGTCCATTGTAAGTCAATGCATCCATCAACCAAAAAAGACTAAGCAAAACTAGTTTAGTGGTTTGGAGCAACTGTTCCTTTAGGAGAGGTTCTCGGTTGGAGTCCTAGCACTTGTGTAGTGTATGTAAGTTTAGTATGCTATCGCCCTTCTCAATAAGAAAAGTTTTCAATAAAAAAATATTTAAAAGAATAAATGATGAATTTGGTAGAATAAGGATAATTGTGATGAGAGCTTTATTTTAATGATAAATTTGTACCCTATCATTGTACTTTCAAAATACATAATGAGCCTTGCTTACATGATAAATGGATTTGATGTATGGTGGTTTGCAATAGTCTAAATAAACAATTCCATCTTACTGTCAATTTGAGGATTAACTGTTTTACCATGGAATACACAATTTAAGTAAAAACATGAACTACCCATTACGGTGAAAGTAAAAAAAGAAAAAAAGTCCAATCCAAATCCCAATCATGTAAGCAAAGAAAAATCAAATCTTGGAATAGAAAAACAGTGAGCAACTTTTGACGACTTTTCTCGTTTACAGCTCACTGATAGCTTTTTAGTCCAAACATAAAACAGAAACGTTTTTTTTATATTTTTATTATTTATAATTGTTTTGGGGAAATGTGAATTAATTCCTATAATATTACGTAACGCCCGGGATTATTCTCCAACAAAATGGCCAGTCATCCCCGACAGTGGCAGAAGCCAGTTGCAGTTTCTGTAACCAAGGATCCAAAGCTCATTCAATTTCAAGTTCAACTGCCTCTCTCTCTCTCTCTCTCTCTCTCTTGATACGCATCTTCTCTGTGAAAATGCAGCCATATAGAACAATTTAAATTAAAAGTCGCTAATTTAGATTCAAGTATTATAATAATACAAAACCCTAAACTTCACGTGCTTGTAGCTGTAGATGTCAAGTTAGGTTTAGGGTCAATTACTTTACTTTTACGTGTAACTTTATTTGATTTGATTACACATCAACACGAGACTTGTTTCTTCTTTTTTTATCTTTAACAGAATATGAATAATTAGCGCAAGCTTAGCAATGTTTCTATTTCACAGTATTTGAAGAGATCTTAAGTTTAAATGTCCGTTAATAAGTCAAACATGACATGATTGTTGAGTTTTGGATTGATGTACATAGTTTTAGATGTTTCTAATTTAGTCATAAAATCAAGGAAACATGAAAACAATTGAAAAGACTTCTAAATTTGTCGTATAATTAAGGAAAAATGAAATCAATCAACTTAAAACTTAAATGAAGAAAAAAATCGCCGTCTGTGGGAATCGAACCCACGACCACACGGTTAAAAGCCGTGCGCTCTACCGGCTGAGCTAAGACGGCATTTGCTTGCATTAGAATAACTACACCAACATAAACCCATTTTAGAGTAATAAATCCAATATAAATTTATGTTATGAGAACGTACGATAATGAGTATTTCATATGGAAGCATGTAACTTAAGAAAAACGCTGGGATTATCATTAATACATGATAAGATCGGAGGGCCTACATTAATATATATGTATAATTATGTTACACTATACAAAAAGCATTATACATTTTTGCTTATTAACCTTTTGAAAATAATAATAATATTCGACCGACAAAACAATCTGACGCTCCAACTTTCGAGTCATCAAGACCTCGGTTTTCCTTTTCCTTTCCCTCCACCATACGCTTGCTTGCAAATGGCGTTTGATTTCTGCGAAGGCAGGCACAGATTTGAAGAAGCTGGGCACGCTTGCAGACAATTATCCCCTAAGCTACCGGAGACACCGTTGGTCACCAATCCCGCCGGCGGCTGTCCAATCAGGAAGTTTCCGTCCAAATACAACCTCTTCAACGACTTTTTACGCCCGTACTCCAATGGGATCCTGCCACGTAGCCGGTTGTAACGAAGCGACAGTGACGACAGCACAGGATAGCCCGCGAAATTCACTGGCGGGTACCCTTCGATTCTGTTAAATCCCAAATCGACGGCCACGAGCTCGCCTCCGCCATTACCCGCGGGCTTCGGGATCTCGACACCTGTCAGGCTGTTATTGGCCAAATCGACTTGTTGGAGCGAGGGGAGGAGAAAGAACCAGGATTGTAAGGTGCCGGAGAACGAGTTTTCACTGAGTTCGACCACTTCCAACTGAGTCAACCCTGTAAAAGCTGATTTTGGAACCGACCCGGATAAAGAATTGCGCTTTAGAGCGAGCTCCAGCAAGTTGGGGGGTAATTTTGGAAGTGATCCAGCTAGCTTGTTGAAGCTCAGATCGAGCCTTCTCAAATTGGGCAGCGAATTCAAGGCGTTTGGGAGGAACCCAGATAGGAAATTGTGCGAAATGTCCAACGATTCGAGGGATTTGAGGTTGGTTATGGAGGGAGGGAGAGAGCCAGAGAACGAGTTGGATCGGAGAGTTAAACTCTGGAGCTTGGAGAGAGAGGAAATGGAAGATGGGATGGGGCCGGAGAAGGAGTTTTCAGAGAGGTCGAGGGTGGAGAGTTGGGTGAGCTGAGAAATTAGCGGGGTGAGTGTGCCCGAGTAAGCAGCCGGGTCAAGGGTGATCTGGGTGACCCTGGTCGAGTCGGGCGAGCACGTTAACCCGCATGTGAATTGGGTTCGGCGAGGGAGGGCGCATGGGTCTGTGGTGAAGTCCCAGGAGGCCAAGCAAGACCATGGCGGGATTGAGGAGGCTTTGATTGAGGCTTTGAAGGCCTTGAGGGCTGAGATGTCTGAAGGTGCAGTGAGGGCTTGAGCTGGAGGGATGTGATTGGAGAGGAGGGAAAATGAGAGGAAGGAGGAAGTAAGGGAGGAGGTTGAGGTTGTGCAGAGCCATAGCTTTATGTTTTGAGTTTGAGTTTTGAGTTTTTGAGCTTTGAAGGAGAGATGGTTTTGAGCTTTTTTATGAAAGAAATGATGTGAAGTGTGGGGTAAGTGGCTGGTGGTGTGGGTTTTAGGATTTCAATAGAGGTTTTTTGTTGTTTTTGTTTTGGGTATCTATCTGGTTGGAGAGCACTAAGATTTTGGGGTACCAAGATATTTAATTTTATTTATTTATGATGGGGGTGAATATTCTGGCTGAAACTGAAATGGTGTTTCACATCACACACATGTGTCTACTACTTGTTGACATGTTGGTAATTTTAAAGTTTCTAATTAGGACTTTGGTTTGCTCAAAACCCACAAATTGACATTTTAAAATGGGATTAAAATTTCTCTCTTTCTTTGCTAATTTTGTTTTGGTAAAAAATCTTATACACTGGGGATAGCAATTTTCTATTCATGACTAATAACGCACTGATTTGTATGATAACTTTTCTACGTGTCACTGTTATTGATTAGGAATAGCAAAATAGTGTTATTCCCGTTACAAACTTACAATTTAGTTTTTTTTGCTTGTTTTGGTATGAGATTCTGAGCTAATCTGAAGATATTTGCTTGCTGGCATGGTTGTTTTCTTGTAATATAGGCTAAGAACTAGTTGCATGGTGACATCTTCCTTGTGGGATAAAGGTCTCACAAAGCGTGTATGACAGATAACGTCATTGCAAAAGAAAGAAAGAAGAAAGTCTATCAAAGGTTTGGAGGACATGGGTTGGTGCTTTGTAAGAAGGTAGTGACGATCAATTCAGCAATAAGTGAAGAACATGATGTGTGTAAATGGTTGTCGGTGTAGTGTCTAGGTAGAAGTTCTCAAGTGTAAGCACCTTTGAAGCAGAGTCTCACCCATCTGCGGAGATTATAATTGAGTCTCCCGACATTTACAAGCTCATAAAAAGCGGTAGGTATGAACATTGGTACAATTTAACTTAACTAATTTAGTCCAGACCGAGCCCCCAAATGTCTCTCAAATTCCACTATGGGTGGGTAGCAATTAAAAATTTATATATTCTGATAAATTATACCAAATTCCACTAAATATTTAAAGGTAGTGCTTAATTTCATCATCCAAGCCTTGTTTTGGTAAAAATTATTGCATGGGATTGGAATACATGATTATATGATATAAGCAAACTGTGCTTCATTTTTTCATCCAAACCTTGTTTTGGTTAAAATTATTGCATGAGATTGGAAGACGGCCATATGATATAAGCAGACCGTGCTTAATTTCCTCAAACATTATTTTGGTAAAAATTATTGCATGTGACTGGACACACGGCCATATGCTATGAGCAGTTCACGTATTATAATACGAGTGGATCGATGTGTGTAAGGAAAACAAACAGTGCCGCTGATGTTGTCTAGACCTGGGCTTTCACTGGCCCAAAGCTTCAATTGGGCAACATATGCCCACCTGACCTAGCCATGATTTTCTGAGTACAAAATAAAATCAACAATTTGTATAGTAGGGCCTGGAGGCCCTGCAATATCATTGGAGTGTAAAAGTCAACTACAAACTCTACGCTACAGTAATCCACATTTTATTATATTAGCAAACCAGAAAATCCCAACCACCTGCTGCTCACACCCAAGCCATGAAACCCAGAGTCCTCCTCCTCTTCTTCTTCCTTCTCTCCTCTATTTCCTTCTCTCACGCCACCACAGCCTACCCTTCTATTCCCGGCACCAACTCTGTAGAATATGGCGCCGACACCGACGTTCTGATTCCTCCTCGCCGCGAAGTGTATGGCAATGGCCGAATCTTCGACATCAGCCACCGCTACAGCACCAACATGCCCGCCTTTGAGACCAACGACGGGGTTGGCGAGTTCCTGTGGCTACCCAAGAGCATGAAGAACGGCTCCATCGCCAACAACTCAGAGTTTAAGCTGCCCACTCACACTGGTACCCATGTCGATGCCCCTGGCCACGTCTTCGATCACTACTTCGATGCCGGCTTCGACGTCGATACACTTGACTTGGAAGTGCTTAATGGTATTTGATTCTTCTCTGTTTCATTGATATTGATCATGGGGTCTTGGGTCATGGGTTGTTTTGTGTTTGTGTTTGTGTTTCAGAGGAGGTTGATGTGGTTTTGAGTGAGTGAGAGCTATGTGTTCGACGAAATTACACAAGTTTATATATTTGTATGGTGGGTTTGGAGTTGTCTGAGGTAGGCAAGTGGGGCAGCTCGGTGTTTAAAAGTTGAAGACATGGAAAATTGGTTTTCCAGGGGGGAAAAGGTTATTACTTGTGTCACTTGTGTCACTGATATTTTCTGATGATTATATGTGTTTTGTGTCAATAGGTCCTGCGTTGTTAGTTGACGTTCCGAGGGATAAGAACATAACTGGTATGTATTTCTGCTTCTGACTATCTATTCTCCATGTGGATGAAAGCATAGCCTGCTGTTTCAGTTGATATGTCCTTATCATTCTGTCCCAATATGCATACAAATACATAGACCATGTCTACTGCTGAAGCAGCAAGTTATACGTTAGCCTTTTGGTTGCTAAACAAACTCTACTTATAAATAAGTGAGGAGAACATATCATGTATTCTACTTCATTGTTTTCGGTTTTTGACTGTTTTATTACAGCTGAAGTTATGAAGTCCTTACATATTCCCAAGGGGGTACGTCGTGTGCTGTTTAGAACATTAAACACTGACAGGTACTTTTATACAATCGCCACTACTCACGCACATCTGTGTGTACCAGTTATGTTGTATAATTGTAGTTCTTATGGTCTTCTACCTGTCAGATGTTGTTAGGTGGTTTATAATTTGATCCCTTAGTCAGTAGTTTCTAGTAACTATGATGATTCCCATGAATAAGAATGCCTTGTTTGTTCAACTAGCCATTTTCAGATAAACAAGCAAAATGTTGTCTGAGGTGACCTTATTCATATATTTTCCCAAAACTTGATTTCATCAATGATTGGACTACTTAAGTTCTACTAATTCAATTTGATTCGTAAGTCTGAAACTATTGCTGAATATTAACTAGAGCTTACTGCAATTTTAGACGGCTTATGTTCCAAAAGGAGTTTGACACCAGCTATGTGGGATTTATGAAAGATGGAGCACAGTGGTTGGTGGACAACACTGACATTAAACTTGTTGGTGAGATATACGTTTGCATTTCGTTTTTGGCTTAATTGTTGTTTTTCCCCTGTACCTTTTCAAATTTCGCTTTACTCCCTGCACTTTCGACTATCTCACTTTACCCATGTACTTTTACTTCATGTCTCACCTTGCAAGGCATCTGTTACAACAGAGTAAGCCTTTTCTTTTTTGGCATAACATGTAGTTTACAACAGATTTATTTGTCAGGTTGATCAAACTTCACAGGCATCAGTTAAGTTTAAGTAGATAATGCCTTTAAAAAAAAATAATTAATTAAGTAGATAATGCAAGATGTATTCCATGCCCATTATATTCCTTTTATTGAGTGAGAACTTTCTCTGTGAAACATTAGGTTCCTATTATTCGTTTGAAACTGTGACAGTATTGTTCAGTGTGCATTTGTATTTAGGGTAATATAGTCTTGTATTTGAGTTCTTTTTCAGTGGGAGATTGTTGATTTCCTTGCTTTTTATATTATCAATTTTGTTCCTCATCTGAAGCTGATGCTTTTTTCTGTTATGAAATGTAGGAATTGATTACTTATCTGTTGCTGCATATGATGATTTGATTCCGTCCCACCTTGTTTTTCTAGAAGGCAGGGTAAGAAAAATATTTGATGAATCAAGAAAAAAGTGGTTTCTCGAGATCATGACTGTTTTAGTAGGATTCGTTCCAGTTGGTAGATTGTTTGTTGCCATCCAGCCACTGTCCAACATTAATTAGTTTAGCTCCAAAAGAAGAGGTAGTTTTAATACTCTACACTAACCACTGCTCTAATGTTTCAGGAAATCATTCTTGTTGAAGCCTTAAAACTTGATGACATCCAACCAGGAATATATTCTGTCCACTGCTTACCTTTGAGGTTGCCGGGTGCAGAAGGATCACCGATAAGATGCATTCTTATCAAATGACGCATCTGCTTATGTTCACATCTTTGTAAGTTTCGTATTTTGAAAGTCTGTTTTGAACCATCGAAACCCAATCTCATGCCAAAGGCATTTGCCTTTTTGGTTTTAACGTGGGAATATATATCAGCTCGCTATTATTCTTTTTATCAGTTTGAGTTGTCATCAATTTGAGTGATAGACCTTTATTCTTTTTGTCATATTTATTGCAGGAAATGATGATCGCCCCAGGATAAGTAGCATGGAATAAAGACGCATCAAGACTGAACATAGATCGTGCTTGCAAGGAATGGGATAGATATGCAATGTAAATTATCATCTTGGATAATTGGAACACCATGTTCTAGTGGCCTACTGGTAACCGTTACCGGTAGAACATTGAACATACCATATCCAGTGCTTCTTTGAACCTTCAATATCCAACACATAACTTGGTCTCACAGATTCTGTTTTCCGAATGTAGTTGGATTGGACCTCAATTGTGTGAAGTTAATTACTATTGTTGAATCCTTTCCTGCTTATGTGAACCACTAGATCCCAATAACTTAGAACATATATCAAGCCACCATTGTGAAGAGAATAGATGCACGTGGAGATAGAGAGTGCAGCCCCATCTAACTGCCAAAAAATTCTCACGTAAGAGTATTTTTAAGGGAGACGTTAAATACAAAATGTTAAATTTGGATTTAATGAAGAGATAAATTGATAATAATCTCATCAATGTCTCCAAAATGTCATACAATTGGTGCTTTTAATTAAGGTTGTTGATAGTTGACTCCATTTGGGTACTCTACAGATGATCAATATCACACCATCATTTCTAATTACATTTATTTTGAACGCGTATCAAGGGCAAAGGAAATTCCTTGGTCACGAGTTACAATCCTCGTACAGTACGATGAGCCACACCATTAGTAGTACGACGAATATGGGTAAAACTTTCTCCAGTGACCTGTGTTAGGAAGCTCTTGGTATCCTCCACCACTGGTCCTATGACAATTTCATTTGATGAGAATGCATCTTGCTGGGGATCCATCAGAACCCATCAACCTCAAGGGCAAGCAGTGGACAGAATATAGTCCTGCCGGAATGCCATCGAGCTTTAAACCCTCGACAAGAATGATCTCCTGAAGCATCTCAGCAATCTAATTAAAACTTTGGATTAACAGATCATATAGTAGCAAAGTTCAAAAGTACAACAGGATGAAGCTCTGATTCATTAGATAAATATTCTTACCCTGCCTTGTAGAAAAACATGATGAATTGGAATCGCTTGCTCATAAACAGCTACAGCTAAGTAATCAACTCCTGCATGTTCTAGTTCGAGGGGAAAAAAAGGTCTGTCAGCACAACATTAGATTTGTAGATAGAAAAGAACTTCTTTAGTATTGTTACCTATAAGTTTGATGTCTGTGTTCTCAACCAACCATTTGGCTCCATCCATAGGAACTCGCTGAGTCCGTCCTGCGAGTCCCAAATCGGGGTGCCAGGCACGTACCTGTGGCTGATGTCGAATATTTGACCGTTGTCATACACCTCTCTCCGTACAGGGGCAGGAACATCGGATACCGAAAAGTCGTCAGGGACTGTGGGGTAGGCCAGGTTTGGTGATTACGTGGCAGCGGCGACGGTGAAAACGACGGCACATGGTAGTAGAAGAAGAAGAAGGAAGTGGCGGGGTAGGGATGCTATGTTTTTCATGGTTTGAAACTTTGAGCTAGCTAGGAAGCATATATTGTAATGGTTGTTATAGTTTGTGTTTATCTGGGTATGAAAATGAAGAAGAAAGAATAAAACGATGATGAATGAAGAGTTCTTCTTCTCTCCGCAGAAAAGCAGAGAGGGCTATATTTCTCTTAATGAAAAATGAGCACGCCAAAGAGCATCTCATAACCGTTAGCCTTAGCTGGATCCACACACACGTCATAATAGATCTCAGCCTCACAACTAGCTATTCTTAAAGTTGCTACATGTGGCTATTTTAGCCTTACATATTGAAGGCCTCTCACATGTCATTTAACGGACTAAGTGCATACACAATTTAAACACAAGGCTTATTTATCCTAAACTCAGATTAGCTCAATGCTAATACACTAACACTCCCCTTTAAGTTTTGAGATGATATAACTCCAAGTTTATCTCTGAGGTAATTGAACCTTTCCTTCGGTAAAGCTTTGGTAAAGATGTCTGCTACTCGATCCTTAGTATGAAAATAGACCAGATCAATAATACCTTGTTGCAAAGCATCTTTGATGAAGTGGTACCTTCTGTTAATGTGTTTTGTCCGTTGATGAAACACTAGATTCTTAGTTATTGAAATTGCAAATGTATTGTCACATTGCAAATGAGTTGCTTTTGTTTGTAGTTCCCCAAAATCCTCCAAAACAAATCTGAGCTAGATAGCCTTGTTGTAGCTTTTGATGCACTGATATACTTTGCCTCCGTAGTTGAGAGTGCAACACAATTCTGCTTAATAGATGCCCATGAGAAAACTCCACTTCTAAATGAGAAAGCATAGCTGGATGTGCTTTTGCTATCATCAATGGAACCTCCCCAGTCACTGTCACAATATCTAATTAGGATTGCCTTCTTGCCTTTCTCATACTTTAAACCATAATCTAGTGTCTCTTTAACATATCTAAGCACTCTCTTGGTTGTCCCATAGTGCTTGTTGGTAGGACAATGCATATATCTAATTAGTAAACTAGCTGCGTACATCACATCCGGCCTTGTAGCAGTGAGGTATAACAGATTTCCCACAATCTTTCTATATTGTTCTTCACTTGCTGCACCACTTCCATCATCTTTGCTTAATTTCTTAGTAGCAACAAGAGGAATGGAGACAGATTTGCACTCTTTCAAGGCAAATTTATCCAACAGGGAAGCAGCATACTTCCTTTGATGAATGAAAATGCTTGAATCAGTTTGTATCACTCCCATTCCTAGGAAATGATGAAGAAGTCCTAAATCTGTCATTTCATATTTCACCTGCATATCTTCTTTGAATTCTTTCAACATTTCTTCATTGCTTCCAGTATATACTATGTTATCCACATAGATAGACACAATTAGGATTTCTTTATCTCCCCTTGTCTTAGTATAGAGAGTTGCTTCGCTCAAGCTTTTTTCAAATCCACATTGAATGAGATAGTTGTCAATCTCTCCATACCAGGCTCTAGGTGCATGTTTTAGTCCATAAAGGGCCTTGTGAAATCTGTAGACCTTGTCTTCCTTGCCATCAAGTACAAATCCCTCAAGTTGGTCAACATACACCTTTTCCTGTAATTTTCCATTCAAAAATACAGATTTAACATCTAGTTGGTACAACTTCCAGGTTCTTTGTGCAGCAAGAGCAATCAAGGTTCTGATTGTATCAAATCTAGCAACTTGAGCAAAAGTTTCATTGTAGTCGATTCCTGGTTTCTGCACATACCCCTTGGCAACCAACCTTGCCTTGTTCTTTTGTACTGAGCCATCCAAATTCAGCTTGGTTCTGAACACCCATTTCACTCCAATGACTTGCTTATCACTTGGCCTATCTACAAGCTCCCAAGTTCCATTTTTATCAATCATTGACAGTTTTTCTTCCATTGCTTTTATCCAGGCCTTGTCTTGTGCAGTTTCTTCATATTTCTCAAGTTTTACAATACAAAGATTGCACTGTGCCAGAATGTCACATATATTTCTCCACCTAATTGGAGTATGATCATAAGGTTGTGAAATCTTTGCTGACTGATGGATGATCCTTTCTTGTTCTTCAGTATGTGAAGGAGTACAGGGACTAGAAGGACTTCCTTCAATTTCACTCAACCCAAGCGAATTCACACCAAGCACATTTTCAGATTGATTTTGAATGTAGGTCACAGCAACATAATTCTCTAAATTTTCCTTCCAATTCCAGGACATAGTTTCATAAAAAACTACATCTCTTGACAACATTAACTTCTTGGTGCATGGATCAAATATCTTGTATCCCTTCTCACATGTTGCATATCCAACAAACTCACATTTGACACTTTTTGCATCGAGCTTTTGTCTTATCTCAGTTGGTACATGCACATAACAGAGCGATCTAAACACTTTTAAATGACCAATACCTAGTTTTCTGCCACTATAGGCCTCAAATGGAGTTAGATTGCCAAGAGCTTTTGTAGGTGACCTGTTTAGAATATAAACAGCTGTATGTACAGCTTCTGCCACAGAAAGTATGACATACTTTTATCATGAAGCATTGACTTAGCCATTACTACAACTGTTCTATTCTTTCTCTCAACTACTTCATTCTGCTGTGAGGTATATGCCATAGATAACTGTCTTTGAATTCCTTTAGTCTCTAAGAACCTGTCGAACTCATTTGACACAAACTCACCCCCTCTGTCACTTCTGAGACACTTCACTTTGAAACCACATTGTAATTCCACCATTGCTTTGAACTTTCTGAAACAATTTAGAGCCTCAGATTTGTGCCTTAGGAAATAAACCCATGACATCCTTGTGTGATCATCAATAAGAAGCATAAAATATTTGTTCCCTGCAATTGATTCATTTTGCATGGGACCACACAAGTCAGTGTGTATTAGCTCTAGTGGACTATTTTCTCTCCACGCTTGCTCTTTTGGAAACCAATCTCAATGCTGTTTTCCAAATTGGCATCATTTACATACACCATCAACACCTTCAAGATGTTGAAGACCATGAACTATCTCATTCTCTCTAAGCTGCTTAAGACTCTTGAGATTGAGATGACTTAGCCTCTTGTGCCAAGTCCAGGTATGTCACATCCTGGGATCGGCTCCGCCGTAGCACGATATTGTCCCCTTTGGCCCCCCTATCTGCCCTCACGGTTTTGTTTATGGGAACTCACGAGCAACTTTCCAGTGGATCACCCATCTTGGGCTTGCTCTAAGCCTCAACTCGCTTAACTTCGGAGTTCTTATGACTCCGAAGCCAGTGAGCTCCCAAAAGGCCTCGTGCTAGATGGAGGCAGACATGTACATATAAGGCACATCACCCCATCTCCGTTGGTCGATGCGGGATGTTACAATCCACCCCATTAGGGGCCCGACGTCCTCGTTGGCACACTCGCACCACACGGCAGAGTGGCTCTGATACCAAATTGTCACATCTCGGGATCGGCTCCGTCGTAGCACGATATTGTCCGTTTTGGGCCCCCTTCTTTGCCCTCACGATTTTGTTTGTGGGAACTCATGAGCAACTTCCCAGTGGGTTACCCATCCTGGGATTGCTCCAAGCCTCAACTCGCTTAACTTCGGAGTTCCCATGACTCCGAAGCCAGTGAGCTCCCAAAATGTCTCGTGCTAGATAGAGGCGGGCATGTACATATAAGGCACATCACCCCATCTCCGTTGGTTGATGCGGGATGTTACAAGGTACAAGGAGTGATACTTGACCTTAACATCATCTGATCTTTATGCATTAAGTGCAGAGGATAACATATGTTCTCTTTCATTCCCACTTTTATAACCAAGCTGTCAAGTGATGGTCCATAAAAAACACTGCATACTTTTCCTCCAAACAGCAAGTAATACCCATTCTCATCCATCTGACCAACACTTAGCAAGTTCTCCTTCAACCCTGGTAAATACATCACCTCTATGATATATTTCCTTTCTTTAGTAGTATCAATCACAAGAGATCCCATTCCTGCTACATTAACTAGATCACCAGTTGTCATTTGCACTTTTCCTACCACATTGGTTCTCACATTAACAAGAAGATTGACATTTCCTGTCATGTGGTTGTTGCATCCACTGTCAATGTACCAATTTCCATTCACCTTTGCTTCTGGAGTTGCACAATTAGCATAGAATAGATTACTAGATATCTCCACTTGATTTGCACAGTTAGCCTTGTGCACAGATTTTCCTGCAGTGCACTCTCTAGCCAAGTGACCAAATTTGTCACAATTGTAACACTTTGGCTTGCCTTTATATCTGCATTCTCCAAAATGGTACTTTGAGCACACTTTGCACTAAGGCTTTACAGCTTCTTGATTTGTTGGCTGTAATGAACTGAAGTTGTGATTTGGTGCAAGATTGTTATGTTGAGACTTTCCCTTCGACTCCCATGGTTTCCCCTTAGGTTCCAATTCGTTTGAGACTTAAGACCACTGGACTGAGAGTTACCCCTGTTTTGTTGCCCTTTTGAGCTCACAGAGAAGGAGGCAAATGCCTTCTCAGTAGCATCAACAGTGTGCATATCAAAACGTTGTTCATGGCTTTTAAGAATTGCTAGAACCTCATGTAATTCAACCGTTTCTATACATTTCGTATTCTCAATCATAAGACATATGGGATCATAGGGTTTGCTAAGACTGATTAAGACCTTTTGCACAAGTCTTGCATTAGATAACACTTCACTAAATGTCTTCATTTGGTTAATCAGTTCATTCAGATGTGTAAGATACCCAAATAATGTTTCATCATCACGCATTCTATTATACTCAAATTCACATAGAAGATTTTGGAGTTTAACTGACCGTACCTGATCACCACTGTGGTATTATCCATATAACAGTTCCCATGCCATCTTTGCTGAATCGGCGTTGGCAAGTCGAGGGAATATTTGATCCGAGACTGCACTCTAGATAATACCCAGAGCTTTTGCATCTTGCATATATGCAGCCATAGTTTTCTCATCGTCTTCCTCTTCTGAGCTTCCTTCAGCCTTCTTCTTCTTCTTTGAATATGAGGTCGTTACCTATTTTTCAACTAATTTCCATAAGATTTGAAGATCGTCACCATCTTAATTCTCCAAAACTTGTAGTTCTCACCTCGGAGTACTCACCTCAGAACTTCCAAATCCGGCCATCTCTTAGCTCAGATGCTACAAACATGGATCGAAATATGATTCTAAGGAGTTTCGGCGACTTCACCTGAACCGGAACGAGTGTGAATGTAGCTCGATTTCACAGTTTTGAAAAACACCTAGATTCAATTGATCGAACCTGGCTTTGAGGCCATGTTAGAGTTTTTGTTTATCTGGGTATGAAAATGAAGAAGAAAGAATAAAACGATGATGAATGAAGAGTTCTCCTTCTCTCTGCAGAAAAGCAAAAAGGACTATATTTCTCTTAATGAAAAACTGAGCACGCCAAAGAGCATCTCATAACCGTTAGCCTTAGCTGGATCCACACACGTCATATTAGATCTCAGCCTCACATCTAGCTATTCTTAAAGTTGCTACATATGGGTATTTTAGCCTTACATATTGAGGCCTCTCACTTGTCATTTAACAGACTAAGTGCATACACAATTTAAAGACAAGGCTTATTTATCCTAAACTCAGATTAGCTCAATGCTTATACACTAACACTGGTGGTGTTGAACTTTATATTCTCACGATACAAATTAAGCGGATAATTTTGGTTGTCTGGTTGCTTTGGCACCTTTCATGCTGTTGAAGCTCACTTTCATGAGTCACACGGGGCTTTGAAATAATTGGAGAATTCTAAAGCGCTCCCGTCCCGTTGTTAAGTGTTTTTAATTCATGTCATATATAGTTTAAGTGGATGGTATGATTGATATGTTATGAATTTAAAGTATATAATATATGTACATATTATAAAATATGAATGAATTGTGATTATTTATTGAAGAATATGAATAATAATTTATAAGTTAAAATTTTATTTATTTGACAATACAATATTCTAAACTACTCTAATATACGTGAAAAAAATCAAACTCGAATGCAAGAAGATATACACACTTTCATAGCCCTGCATTTGTTACAAGCCGAAGGAAAGGCAGCTCGAGGATCCACGGATGACATACCCATTCGTACCATCTCAACAGCTCCCTTGCCCTTTCTACTTAATAAGGTCTTTCATGGCCCAATTATTATTACAACGTTTTCTACCGTAAAATTCGGTAAGTTGATATTTAAAACAAAGTAAGATTTGCAGCAACACGGTGGGTGGGGGGCTACGTGTAAACCCACAAGCTAATCCATTTTGCGGCAACACCAACATGCGCATAATGTGCATGTCTATGTATAGACAGATGGCTTTAGTTTTCGGGATTACAAATGTAGAAAAAAGAGCAGAGTGCAGCCATTGAAGTGAAGCTCTCTCTCTCCAACATGAAGGCTACTGAGAACCAGCCAGAGACTGAGAAAAATGGCTCTCAATGCCTTGGTACTATGAATTCCAATGTGACCCTTTGTAAGCCTGATGATGGGAAAAGCTTGCTGGAGTTGGAGAACGCTGAGATTGAGAGTTTCTATCAGAGACTCAACAAGTTGCACAACTCGTCTGGGCTGAACCTTCTGTGAGTTTTCCTAATTTTTAGAGTTTTGGGCTTCTGGGTTTTCTCTTCTATTTTCTGTTTCTGTGTTCAAGTGGGTTTCAGGGAATTTCATTATGTTTTTAGCTTTTGAAATGTGTTGAAAGGCAAGCTTTTTTAATTTTTTGAGAGAAAAGCAAGCATTTTCTCCTCCAGACCCGCCCAGGCCGCCTAGGCGGATTTTTCGAACACTAACTTTTGTTCATATATTCCATGTGTGGTTTTGAGAAAGTTGTGAGAAAAAAGAAAAGCAAAGTTAGAATCTTCGAAAAAGACGAGAAAAGTTGGAATCTTTGCTCACAAGAAGCAAAGTTGGAACCTTTGCTCACTCACAAGTTAGAACCTTCTAATTCAGAAATCAGTAGTGCCGCCATTGAATATGTTGGGCATAAAACTTCAGATAACTCTCGTCACATTCATATTTGGCTTGATTATGCTACTTAAGTATGTTTAAAAGATAGATTCAAGCTTCGGTTTACTTATGCATGTGGAATATATAGGAAGCTGATATATGATTATAATGCTAATTACTGGTTTAGATATTTTATCTTATATTCTCACTTGGCGATCTCTTCTGATCGGTTTGGTTCAATGTGAAAATTAATCTGAGTATCTTTCTTTCAATGGGAAGTTTTGATCTCAGACAAACAACACTTGGATTGCATCTGTTTTGCAAAGAAGTTATTGAAAGAGGAGGATTTATTCAGGTTTATTTCTATCACTTGCTCATTCTTACCTATTTCTTTAGTGAAAAAGAAATGAATGATACCTTACAACCATTCAGAAGGTCTGTCTTGTGATCATTCAGAAGCTGACACTAAGCGATATCAGATAAATGAGTATGAAATTGTTGATGAAATCATGCATGTCCACTAGGTGACCTTTTATTTTCGAAATGAGTTGTGATCGCTTTTTAATGTAAGAGTTTAGTTGACTGCCTGAAGAAATTTTGATTCCTGTGAGTTGCATTGCCAACCAACTCATTTTGCCAACCAAATGGTCCTAAATTACTAACCCTATTTTAAGTTTAATGTTTCAAGAAATCATTCTCCTGGAAGGCCTAAAAAACTTGGTGGCATATGCAAATATAACCATATATTCTATCCGTTGCTTACCTTACCTTTGAGGTTTTGGATCACCAAAAAGAAGCATGAATTCGTATCGAATAATTTCTATCCTCTACGTTTATATCTTCGAAAGCTGTTGATGCATAGAAAAAGATATAGTAACGGGGACACACAAAGCCTAGAAATGATTCAAATTGACATGTTTTCAGAAAGTATTCGAGTTTCTTCAAATATAATGACTTTTATTCTGTTTTATACACACTCAACTTCCTGCGTGCAGACGTTTAAGTAATCAAGTCCTGCACTTTGCACAAAATCTCATTTGATGAGAATGCATCTTGTTGGTGATCCATCAGCACCGATCAACCTTAAGGGCAAGCAATGAACAGAGTATATTCCTGCTGGAACGCCATCAAGCTTTAAACCCTCCAGAAGAATGACCTCCTATATATATTTTAGATAAATAATTCTTAATTAATTTGTGGGGTTAGTAAATTAGAGCTTTACCAAATAATCTAATTCATCAGATGAATATTACTAATTCTTACCCTGCGTTCTAGAAAAACATGATGAGTTGGAACTCCCTCATCCCAAGCAGCAACGTTTAAGTAATCAAGTCCTGCACTTTGCATGGAGAAAAATGTGTAAGCACAACAATTTTTTTTTGGGAAGGGGAGGCCAAAACCCGATAATTAACTTAAGAGCGAACAATGTACATCAAACTTATATCGATGGAATTAGAAGAATGAGTACTATTAACTTATGACTTAGCCTTACCTACGAGTTTGATGTCTGTGTTCTCCACTGACCATTTTGCCCCATCCTTCATAAATCCAACATAACTTGTGTCAAATTCCTTCTTCCACATAAGCTTCCTGAAAATAAACAAGTTTACCAGTGTTGGAATAAAAAAAATCACAAAAAAAATTTGAAACGTGGGTTGGATAAGCCCCATGATTTTGATATTTGTTATTAGTAGTAAGCAGAAAGTTCAAGGTAGAGAAGTGAGGGTCTAAACCAATGAAAACTCTTAAGAGAGGTTAGTGGCTCCTATTTTTGGGGGGGTTGATTATTCAGTTTTCATACACTAAGAAGGCCCTTGGTTTATAAAAGGGACAGCAGTAAAGAAAAAAAAGGAGGAAAAAAGAGAAAAGAAACGACAGAAGAAGAAAACGACTGCAGGAGAAAAATTGCAAGAGCACAGGCACAAGAGAATACTTTTCACAGGTATATTGATTCTTTCAATTAATTCTTGTTGGGTGGTAGCCCTTAAATCATTGTTGGATGATGAATATATACATGATGGGTGGAAACCCTTAAATCATTTTGTTGGATGATGTTGAGGCCCAAAAAATCTATGGTTGGGCCCGAATAAATTTCTAGCCCAAGACGATATATTATTGGAAAAAGATCCGATTTGGAGCACATGAAAGTATGACATACACGAGTCATACTCCGCACGCCATGCTAAATAAAAAATCCGTCAAGCTAGGAATTGAGATTAAAATTATAAAATGCATTTAGCTCTGCAAATTCATGCCAATTATCCTATCAAGCGCCATATTTAAAAGCATGCCAAGCAACATGCCATGCCAAGCGGGAAATTATTATTTCACACCCAATCGCACTACAAGCTTAAGTGGGCCCAAGCCACTCAAATGCCCGGGGCTTGCTTGAGTGGGTTGTGGTATGGATGGTAACGAATTGTCATGGGGCCCATTGATGGGCCGAGAAATGGAAGTCTCGGGTCGCTTGGGGGCCTCGGGACTCAAGCCCATTTTCTTAGGCTCAAACGTGGGTAAGCACAAGAGAGGAAATAGCCCAATTGCTTTAACTATAGTAGCCCAACCAAAATAACCCATTACTTTAGATAACCCATAAAGCCCAAATACTTGGTGAATTTAACCCACTTATTAGATGACTTGGCCTTCTATATTAAAGGGTCCATACCATTTGAATAAAAGGAGTCCAAGGCCTTCAGCACTTGGCTGAAGCAGAAGTCCACGAAGAAAGCCAAAGATTCACATGTGAGGGGCTGCTGGGAGAACAAGTTCCAAGTGCAAGCATTCAAGAAACCAAGGGGTATTAGCACGCAGGGGAAGATGTTATCCCTTAAACCAGCAGGCGCACCCATTTTCTTTCCTTTATCAGATTTGGCCATGAAAGGAGGAGGAAAGGAGAGAAAGAAGATGGGTGAAAATGGAAGTTCTCCTCTGAAGCCGCTGCCGGAAGAAGCCTCGAGCTCCCAAAAATCTCTGATTTTGTGGGATTGGACAGAACTGATTTTTGCCTCCATGAGGTAAGTCAAGAAAGAGGAGAAGAAAGGAAGAGGAAAACTTAGCTAGATTAGAAAGAAACCATTAGGGTTTCTTGGAGAAGACCCATTCCCAGCAGCTATAAATAGGACCCCTTCTACCCAACACAACACAACCCACAACCTTCAGAGAGCAAGCTTTCTCTCTCACATGCAAACCCAGGAATTTTCGTGCTATCCTTCCTCATTTTCCTTTATTTCCCCTGTTTTGGCAGATTGACAGAAGCTTTGACAGAGTCACTGTCAAGCTGCCGGAAACTGCGAAAGTCACCCAAAACTCTTCACCATCCTTCTCCCTCTTCATCAAACCTCCTTAGAACCTCTCTCCCTCTCCATTAGAACCTTTGTACCTGATAGGAACCCACAGCTCTCTCTCCTAAAGTGCTAAACCCATGATAATTTTTGCTCCCATTCCATAAGTCACTCATGCCAAGCTAGAATATTTATCTGTAATTTGTTGTCATTTTCATCGATGAAGGTAACCAAGGAGTTTCCTAAGGCGTCATCACCCTTTCGAGACATCCTTGGGGCTTGATCTTAGAACCTAGACACAAGGGGACACTTGCATCAGATTGCTCTTTACTGTAGCCCAGCCCACTTGCTGCCAGAAGAAAAAAGCCCCTACAGATGATAAATCCATAATGGGTGGCAGCCCTTAAAACATTTTTGGATGATGAGTCCATGATGGGTGGCAACCCTTGAATCATTTTGTCGGATGATAAATCCATAATAGGTGGCAACCCTTAAATCATGAACAGCAAATCCATGAGAGGATTCCTGTTCAACAAAACTCTGCCGAGCAAAAGGAAATCCTGTGAAACAGAAATAATGTTTTGAGGGTTCAGCCCAAAATGTACACATAAAAAGGGCTGAGTTACCTCTTGGACTCTCTGACCATTCATCTCCATCTCTGCCTCTGAAAGCCTTTACTTTCCTCACGGAGCAAACTACATATAAAAAAAAGGAAGTTAGCCGTGAAGAAAAGAACAGGCAGAAAAAAATGGAGACCTGCAAGAAGTTTGAATATAGACGCAACATACTAAAAAAATGGACTTGCAGCCACGTTTTGAATTCCGGGCTCGGTGTGGCAAACAACAACAACAAACAAAGTTAAAAAAAAGAAAAGAAGGACAACCATCATAAAGGAGAGGAAGAAAAGTTCAACAAGGAAATCAAAAGAAACAAAGAAGAAAGTGGCGTAGCCACTCTGTTTGGATTTGCATGCAATGGACCAAAAAGGCAACAAGGAATTGAAGGCTTGGCTTGGTGCTGCATACAGCAGCAACAGACAAAAAAAAAGAAAGAAGAAGATAGCCACCACGAAGAAGAGGAAAAGTCAGCAAAAGATGGAAAAAGGGGAGGCACACCTCTTTGGCTGTTGGGCTCGTCTTTTATGACTACTTGGACAGTAAAATATATATATGTATATATATATAAGCTATGCGGTGGTCTGACAAAGAAAGGCATTCGTACCTTTCGTGAAAATAAAGATGGCTCTGCTCTAGGTCTGTCTGCGGAACAAAAGAAAATGTTCCTGGGTGTTCGTTGAATAAAGAGAGCAATTCTGGCTGTGGAGTAACTCTTTCACAAGCCAGTCAAACTTATAAT